TTCTCTCAGCCGGACACCGTCTTAGTGACAAACAGAATTCCTCTTAAACACTCCAAGCTGTTTTAAGCATGTTTCAGAGACTTAAATGGAAATATAATAAAAGTCGTGAAAAGTATTTTTAAAACAGCTTTATTGAAGCTCAGTTTACATCCCATAAAATTCACCCAGTTTCAATGATTTCCACGAGCCGCCCACAGGTCGACGGCTTCAGTCAGTTTCCCGAGTTGTGCAGCCGCCTCCACAGGCCTGTTTTAGGTTTCCACGCGGCGAAGCCCTCGGTCCCCAGCGGCCGTCCCACCCCTCCCCCCGGCCCGGGCCGCCACGCACCCGCTGCTGCCTTCAGCGACGCGCCTCTGCCGGGCCCCTCGTAGCAGCGCTTGTGGTACGGGGCTCGGTGCCCAGCTGCCGGCTCAGCCCTCTTCTGGGGGACCGTCCGTGTGGCCACACGGGCGAGCAGGTGGCTCCCACAGGTTCGTACCGCAAGGACACGCTGGACGAGCCCAGGCCCACGCCCCGCCCTTACAGGCAAGGCTGCTATGGACACGCGTGCCCACGTCTGTGTGCATGACTGGCTCCCTTGGGTAGATACTAGGACTGGGATGGCTGGGTCCCGTGGCGAACGGACGTTCAACTTCTGGAGAAATTGGCCGTTCCCGCCAGTACTGCGTGAGGGTCCCCGGGGGCCCCACGTCCTTGTCTGCACCTGTTCCGGCCGCCCTTCCGTCCACCATTGTCCTGGGGGGCGGGGATGGGGCCGCCTTTGGTTTCAGGGTGAGTTTTCCTGGTAACCCATGATGCCGAAGCCCCGTTCCAGGGCGATGCGGCATTTTACCCAAGAAGGTATCCCGCTCCTCTCCTCCTTCTTTGGTTAAATGTCTAATAAAACGTTTCGCCTATTTTTTAAAACTTGGGTTGTCTTATTATTGTTTTTAAATTCACAATGATTTTTAATTGTGCTAAAATACACTTAACAATTTTAAATACATGTTTTTCTTACTTTGGAGTTTCAAATGTTCTTTGTATATTCTAAATGCAAGTCCTGCCCAGGCTGGCGTGGCTCAGTGGACGGAGCGCCGGCCTGCGAGCTGAAAGGCTGCCGGTTCGATTCCCGGTCAGGGCACAGGCCTGGGTCGCGGGCCAGGTGCCCCGGTCGGGGGCAGGTGAGAGGCATCTGACAGATGTTTCCCTCCCTCTCTTTCTCCCTCCCTTCCCCTCTCCCTCAAAGCAAATATATAAAATCTTCAACAACAACAAAAAATAAGTCCTTTATTACACATATGGTTTGCAAACATGTACCACAATTTTAAATTTCTCACTGTTGTTCAAAGCATGAAACGTTTACTTTTGAGCAAGTCCAGTGGATCCCTTTCTTCATTTCACGGGCCCTGCCGTTGGTGCTGCAGCTCAGCACACGTTGCCTCATTCAAGGTCGCAAACATCTCCCACGTTTCCTTTTTCAGTTTCGTAGTTTTAGGTCTGACGTGTAGGTTTGTGGCTCCTCTGAGCTAGTTTCAGTGTACGGTGTGCGGTGAGGGCCCAACTCCCTCCTTCCACGTGTGGCTACCCTGCTGCCTCAGCACCGCCCGTCGAAACCCAGACCCTCTCCCCACCAAAGCCTTGGCACTTCCGTCAAAACTCGATCGGCCGTAAGCCGTCGGCCCCCGCCGGACCCCGCCGGACCGGGCGTTCGGGGTCGCCCGGCCGCGTCTCGGTCTCTCCGTCAGCAGGCCCCGCCTTTGTCACTGCGGCTGTAGGGGGACCCTTCACCTGCGAAACTGAATTCTCCAGCGTCGTTCCTTTTCAGGCGGCCTGGGCTGTTCTGTGTCCTTGGCATCCCTACACACATCTGAGGACCGATGGCGAACGTCCGCTCCCCCCAGAGCAGGTCATGTTTTTAAAAAGCTTTTATTTCTTTTGGAGAGAGGGGAAGGGAAGGAGAGAGAGAGGGACAGAAACACCCATGTGAGACAGAAACATTGATCCGCTGCCTCTCATACGCGACCAGGGACTGAACCTGCAACCCAGGCCTGTGCCCTGCTGGGCACTGAACCGGCGACCTTTCGCGTTGCGGGACTATTCCGACCAGCTGAGCCCCACCAGTCAGGGCTCAGCTCACGTTTCGGTAGGGACTGCATTCGATCTATTAATCAATTTGGTGAGGCGGGGAAATAAGATGGCCTCCCGCCATCTTAACAATATTGAGTCTTCGAACCCGTAAACATTGGCCGCCTCTCTACTTATTCAGATCATCTTTAATGTCCTTCAGAAATGCTATGTGGCCTAAGTGTACAAGTCTTGTGCCCTTTTATGAAGCTCCTCCGGAGGTATTTTATTCTTCTCCACGCTGGGCGAATAGCATTGTTTTCTCGGTTTCCTGTTTGGGCTGTTTATTGCTAGCGGCCGGAAATGAAGGTGGCGTTTGCATATTGACCTTAGGTCCCAGACCCCCGGGACCCTGCCTAGGAGCAGCCTCTTTTCCTCCGCGTCCTCCCACCGTTGGGCTCCCGATGTGCTCCTCCCCGCCCCCGCCCCCCGCCGCCGCCCCGTGCAGAAGAGGGTGGTTTCCAGCGGAGGAAACGGGAAGCACAGGTAACTGGGAAGCACCAGGGAAGCGGCAGCGAGGGAGGCACTCGGAGAAGGGCCCCAGAGGCCTGACAGCTTCGGGCTCACCCGCCGCCCCGACACTCCCCGCCCCACCGTGCGTGCTGAGTGGATCCGACCCTAATTAGCACAGCCGGTGTTCGGAAAGTTGGTGGAACAGGTAGACAGACCTGCACCCGAGTCTCGGGGTGACCGCTGGGTGGCGCCGTGCAGGGCAGACCTGATAGAGCAGCGGGGACGGGGGAGGGGGCGGGGCGGGGGGGCCCACAGGCCAGCGGAGGTCACAGCAAGGGCAGCAACACTCTCCGTGGGGCGGGGGTGGGGCGGGAGACCCGGAGTCTCAGCACAGCACCCCGAGCGGCTGGGACAGACGCCGCCATCAGTTGGCGCGCAAAGAGCACGGAAATTTCAGCCCACGTGGATGTGACAACACAGACGTCGAACGATCTGATGGGGACTTCAAAGCAGCCACTATGAAAACGCTCGCGCCGGAAAGTGCAAACGTCCCATACACGAATATTAAAAGGCAATGTCTCAATGAAGACAGAGGTATAAAGGAGAACAAAACAGAAACTTTGGAACTGAAAAGCACAGCAGCTAAAAAAAATTCCAAACGGATGCATTCAATAACAAAATAGAGATGACAGAGGGAAAAAAAAAAATCAATGACCTTAAACAAATATCAATAGAAATTCATCTGAGCAAAAGAGAGTGAAAGATTTAAAATAAAATTAACAGAGTCTCAGGAACCCGTGAGACAGGAGTGAACAGGCTGATGCCTGTGCCGCCGGAGCCCGAGAAGGAGCAGGGAAAGGTCGTGGGGCAGGAAACACTTCGAGAAAACAACAGCTGGGAACTTCCCGCGTTTGGTGAAAGACGTCAACTTACAATTGAAGAAGTGCCGTAAATCCTTCCCGGCGCACGCTGGGAGAAATTCACCCCAAAGTCTCCCTAGTCAAACTGCTGGAAACTAAAAACAAGGGGGAAAAATCTTAAAGGAAAAGAAGCCAGAGAAAAACGATGTGTTACCTGAAGAAGAACAGCAATTTCAATGCCTGGAACCTCATCAGAAACAGCAGAAGCCAGAAGGAAGCGGCCGAACCCGTTTCAAGTGCCGGAGGAAGGGCGCTGGGTCGGCTCTGACTTCGTGTCCGCAAACCTCCTCACCTGACGAAGGCACCGAGGAAAGTCACGCAGCTGACGCGCGCGGCGGGGAGGGCGCGCTGCCTTCCCACAGGGTCGGGGGCAGGCCAAGGGTGCTCCCTCTCGCCTCTCTCTCCCTTCCCTTCTTTCTCTCTCTCTCTCTCTCTCTCCTTCCCTCACTTCTTTCCTTCCTTCCTTCCTTCCTTCCTTCCTTCCTTCCTTCCTTCCTTCCCAACGAGCCTACCCGTTCACCAGAGAACGCGCTCGCTGGTCACAGCTGGAGACGACCAGACATCTGCCAAGGGCGGCGGAGAGCGGGCTGATCCTCCGCAGCAGGAGCTCACGCCGCACCCGGGGCTCCCGGGGGCCCCAGAGGCTGCCCGCCGCCGGCCCCCATCTGCAGAATCCCCACCCTCTCTCTTTCTCTCCTTCTCTCCCTCTCTCTCTCTTTCTCTCGAGGGAGAGAAACATTAATGTGTGAGAGAAACACGGTTGCCTCTCTCACACCCCCAACTGGGGACCTGGCCCGCAACCCAGGCCTGTGCCCTGCCTGGGAATCGGACTCACGACCTTTCATTTCTCAGGCCGGCGCTCAGTCCCCTGGGCCGCGCCAGCCAGGGCCCTCTCTCCACTGACTCAATATAGTGCTGGCCGTTCTAGCCAGTGCAACAGGGCGAGAAAAGGAGATAAAATGCATACTGATGAGAAAGGAAGCCCAAAACTGTCCTTATTTACAGACAACACAACTCTCTGTGTGGAAAATCCTGGGAAATCTATTTTTAAAAACAATCAGACTCCTAGAACGAACGGGTGAGTTTAGCAGGGTTGCAGGGTCAACACAAAAATCAACTGTATTCCCTTTTACAAGCTCTGAATAATCGGAAATGAAAGCTTTAAGAATGTTACCACTTCTAACAGCTCCCCAAAATCTGGGTGCAAATCTAACAAAACATGCATAGGTTCGGTGCCCTAAACACCACAAATTCTAGTGAAAGAAATCAAAGAAGATCCAAGTGCCCTGACAGAGGACTGTTTCGGTGGCTCTGAAGACTGAGCGTGAAAAAGAGGCCCGTGCCCCTCCCCAGAGCGGCCTGTAAACCCGGCGCCGCACCGGCCGCGACCCCAGCGAGGCTCTTCTGTAGCTGCAGATAAGCCGTGCGGAACGTGCCGACCGGAGGACCGTGGGACGAGACCACCTGAAACAGCTTGAGGAAGGAGAACAAAGTTGTGGGAATTGTGCTCCCTGGTTCTGACGTTCACTTCAGCACCCGACAGGCACCCGCACGGCCCCGGGGGACAGGAGACGCAGCCCAGCAACGGACCTGCAGGACTTCCTGGCAAGAGTGCAGGTGCCCTTCGGTGGAGCAGCGACGGTTCTCTTTCAGCAGGCGGTGCTGGTCGCCCGCACGCAGAGGGCCGACCTCGGCCTCGGCCTCGGCCTCACACCTGCGCAGAGAGACACCCCAAGGGAAGGCAGCGTGTGAAGGTGAAACGCGTTCCAAGGCAAAAGAGGAGACAGTCTTTGTGACGTGGGATTCGCCGAAAGTTTGTAGAAGAGACCCAGAAAGTGTGGCCCGTACAAGAAAATCACGGTACACAGAACTTCATCAGAGTGGAAAACCTGTTCTGTTGCCGACACTGTCAAGGGAACGGCGGGAGAAGCCACCGTGTGGGAGGAACTGTCGCGGAGCCCCACGCGCAAGGGCTTGGGTGCAGAACCTGAGAGCTCTCTCAAAACTCAGCGCGAAGGAAACAGCACAACTGGCAAATAGGCAAAGGCCTTGAACGGACACACTTTGCGCAAGAGGACGCACAGGCGGCAAATCAGCCCTTAAAGGTCCTGCGGGTCGGTCGCCATCAGGAAACGCAACTGCGAAGCGGGAGGAGCCGCCGCTGCACCCTCCTCGGGACAGACGCTGCGGTCGGTGCTGGCGCGGGGCCCACATGCAGACGCCGGGGTGCCCAGCGGCCGGTGGGGGCGCTCAGGGTCTGGGGGTTCATGGGAATCAACAGCTGCCCTCGCCTCCGCGCATGCAGCCGTCGCACCGCGGGCATTTGTCCCAGGGGAGTGAGCCTGCCCTCACCGGAGACCCCACCCGGGTCTGGGCGGCGGCCTGGCCCGTCACAGCTGGAAACAACCCAGGTGTCTGTTGGGGTCCACGGGAGCAGACTGATCCTCTGCAGCAGGAGCTCACGCCGCACCCGGGGCTCCCGGGGGTCCCAGAGGCGGCCTGCCACCAGCCCCCACCCGCGGGCCCCCACCCAGGCCCCTCTACCCCGGGCGACCTGCGGTAGGAGCACAAGGCCGTGGGCATGCGGGTGTCGGGGGGCGAGGCTGGGGTTCCTGTTGGGTGACGGCTGCCCAACCGGGGTGACGTTTATGCAACTGTGCGTCCCCATTAAAAGGGGATGTGCTGTGTGACATTTAAAAATCAGATAGACCGCCCTGGCCGGTGCGGCTCAGTGGACTGGGCGCCAGCCTGCGAACCAAAAGGCTGCCCGTTCGATTCCCAGTCAGGACACAGGCCTGGGTGGCCGGCCAGGCCCCCGCACACGGATGTTTCTCTCTCTCTCCTTCTCCTCTGTCTAAAAACAAATAAATAAATCTTTAAAAAATTAGATGAAAATATTTTAAATGCACCTTTCAGGCGCTCCGTGTGCTCTCGTGCCGGGCAGGGCCATCGCGGTGCCACGTCTCTGGCTCTGCTCCCTGCACCCGCCGGGCCCTGCCTGGGCGCCGCCTGGGGTCTCCTAGGGGGCCAAGTCCGGGGCGGGGGGTCAGGGGCCAGAGGGCACCTGCCCTGGGAACCTGGGGGCTGAAGCCAGCGGGGGCGGGGGGCCGTCCTCAGAAATGTCTTCTCAATAAAAGCAGGAGTCGCGGTGGGGACAGGAGCCCTTGAGCCCCCTCGTAGGCCCCGCGGGGGGTGAGGCAGACGCTCTTCTGCCCCCGCCCAGCCCCCAGCCCCCCGCAGCTGCGGGGAGGCCGCCCCTTCCCCGCGCCCGGGGCCTCTAAGGCAACACAGCTGTCGCCGCGGGACACTCGCCCGTGCGCGGCCGGGTCGGAGGTCGCAGGGTCTGACCCCACAGCTGCTCCCTGTCCCCACCTGCTGGTGTCCCCGTTTCCAGTCCCGGGGAACCGAGGCCCCAGCCCCACCCCCAGCCGCCTGCGGGCATCCCGGCAGACACCCAACCTCCGAATGGGCTGGGGGTATGGGGCCCCCGCGCGGTAACCCCGCCCCTGCTCCCTCCGGCCTTTCCAGGCCTTTCCAGCTCCGAGCAGAGCCCCCTGCCCGGGGCAGCAGGTGCGGGGGCGCCGGGCGATGGGTGGGAGCCCCCCAGTTGGACACCCACCCAAGGCGCCAAGTGACGCGCGTTGCGCAGGCTGAGCAGCAGCTCCCCCAAGGCCTGGGTCCTCCCCGCGGCCACCTGCCGCCCCCCACGTGCACGCGCACCTTCCTGTGACCATTTCTCACGCCCCATGGCCGCCTCCACAGCTCGTGGACGGCGCTCCCCTGCCCCCCGCGGCCGCCAGGTCAGCGAAGCACAGAAGACAGAGCATGAAATGTGCGCAGCGTCGAAGAAATCCCCAGTGACACGCAGGGACCTAAAACGGGCGCTAAAACAGGATCTCCCTGGAGGCTGAGCTGCCCGCGGCAGGGGCGGATCCACGGGGAGGGCGCGGCCGGGGGCCTGGGGCTGGAGACCGGGCTGGGCCTGGAGCTGGGCCGCGCCCTTGCCGGTGCCCCGGGACCCGCCCCCAGCGCCCCCTGCTCGCGGCGCCCAACCTGCAGCCGCAGCCACGCGCGGGGCACGCGCCGGGCCCATCCTGCAAACCCGGTGCCGCCAGGCCCCTGGAGCCCGCGCAGCCCCGAGCTGCCGCCCCTTCCTTTGCTCCTTCGCAGGTGAAGGCAGGTGTCCGCGCGCCCGCCCGCGAGCCCTCGCTCCCCGCGCCCTCGGCAGTCAGGCCGCTCCCCAGGGCTCCCCTGGCTTCCCACCTCCAGCCGCGCGCCGCGGCCTGGGTGCCCCCCCAACACTGGTCGCCTCCTGCCCGCCTCCGCGAGCCCCACCCTCCGCCGCCCTCGGCTCGCGCCCACGGTGCCCATGCGGGCCCTGCGCCACAGCTCCGGGGTCGCTCCACGCGGGTGTCAAACGCAAACGACGAGGCTGAAGGCCTGGGCGCCCCGCGCGTGCGCTCCCTCCAACCTCCCCCATCTCCAGGCGCGAGGCCAGGCTCCCGGCGCGTCGTCGGCCGCCCGCGCCGCCCCGGGCCCCGCCCGAGCTCCGCGCCCTCCCCCGGAGATCCTGTTGGCTCTGACGGCGGCGCACCCGGATCCAAGCGCCCGGCCTCGCCCGGGGTCCCCGCAGCGCCGACCCGCGTGCGCAGCTCCCCTGCTCCCACCCGCCGCCGGCGCCCCTCTTCTCGCCGCCGCAGGGTCACGTGACCCCCTCAGCACCTCGCCTCACGGGGCGGGGGGTAAAAGCCGGCTTCTCTCCGTGGCTGCAGGCCCCCCCCCCCCAGCTCCCCGCCTCCACTCCCGGACGCACGCAGCTTGCCCCAGGCCACCAGGTGTAACGAGGCTGCCTTGCACCTTCCCAGGTGCCAACAGCGACGCAGACTCCCTCCCTTTTCTTAGAACATTTACTTTAGAAACTTGTCAGCTCTTTCTGTCCCTTTGAAATGTATGTAACGCTTCTGAAAAGCTCAGCAAGCCTCTCTCCTGACAGTTTCCACAGCCTGCGAGCCGGGCCGACTGCCTGAAACGCAAACAGCCCCCCTCCCCGTCCGCAGCCGCTCTCCCTTAGAGACCCGGCTCCAACCTGCGCGTCACCCAGAGGAGAGCTGTTCACGTTTCTTTTGACGACGAGGGAGCAGAGCGGCCGGCCACGTGCGACGCCCAGGTGGCGTAGGATGACCGACGAGCACCCCGGGGGCTGTCACATCCTCTACAAACAAATTTCTTTATGGTAAAAATATACATAAGGTAAAAATGTCCAGTTTAACTATTTTACTGTACAGTCAAGTACATTCACAAGGCTGTGCGCTGAGCACCACTCTTTCCAGAACTTTGTCGTCTGAAACGAAAACCCTGTGCCCACGACACACTACCCCGCTCCTGCCGTCCCTCGGGCCCAGCCCCACCCACTTCACCCCCCCCCGCCCCCCGTTTGCCTGTTCGCGCGGGTGGGGTGGGACCCAGGGCGGCCTTCCTCCGTCTCACTTCACGGAAGGGCCCGTTTCCAGGGTTCGGCCGCCGTGTGGCGTCGGGTAGAACGTCACCCTGCTACGGCCGGTCAGTGGCCCTTCCGGGGGCCACGCCACGTTCTGTGTGCCCACTCCTCCCCGGACGGCACTCGGACGGGGGTCCGGCTTCCTCCCTCTGCGTGTGGACGTCCGGCTCCCCAGCACCATCTGTGGGAAGGGCCGTCCTTCCTGCGCTGAAATGGACTTTCACCTTGTTGACAATCAATTGGCCGGGCAGACGAGGGTGTGTTTCCTCCGCGTGGTCTTCGCGTCCGCCCTCCTGGCCGGACCCTGCTCTGTCGCTCGCGGCCGCTTCGGGGCAGGGCGTGAGCTCAGGGGGTGTGAGTCCAGCTCGGCCCTTCTCCGAGGGTACTTTGTCTACTCAGGTCCTGTGTAATCCTTTACGCACTTTAGGGTAGATTTTTCTGTGGTGTTTCCCCCGCCAAGAAAACAGCATCGGAAGGTTGAGGGAGATCGCACCACACCGCACGTCGCTTAGGCCAGTGCCGGCCCCTTCACCACCGTCTTCCAACCCACGAGCGCAGGCGCGTCCCGTGGATGCAGTTCTCCTGTCATGTCTCTCAGCCAAGTTTCGCAGTTTTCACGGTCCAAGCCTCCTGCCCCCCAGGATGAATTTATTTCTAAGCACGTTACCCCTTCGGACGGTCTCGCACGTGGAATCGTCCTCTTGATTCCCTTTCGGGATTGCTCACTGGCCGTGGACGGAGACGCGACCGGCTTGTGCGTTGGGTCCGCGCCCTGCAACGTCACCGAATTTGTTTCCTGTGACTAAGTGTTTTCATGAGACGCTTTAGGGTTTTCTACATATCAGGTCACATCACCTGCAGACAAAGGTGCTTTAATTCTTCTTCAGTGTGAACGCCTTTTATTTCTGTTTCTTCCCTAACTGCTCTGGCCGGCGCTCTCGGAACTACGTGGAATGTGAGAAGTGGACACGCCTTGCTCCTGACCTTAGGGATAAAGTTATCAGTCCTTCATTGCTGGGTATGACGTGACCTGTTGGCTGGCCACGCGTGGCCTTTGTCCTGTCACGGAAGTTTCCGTCTAGTCCCACTCTTTTGCGTGCCGCTGCCACGTTGGGCTTCGTCAACGCCCTCTCTGCCTCAGCGGATGAGCGCGCGGGTGTTTTCTTCGTTCCCTAACGGGGGCGTGTCAGACTGCTTCCTGCTTGTTGAACCACCCTTGTGTTCCTGGAATAAACCCCCCTTAGCCACGACGTTTAATCCACTTAACACATTTCTGAATTCAGCCTGTTTGTATTTTGTCGAGGATTTTTGCTTCTGGACCCACGAGGGGCAGTGAACTGGGTGTTCCTTCCTCGTAGCATCGTCCTGGCTTCGGCACCGGGGCGGTGCCGGCCTTGCCGAGTGAGTTAGGGAGTGTGCGAGGAGAATGGGCATCGGTTCCCCGTGAGGGGTCCCGTAGAACTCTCCAGCGAAGCCATCTGGTCCTGAGCTTCGATCGCTGGTTTTTTGATGACTGAGTCAATCTCTTTACTTGTTTTTGGTCTGTTCAGACTTTCTATTTCTTCTTAAGTCAGTTTTTGTAGTTTGTGTGTTTCTAGACGTTGGCCCATTTCGTTTAGGCCACCCAGTTTGCAGGCACGCGATTGGCGCCCCTATGATCCCTTCCTGTCTGTGAAACGAATACTCCCATACCTCATTGTATTTCGCTTGGCTTTATCACACCGTGCAGATAATTGTGTTCCCAACAACGTGGAGGCCAGGCCCTCCACAAGCAAAGAGAGTGCAACCTGCTGAAGGTTCAAGTGATGGTTAGCATTTTTTTAGCAATGAATTATTTTAAAATTACGGTATGCACTTTGTATGTACATAGTGCTATTGCATACTTAATAGTACAGTATAGTGTAAACATGACTTCTATATATACTTGGAAACCAAAAAAATCCATGTGACTCACTTTATTGTGATATTCACTTTATTGAGGTGGTCTGGCACCGAAGCTGGGATATGTCAGAGTGTGTCCCTTCATTTGCAATTTAGTAGTTTGGGTCTTCTTTCTTTTATCTTAGTCAATGTAACTAAAGTTCAGTAAATTCTGCTGATATTTTTTTAAAAGGTTTCATTTATTTTTTTAGAGAGAGGAGAAGGGCGGAAGAGAGGGAGAGAAACATCAACGTGGGGTTGCCCCTCGCGCGCCCCCTACTGGGGACCTGGCCCACAACCCAGGCCTGTGCCCTGACTGGGAACCGAACCAGCGACGCTTTGGTTCACAGGCCGGCGCTCAGTCCACTGAGCCGTGCCAGCCAGGGCATCTGTTGATATTTTTAATGAACAAACTTTCTATTTCATTGTTTTTCTCTATTTTTATATTCTCTCCACACTAATCTTTATTATTTTCTTCCTTCTGCTAGTTCTGAGTTTAGTTTGCTCTTTTTTTTTTTTCGTTGTTTTTATATCTTAATCTGGTGTCTGTTGGAGGATGTGAAGAGACAAATATTTTTGACACTTAAGGACATTTCTTTTATGTCATTGGCTGGTGGCAGAGACAATAGAGCCAAATGTTCAGTGCCCACACATAAAAAGAAATAGACTTTGTGAAAATAATTTGAAAAGTAACTAAACAAATGAAGATTATAGCCCCTCAATAAGCAAAACTCAACGATCCATGAGGAGGAAAATCTGGTCTTCAGATTTACCTCATTATATGAGAATGTTCAGATTCCAACAAAAATATACAGAGCATTCAAAGAAGCAGGAAAACACAGCCCATTCACAGGAGAAACGAATTTTCCAGAAACCCTCTCTGAAAAAGACACTGGAATGACTAGACGAAGATGTTAAATCGGCTGTCTTTCGCATGTTCAACAAGCTAAAGGAAGTCAGGAGAACAAGACATGATCAAAGAGGGAATGTCGTTAAAGAGACGAATTACGGAAAGGAACCCAGGAGAAAACCAGCAGCTGGGAAGGACAGCGGCTGAAATGAGGCGCGCACTAGAGTTTCTGCAGTAGATCTGCCCCTGCCAAGTTCCTGCTGATGTGAGGATAAGGCGGTCTCCAGAGGACCCTGGTGAGCACCCGCAGCTCCGGCGGGGGGCGGGGGGCCCCGTGGGGGCCCCCAGGCAAGCTCCACGCCGCCTCCGCCTCCCCACCGCCCTCCAGCCCTGGTCCTGGGCCATCAGCCCCTTTGCAGGGACGCTGAGGGCGGGGCCTCTGGAACGGGACGGGCTGGTGGCCGAGGAGGTGCTGGCCTGCCCAGCCTGTGGTGTCGGGGTGCAGACGGGGGTCCCGCACGCGGTGGGGGCCTCCGTCACACCCGTGGCCCAGCCCTCGCTCCGCGGCTGTCCCGACCCGGGCCCCGTTCTCACAGGTGCACCTGTGATCCTCCCCCCACTTGGCCCTGGGGCCCCCTTGCCCTGCAGACCCCGACTCTGTCCTTAAGGGAGGAGGCGAGCCAGGGGGACAGGTGTTTACTGAGCAGAGGGGCGTGCTGGCCTCGCCCCCTGGGCGGCGGGGGGTGCGGTGACCTGCGGCCGCGGACAGAGGGGCCGTGGAGCCAGGACACGTGCAGGGGGCAGCCGGCTGATTGTCCAGGGGCCAGGCGTGGGCGTCGGTCCCTCTGCGTGTCGGTCAGGGTGGGGCGCCGCCCAGGCCCCGGCAGCCAGTCCAGCGTGGGGCAGCCAGGGTCCTTGCGAGGGCGGGCACAGAGCCGCACTGCGGTCCCGAGGGCCCCTCCCTGGGCCTCCAGCACAGACGGCGCACGGTGGCCCTCGAGGAGTAGGGCACGTCTTTGAGCAGCACATCCGGCCACTGACGTGGCCGGCCCTTGCTGGGCGGGCTGGGCGGGGGTCGCAGAGGGGCCGGCGGCCGGCGCAGGGAGGGGGGCCGGGAGCCATGGGCAGAGCCCTTGAAGGGACAGAGGAGGGAGCCGGGCACTTGTGCGTGAGGTGGGGGCCACGCGCAAGCCCAGCCTGGGCAAAAGGGGCCACCCCACCGGCGTGGGGTGCCCCGGGCAGGAGCTGGGCACGGGCCCGCGTTGCCGGGGCGGGTCAGCTACAGAAGGACGGGGTCATGCCCTGCGCTCCAGAGCCCAGGACAGCGCCGTAGCTGTCAGACAGGGATGGCGGCCGTGGCCAGGGGTCGTCCAGCAGGAGCCCGGACCAAGCTGAGGCAGGGCAGGTCGGGGCCAGGTCACCTGAGGAAGGGCAGCGCCCCAGCCATTGCCGGGAGCTCAGGAAGGGGCCGAAGGCCCTTTGTCTGCGTGAGCGTGCAGCGCAGCCCCCCAGAGCTGGCAGGTGCCTGGGCCCCGCAGCCGGGGGCCACCCCTGCTCTGAGCCTGGCCTTCTCCGTCAAGGTCCAGGTGCCCAGATGCAAGTCGGTCCCCACCGCTCCCAGCAGCCCAGCCCCGGCACTTGCTGGTTCTTGATGAGACGCCGGATCTCAGTCCGCTGTCCTCCGGGTGGCAGCTGGGGAGGGAAACGGGGGGCTGGTGCAGTCTGTCCGGGGCACACTCCCCGGCCCGCCCCCACTGCGATGGAGGAAGGAGAGGGAGCGGCGGGCGCAGGTCCTGTCTCCAGGGGAGAGCACGTGGGCCGGGAGCCCCAGTCCCAACCCCAGGCCCGGGGTGACCTGTCATCGGCTAGGGGTGGCATTGCTGGGGAACGGGACCCAGACTTGGCCGAAAACTCTGCTGGGGGTGGGGTGAGTGGGAGGTGCCAGACTGAGGGATCCTCTGCAGGCCCTGGGGCGTTTCCGGGGTGCAGGGGAGCGGGCTCGGGGCTGCCCTGGAACCACTGTGACTCAGCTGGGCTCAAAGCCGTTCTGAGTGCCCCCCCGGCCCACCTACCCCCAGGCTGGCCACCCCTCTGGACCCTCCTGCCTCCGCGGCTCCTGCTGTAGTTTCCTCTCAGCAGCCCGGAGGCGGGGGTGCCCGCTCCCCACTCACGCCCCAGGGCCGCCCGCCTGGGTCACCAGCAGCCACCCCCAGGAGCGGCAAGGTTACCTCTGTCTTCGGCCAAGCCCGAGGCCCCAGGAGTCTGGGCCCGAGGGACGCCCCGATCTCCTGGAGGGGAGAAGCAGAGCCCTGGTCAGCACGGGACACCCTCGGGCAGGAGGCAGTGACAGCAGGCGGGGCCTCCTGGCCTCCTGCAGCGCCCCCAGGCCGCCCGCCCGGCCGAGGCGCCCGCCCGGCACGCACCACAGGGGACGTCACACAGCTGCCGGGGGGCTGAGAAGTGCAGGTCGGTCCTCCAGCCCTAGCAGACACAGCGCCTGGTCAGTGTGCAGTGTGGCCCGCGGCCCTGCCTGCGCCCCGCGGAGTCCCCAGAGTGCCGGCCCGGGGGGCCGCGGGGCTGAAGGGGCTCCTGGAGCGAGGGGGCCCTGGGCAGCCTGGGGGGGGGGCGCCCCAGGGGCTGACCGGGAACTGGAGGGCTGGGGGGCGGGGCCTGGGCAGCACCTGGATGCAGGTGTCCGGCCCGCAGGCCTTGTCCCTGGGGACGTCCACGAAGGCTTCGACCGCGGTGAGATTAGCCTGTGGGGGGAGGGCTGGGTCACAGGCGGGGGGCTGACCAAGCCGCCCCTGTCCCTGTCCCTCATGCACACGTGTGTGCGTGGCACGCGCTCCGCGCAGGCGGCCTGGCGGAAGGCAGAGAGGGCAGCGGGGAGTGCTGGGCCCACCCCCCTCCCACCCCGCTCACCGAGGCCGGAGAGAGGACGGTGGCCTGGAGCGGCCGGTGGCAGGGAGGGGGCCACGCCTTCCTTCGGTGACCCAGGCACACCTGGAAGCGGGCGGGGCTGGGCGAGAAGAAGGTGACCCGGAGGTGGCCCGGCGAGGGTGCCGGCTGGACGGCCATCTTCCAGGCTGCGGGGGCGGAGGGGTGAGGCCCGGCTCCCTCCGCCCTGCCTCCCTCCCTGCCCTTTGCCGTGCACAAGGCCCCGGCCGGCCTCGCGGGGCCCAGCCCGCTCACCTGGGAAGCGCGGCTGCTGGAAAGGGCACCTCACCCAGAAGCCCTGGCTGGTGGAGAACTGCGGAGGGGGTTAGAGCGCGGCGGGGGTGCCGCTGGGGCTGCTGCTCGGCCCCCTGGGACCCACTCCCACCCCAGCCCTGAGCTGCACCCACTGTCAGACCGGGAGGGGGTCAGAGGGGCTGCCCGATGGCGGGACAAGGGGCTGGGCAAGGAGTGCGGGCGGGGGGCGCCTCCTACCCTCCCCCCGGCCACCATCCCCGCCGCCACCCTCTCCAAGCTCTGGCAGCCGGTCGCGGGCTGTGGCCTGGCCACTCACCCTGAGGCAGAGCTGGGGCTGGGTGTCCACCAGCGAGTACTGCACCTGCGGGGGGCTCAGGTCAGGTCCGGACCGGCCGGGCTCACCCCGCCCCCGCCCCCGCCCGGCGGGCACTCACCCTGCCGTGGGCCGGCCGGTCTGAGCGCTTCAGCTCCAGGCACTGGGCCCCTGGGTCCGGGCGCCAGCACAGGCTCACGTGGCCGCTCACGGGGCAGGCGGGCTCCCAGCTGAGCGCCTGGCTCCTGGGGTGGTAGCGGATGGCCTCCCACAGCGCCTCTGTGTCTGCAGGGACCCTCCCCCGGGGGCTCGAGTCAGCGGGGCCGCCTCAGCGGCCGGTGAGCCACGGCCGGGGGCTCGCACGCAGCTCTCAGGCGCGTGTCCGGCCAGGCCCGAGTCCGTGCACGTGCGTGTGCAGTGTCGCGAGCAGAGGGCAAGGGTCCCCCTTGCAAGCTCAGGGACGCCCCCCCCCGACGAGACTTGGTTCTCCCAGGGGAGCCAGGCCATCGCACGAGCCTGCGTGTACACCCGGCACGCACACGCACACGCACACGCCCACTCCAGTGCCCGCCAGCGGGAGGTGCTCGGCCGGCACACGCCTCTGACTACAGGTCACCCAGAGCAGGCGGGGCTGAGGCCCCTCCCCCGGACCAGGCCGCCGCCGCCCTGCTGGACACCCCGACCCGCCCATCCCCACCCTTCTCTCCTCCCTCCCCGTCCCCACCCCTGGCACCGCAGGGCACTTGCCGGCTTCGAAGGGGCAGGTCTGGGTCCGCACTGCATCTGGGGTCGCAGGCCAGCTCTGCGGGAGGGGCGAGGGTCAGGCCAGGCCTGTGCATCCCTTTGTCCCCTCCTGCAGCCGAGGCCACCCTCTCACTGACCTCCAGGCACAGGCAGGGCAGCTCCTGGCTGTAGGGCAGAGAGACCGTCCTGGAGACGCTGTTCGCTGTCACCTGCCGCGGACCGAACCGGTAACTGAGGAGCTGGGGTCCGGGGGGCGGGGCTTTTGCGAGTAGGCGGGGCGGGGCCTCGGGTGGTGGGCGGGACCTGGGCCTTGGGGGCGGGGCAGCGGCGGGCGGCCGGTGTGGGCGGGGCTGGGGCGGGGCGGGGCTTGGGCCGGGGGCGGGGCCCGAGCCGAAGGCTGCGTTGGGGACGCCGGTCGCTGGGGGCTCACCCGCACTGGCGCGCCCGCGTCCTCGCAGATGAACCACTTGCGGCAGAGTCGCACGAAGTAGTCAGGAGCCCCGGGGGCCTCCGGCACCTGGACCAGGACGACCTTGCGGCTGCGGTCCACGCGGTAGGACAGCTTCCCGCCTGCAGGGCGGCAGCGGGGCCACGCTGGGACCAGAGGGACCAGGCACAGGGCTCCGGCTGTCCCGAGAGCCTCGCGGTGGCGGCCCGTGCCAGACCCTGGCATGTGGAGGTTGTCCGCCTGAGGACCCATCTTGATTTCCCAAGTGGGGCGGGAAGAAGGCCCCAAGGGCAGGGCTGAGGTCCCCGCGACAACCTGGGGGTCTTCTCGGGTAGGCTGTGGCGCCGCCCGAGGAGAAGGCTCACCCAGGCAGGCCGGCACGTTCCTCCCCACGTCCTCGTCTCCGCAGCCTGCAAAAGGCGGATGCAACGGTGGCCCCCAGCTCTGCCCTAGGGCCACCGCCCCCCGAGCCGGGCCTCTGTCCGTGTGGTTGCCCGAGGTCCCTCCTGTCCAGGGAGCCGGTGACCCCACACGGGACCCGATGGTCTCGCCGGGAGCCGCCCTCACCCTGCGCTGGGCGAGCCCCGCCCCACGGCCGTCCCTGGAGGCCAGAGGGCAGCCGTGCCGGGGCCGGCCCCCTGTGCTCTCACCTTCCACACGGTGCTGCCGCTCCAGCTGGACCCCACAGAAATGCGGGACAGTCCTCAGGGTGACGTGGAGGCTCTGGGCCACGCCCACCTCGAAGCAGTCAAAGTGCACCTGGAGCTGGGCAGGGACAGGTGCGAGCCAGGTGGGCCGGGGCCCCTGGCGTTCCATCCCCCTGGCTCGGCTGGAACCCAGGACCTGGGAGCAGAGCGGGGCGGGTGGCACCCCCTCCCTGGGCCTCAGGGCCAAGCCCCAGGAGAGGCTGCAACAGGGGGCCGGGCGGGGACGCAGAGAGGAGCCAGTCAGGGGACAGCCGCCCCCCTACAAAGGCGTGGTGCTGGCCTGGCACGTCCGGGCCAGGCCCCGGCCTCACCTGCTGCCCCTCTTGCGGCTGATGAGGGGCGCGGGAGACCCGCACGCTCTGGCAGCGCGTCTCCTGGGTGTCCGGGCTCGTGCAGCAGGCCTCCAGGCCCCGCAGGCTCTCTGGCGGAGGAGGGCGGGCGGCTGGTCAGCCAGGGCCGCGGGGCGTACCCACTCCTCCGGAGGAAGTGCGCTCCGCAGGCCCCCGCCCCCCCCCCCCCCCCCGTCCTGGGCGCCGCGCCTCACCAGGCAGCGTCAGGGAGGCCAGCACGCGCAGCAGCAAGGAGCAGCCGCCCCGCGGGCCGCACTTCAGGGCAGTGGAGAGCGTCAGGGCCCCCAGGACTGACGGCGACAGGGACGCGGGCCGTGGCCGGCAGAAGCTGTTCAGTATGCTCCCTGGGGAGGGAGAAGGAGAGCGGATGCCACCGGGCTCCCTGCCCCTGGGAGGCTTGCGGTGGGCGGGCCGGCGGGGAGGGCGTGGGGTGCCCGCTGCGGAGGGCCCCCCCCCCCCCGCCCTCGTCCTGCGCAGCCGGGCCCCAGGGCCGCAGCGTGGGGTGGCCCGCCCGCCAGCCGCGCTCGGACTCTGTCAGCGCCAGGAGGGGCGCGGGTCAGCAGAGCGGGCTGCCCTGGGCTGAGGAGGGGCCAACCGGCTGGGCAGGCCGCAGTGGCCAGGGCTGGCAGGACAGCGCGGGAGAGACGCGAGAGGGACCTGGAGCGAACTCAGGGGACGTTCAGGCTGCAAACCCTCAGCAGGGCGTCGAGGGGTGCGGGCCCTGCCCAAGGCAGGGGGAGCAGAGCCGCAGGACCGAAGGCGGCAGTGCCCTGCATGCACAGGCTCGGAAGCATCCCTGCTCCCGGCCGGACGGAACCCTGGGCCCTGGGGACAGGAACCGGGAGTCTTGCCTCAGAGCGGGGCGCAGTCAGCCTTGGGCTGAGCGCCGCTCTGGTCCTGCCCAACTAATCTGAAGAGCGAGACACACAACACATCGAGCTGCTTCCCAGCGACGTAGCTGCATTCCAGAAAAGGCTCAAGACTGTTTGTAGGAATAAAAAATATATCCAGCACACGACGGGTTAAAATTCAATAAAAAATTACAATCCTTACAAGGAATTATGGAAAACACAACCCAAAATGGAAGAAAAATCAATGAATTGAAACTGACACTGATATTAGAATTAGTAGAGAAGAACATTAAAACAATTATTATAACTGTATTCATATGTTCAAAAAGTTAATTATAGACATAGGAGACATTTCTTGAAAACCCAAATCCAACTTCTAAGGATGAAAACTCCATCAGACAGGATTAATAGCAGAGTAGATGTTGACCAAAAAATAAAATAAAATAAAATAAAAAATTGGGGAAATTGACATGGCAGCGGAAATCATCCCAAGTAAACCTCGCAAGATGAGGAGGAGGGGAAGCATGACAAGGACAGGACAATGGAAGACACTTCACTGAGCTGTGTGTGCAGTTAGGGTTCCAGAAAAAGTGGGGAAATGCAGCAGAACTTGAAGAAATGATACAGATTTTTCAAATTTGATGAAAACTATAAACTCACAGACCCAAGGAGCTTGCTGAGTGCTCAGTATAAGAAGTCTAAGAAAAATTACAAGGCACACCGTGATCAACTTGCTCAAAGCCACGGATGGAGAGGGAATCGTGGAAGCCGCCAGAGGCAAGAAGACGCGCTCTACACAGAGGACCAAGGCCAAGGATGAAGGCAGTTTCCTGTTGGAAGCAATGCCGGCCAGGGGCCCAGCAGAGAACCTCTCAAGTAGAGAAAGGCAAACCTGCCGGCCTAGAATTCGGTATCCAGGAGCGTCTCTTTCAGATGAAGGTACACACAGACTTCTTTAGCGTACGGAAGATGAACGGTTCCCTCGTGAGCAGGCCCAAACCACAAAAACAGTTCCAGTCCTTCAGGCGGGAAGGAAAGTGATACCCGGCAGAAAACGTACCGAAGAAATGAAGAACACTGGACATGGTAGCCGCACAGGTGAATGTACAAGTCATTTCCTTATCACTGAAAGCTGCCCAAGAGTCAAGAGCTTAAACGAGATAGTAACACTGTCCCGTGGAGCTCGGCACGCGCAAAAGGGACACAGGTGAGTCCAACGGCACACATGCCTGAGGCGGGAAGTGACCGCGCACGGGAAGTTCCACGTTGTCCGGGGAAGGCAGAACATGACGAGTTAAAGGTGTGTATTGTAATCCCTGAAGCAACCACTCGATAACAAAACAAAGGGTCTGACTGATAAACCGACAAAGGAGATACAATAGAACCCCGCGCACACAGAAACACTCAATCCAAAAGGAGGCAGAAACAAGTGCTCGTGAAGAAGAGATGGAACAGACCAGCACATAACGAGATGACAGGCTGAACCTTCCCCATACCAATAATCACATAAACTGTGAGTGTTTAAATACCACTAGTAAAAGGCCAAGATTTTCAGAGACCCAACCATCGGCTGCCTATGAAAATGCACTTTAACGATAAAGACACAAATTGGTTAAAAGCAATAGAATAAGAATGGAAAAAGACACGGATGCTAATACTACGTTTAAAAAAGCTGAGGAGTTAACACCAGGAAACATAGGTTTCATGGCAAAGAATGTCACCAAAGACAAAGGGAGCCACTTCACAGCCGCACAGGGCGTGTCCGCCAGGAAGGCAGTACATCCCTAGATGTGTGTGTGCTCAGCGTCTGAGTTCAGATGACAGACAAGCTCAGAGCTGTAGCTGGAGACTTCAATGCTCTCCTGCCTGCAGCTGACAGGACAAGTAGACAGAGAGCCAGGATAAGTTGTAGAAGCCTGTACAACGCCCCCAGCGCAGCCAACTCGGCTGACCTTGCAGAACACCCAGCCGCTGGCAGCAGGCTGCGCTTTTCAAGTACACACAGAATACTTTTCAAGATAAACCATATTCTGGCCCCTAAAACAGCCTCAATAAATTTAAAAGAATTCAGATCATGCAAACCATCTTCCTTGACAAAAATGTAATCCAATCACACAGTAAAAAATATTTATGGGAAACCTCCAAATACTTGGAGACTAATCAACACACTTCGAAACAACCCATAGCCCAGAGGAAAAAACAAAAACTACAAACTACTTTGGACGGAATGAAAATGAAAAGATAACATTAAAAAAATGGAGGCTGCTAAAGCCATGTTCAGGGCATATTTGCAGCAATAAACTCCTGCATTAGGAGGGATAGACGTGGCCCGGCCGGGTCGCTCACTTGGTTAGAGCGTCATCCCAAAATGCCAAAGTTGTGGGTTCGATCCCCGGTCAGGGCACACACAAGAATCGACCAATGAGTGCATAAGTAAGGGGAACAGCACATGGATGTTCTCTCTCTCTCTCTCTCTCTCTCTCTCTCTCTCTTTCTGATTGATAAATAAGAAGAAGTCAAAAAGGAAAGATCTCAAATCAGTGACCTCAGGTTTCACCATAAGTTGCCAAAGAAAGAAGAGTAAACATACACCTCACACTAATACACTAAATAATAGGTCTAATAACTTTATAGATCAATTATATTGCAAACTGGGGGGAGGGGCCAGCAGGGGAGAGACCTAAAACAACCAGAAGAAAGGAAATGATACAGACAGAGTGGCAGCCAAGGAAGAAGGAAACAGAAAAGCAATAGAGAAGAGCCAATGAGAGCATTTGTAAGTTCCACACAGATTCTTCCAGAAAATCGAAGATGAGGGAGTAGGAACTTGATGAGCCCCAATATAACTACGCCGAGTGGAAGGCTAGGGCACGGGCTGCGTGAGTCCACCACCCCTGTGGCTGGGGGTGCGGAGGGCGGGCTGGGGGGCACCAGGCACCTCCGGGGCAGTGGAAAAGTCCGCTCTGCTCCCCTGACCGGGTGGAGTCCGCACAGGTGTGTGCCGACGTCAGCCTTCGCAGGCTGAACACTTAACATTTGTTCAGTCGCTTTGCGTCAGCGCTGTGTCAACAAGGCAGAAAGGCCATTTCCTTCTCCCTGGCTGTGTGCGTGGGTAAGAGGGCAGAAGTGTCCAAATTCCCCCAGGGGTGGCGGCTCCTTGCTAGGGGGTTTCTCCCGAGTCAGTGTAACACAATTGGATGTGGGAAAAAGAGAACAATAAAACAACAACAAGGAGAAGGCCCAGAAGCCTTGAACACCCAGGGTGCAACTGCCTGCGAATCCATGAGGGTCTCGCGTCGGTGCTCCCCGGTCCTCAGTGGCCGGCAGGGAGACCCGGGAGGGCGAGGGGACCCAGGCTCCCTCCGCCTCCCCCCACCAGATTGATGGCGATTTAAAGGCAGCGAAACCCACACCCAGCAGGTCTGCCTTTGCTGCCACCCCGCGCCGGCAGCCCTGACCGGTGTCAGTGGTCAGCCCTCCGGCCGCCGCCGACGCTCTCGAGGGCCCCCTGTGGCCAACGTGGCCCGCCTTGGCAGGGGGATAACGCGGCCCGTGTCTGGTGTCTGAGGACGATTCGGAACCTTCTAGTAGGACACCAAGGACAGTGGCCGGAATCGGAGGAGAGGCCAGTGCAGGAGGCAGCCGAGCCCCTGGCCCGCCACAGGCTCCGTGGGAAAGGCTGGCGGGCTAGCCGCGCCCTGCAGGGCGGGGCGAGGGAGACTTTGTGCCCAGGCCGGAGGCCTCCTTGCGGCCCAGGGGCATCCCTGAGCGTGGCCCGCAGCGTCCTCCGGGGGGCGAGGGTCCTTTCAGGTCCTCGCTGGGCCAGGGCTTTCTGTTGCCTGTGTGGAAACTCCCTCGCCTGCAGGAAGGAGAAGGCTGCCTCTTTTGACCTTTTCTGGGGAAAAAGCCGAAGACCTATTCCAGCCAAGAAAACAGTCCAAGCCAAAATGTATTCCTTTTTTTTTCTTTTCCTTTTTTAGGCAGAGCAGTAGTAGAAGAGAAAGGCCCAGGTGAGCGTGGGGACGATGGAATCATGGAGGGAGGTGCACGGGGTGCAAAGTTGCTGTCACAAAACGAAATGTATGAAAAGAACAGGCTCTGTCCCAAAGAAAGCGGACAACACGGGGCGAGCCTGTGCACTGGCGACAGAAACAGGCTACGTCACGTGTGGCTCGAGAACAGTTCATTGTTCCCGTGGAAATAAGTGTGAGCCCAGAATGAATTCACCGGAAAGACTTAGGGAGAAGTAAACGTACTTGATCGCAGGCAGACATTCAAGAGCCAGCAGAGAGCCTCCCCGAGAGACGCCTACCACGCATTTTAAAAGGAGGAGCGGGAACTCGGAGGAGGAAGGGGCCGCGGAGGCGGAGGAGCCGGAGCCGGGCGGGTGGGCGCAGGTGGAACTGACCGCGGCGCGGAGGCCGCCGCCCGCCGGGCGCTACGAACAAGCGGGGGGTTTCGTTTCCCAGGCGAGACAGACCAGGCCGCCGGACCAATTCCGCCGCCCGAAACAATGAACAACGCTGGAGGGGCACGTATACAAGAACACTTCCTAATATCTTATGAAAGCTAAAAAAAAAGATTCGGGGTCATCGGGCCAACAACCGAGAGAGGCCGGAGGGGCAGCCACGGAAGCCACGGCGGCTCCTGCCCAGCGAGGCCCCAGGGGCAGCGTGGGAGGAGGGCAGGGCTGAGGGGGCGGGAGGCGCGCCCTGGAGAGCCGGCCCCTCCGGCCCGCGCCGGCCGCCAGCCGGAGCCCTGTTGCGCCTCCGGGGAGCCCCGGGAAACCTCCACCCGGGACGGAATTGGAAACGGGCCTGCGGGCCGCGAGCCGCTCCTGGGAACCACTCGGGAGCGAAGTGCATGCACCTCGTCCGGGGAGGCTCCTGCGCCCCTGGCCTCCGGGAATGGTTCCTCCAGGGCGCGGGGCAGGCAGACGACAAGGGGGTCCCCGCGGGGATGACCGACCCCACAGAACCCCACAGAGGCCCCCCTAACGCAGTGACAGACGTGAGCCGCAGCCAATCGCGAGGCTGGAAACCCGCGGTTGGGCGGCTCCCCGCCGGGCCTCCTGGCGAGTCCGCTGAGCGGCGCAGCAGCCCGGTCGGCGCTCACGGGGCTGCGCGCGGTAGCGCTTCGCTGTCCCTTTTTTCCCCCCCAAGAGTAAAATGTTGCTGTCGAAACATCCGACACGATATGCTTTTCTTTCCGTCTTGAACTTTTTTTTACCCAGATGCCTAGATACCTCTCTTTTTCTTTTTACAACCCAGTGGTTTCGCTGGACTCTGTTTCAGAGCTGGGTGTTCAGGTCGATGCTCCCGGGTGCGTGGTTCGTCCCCTCAACATACGCGTCTTTAAGACGAGAACTTCAGCGTCTTCTCGGACCGTGCTCCTCGGCGTTCGTCCCGTGCCCTTGGTTTCCTCCTCAGACATCACCTGGTTTTGGTCATTGTTGCCTTGTTTGCAAACTTCACCCTTTTTCACATGTCATTTTAATCACTTTTTTTTTTTTAAGTTTCCAACCATTTCCACCTCCTCACCTTTCTTTTCCCTTAAGTCCTTCAACACTGGATCTGTGTTCTTCTAATGGCGTCTTCGTGTCTAAAATGGCTTTTTCCCTTCATTTCTGATTCTGCATGTTGTCACCTCATTTTTAAACGTTTCTAATTTTGTTCCTATCTTCCTTAATGCCTGGCATCATTTTCTGGAGTCTTCTAAACCACTTCGAGCTTCGACGTGGCCGTTGTGGGCTTCGTCTGGTTGTTCCCGGCATGCCTCGCGGGTGCCCTTCAGTGGCCGGTGGCTGTCACTCTGCTCCAAGCCCCTCGTGCTGTCGTCGCCTGTGTGGAATGGGTCCTTGCCTCTGTTTCAACGCTCGTATTGGGTTGGCCAACAAGTACGGGTTTTTCTTCTGTAAAATAAAAAACACGTTTTTCATTTTCACCAATAACTTTATTGATTTGGATACTTTGAGCATGTCAGCCGTCTCCCGTGGGGTAGAACATCGATTGTTCTCAATGTCTTGATTTGATCGCTGTCAACTTCAAGAGCAAAAAATCTCCAGCACAACACTTCGCAAACCACTTTGACACGTTGGGTCAGTCACAGCACCTTCTGCGTACATGGCACACACCCTTTTTGGCGTTTCCGTCGTGCTTTTACCTTTCTTGAAACAATAAAGTGTAATAAGCCAGAAATGTTGTGTATATTCTTCCGTCTTCAATGTTAAAATGGTTACACAAATATTTACTAATTTTTATTTTTTCAAATGCACAGCGGATGTGACAGCTGTCACAATGCAATGTAACAAAATTGCTCGGATGAAATTAAAGGCAGCCGAGCACGGCCAGAGCCACCGCCCGGGAAGAAGGCGAGCAGACGTCTCGGCGCGCGCACCGTGCGCGAACGCAGCGCCCCTGCGCGGGCGCGGAGGCGGCACCCGGGGCTCTCCCGGCCTCGCAGGGCGCCCTCTTCTGTCCAGTGTTTGCAAACGGGGTGGATTCCGGGCTCAAACCCGCAGCTCGTTCTTTGGGGCTCTGTTCGGACCGCCGTTTCTCTCGCCACTGGTGTCGCTCTGCTCAGCGTTGGCGCCACCCCAGCGTTTCTGTCCGAGTCCCCAGAGGGGAGCCCCGGCGCTGGGAGTGGGCCGCGCCCCGGCCGCAGGGCGGGGTCTCCCCAGCTCCGGGCGCCGCGCACTCGGTGCCCTGCTGCGCGCGCCGCGCGGGCGCTGGGGGCGAGCGCCCCGCTCTAAGCCTCGTACGCCGTCGGCATCTGAGGACTCGGGGACGCCGGGCCGCACTGCTACCACCGTCTCCCGGGCGACGTAGCGAGGAGCAGAGGGCCGGGAAGTAGCCCGGAGGGACCGTGACGGAGGCCGCGTGGCCTGGCTGGTCCGCCGCGCGGCACCCCCGCGTCTGGCGAAGCCGGACGGGCGGAGGACGCACGGGCGCTCTGGGCTCTGTACGAGCTGCCAAGTGTCGCTGACACACAGGGACGGGCACAAACACAGGGTAGCACAGTTAAAACAGGAAGGAAGGGAAGGAGGTCGGAGGGACCCAGGGGCAGAGGGGCGTCGCCGCTTCCCTCCTGTAATCGCTCCGCCGCCATCGCCCGGTGAGGTTTCTCTGCTGGGCTCCCCCCTTCCGCCCCGCCCCCAGCCGTCAGTCTGTTCTTGTCTGTGAGCCTGTTTCCGTTTTTCTGTTTGTTTATTTTGTTCATTAGAATAAACACAAAAATGAAATCCTACGTGTTTGTCTTTCTCTGTCTGCCTGGCTTATCTCGCTTAGCGCAATGCTCTCCAGGTCCCTCGGGACCGCCGCGGAGGGTGCCATTTCCTTCCCCTACGGCCCCGCGGTATCCCTTTGTGTGACTGTAACAGGTTTGGAGCCCCTCGTTCGCTGAGGGGCATGGGCTGCCTCCATCGCTCGGCGGCTGTAAATAACGCCGCGGTGAACATGGGGGTGCGTGTATGCTTTTGATTAGTGTGTTGGGGTCCTTTAGATATATTTCCAGAAGTGGAATTTGACCCAGAACTGGGTCAAAAGGCAGATCCCATTCTTAATTTTTTAGGGAAACGCCGCACTTTCCACAGCGGCTGCCCCTGCCCGCATTCCTCGCCCCCACCCCCACCCCCGCCTCCGGTGCATGAGGGCCCTTTTCTCCACGGTCTCGCCTGCCCGTGTTGTCTCCCCATTTATTGATGACCGGCCATTGTGACTGGTGCGAGGTGGCATCTCACTGTGCTTTTAATTTGCATCTCTCTGAGGCTTAGTGATGCCGAGCATCTTTCCACATGTCTATTGGCCTCTGTATGTCCTGTTACAGAATTGTCTATTCAGGTCCTGTGCCCATTTTTTAAATTGGATTGTTTTTTGGCGTTGACTTGTGTAAATTATTCATAAATTTTGAAGGCGCTTCTTCGGCGCATCTGTTCTCCCGTTCGGGCCGGGTCGCCTGTCTCTTCATCCTGTGGGTGTTTCCGCTGCTGTGCAGAACCTGTTTCGTTTGGTAGAGTTCCATTTGTTTATTTTTCTTTTGCCTTCTGTGCCTGAGACAATCTATTAGAAAAAATATGGCTACAAGAAATGTCTGAGACTTTACTGCCTGTAGACTCTAGGTTTTGAGTGTTACATTTCAGTCGTTAATCTGTTTTGAGTTTATTCTTGTGTAGGATGTGAGATGGTGGTCTAGTTTCTTTTTTTTTTTTTTTTTTTTTTTTGCAAGTATCTCTCCAATTTTCCCAACACCCTCTATTGAATAGACCGTCTTTACGCCATTGTATGTTTTTGCCCCCTTTATCAAATATTGTCTAGAAAGGCATGGATTTATTTCTGGGCTCTTTATTCTGTTCCCTTGACCTCGAGGTGTGTTCCTACGGCCTTGCGGCACACTTTGGTGGTAGGCAGCGCGATTTCTCCAACGCTGCTGTTCTCCCTCAGGATCGCCGTTGCTATGTGGGGCCTTTGTGCCTCCGTGTAAGTTTTTGAAATATTTGTTCTAGTTCTGTGAAATACACTGGAATCTTGACAGGAATTGCCTTTAATCTACAGACTGCTTTGGGGAGCATGGACATTTTAATGTTAATTCTTCCTGTAAAGGCAGTATACGCTTCCACTGATTTGCATCTTCTTCCATTTCTTCAGGGTCTTATAATTTTCTGAGTGCAGGTCTTTTACATCCTCGGTTAAATTTATTCCAGGGTGTTGTGCTTTTCTGATGCAGTTGTAAATGGAATTGTTTCCTTAGTTTCTCTTTCCGATAGTCCATTACTGTTGTCTAAAGATGTGACTGCTTTCTGGAGATTGATTTTGTATCCTGCTACTTTGCGGAATCCATGGCGCGGCGTCAGCGGCTGTGCGGTGGGCTCACACTTACTCCCCACAGCGCCGGCCGCGCTGATCCCTGTGCCCGGGCAAGGAGAGGAAACGAAACCACCCAAGTGGAAAGGAGGAAGGGGACCGTCGTTGTTTGCAGGCGGCAGGACACTGTACGGAGAGAACCCTAAAGATCGCACTGGCCATTTCTCTAGTTTATTGTTGCCTATTAAATTCCAGTCAACCTAAAGAAAATATTTGTTTTAAGCGGCATAAAGCAATCTCATTTTTACTTTAAAATTTTATCTGCTCTTCCTGTTATGTTTGCCTCCAAAAGCGCCTAAGCAGTGTTTCCCTCATGAAAGATCGTGTTTTTTCTGTGCAGAGGCTTTGGCGTGAAGTCGGTTTCAGCCTCCACCCTGTACCCCCGGCCTCGCCTAGGCTCCTTTTAGTAAACGCGCGCTGTGTTTGCAAGGGCGGTAAGGCCGCCTTTACGGGGCTACCACTGTACCACAGAGACGTTTGAGAAGAGGGAGCGGGGCGTCCGTTCCGCGACGCGGGCAGGCCTGTAACGCGGTGCGGAATGCGAGGCCCCCACCCGGCGCACCCGCGCGCCGCACACCAGGGACCGGGAGGAGACGCGGGCCCTGGCCAGGCCCACCCCCGGGAGGTACTCACGGTTCCGGCGGCTCCTGCAGACGAAGCCCTGGAGAGAAAACAGAGAGGGGGCGGAGGGTCAGCCCGAGGCCACAGGCGGCCTGGGCCTGTCCCTCCGCCCCAGCTCCCCTTCCTCGGCAGCGGGGACGCCGGCCCCGGGACAGCCCAGCCAGGGGCCAACAGGTTCGCCCAGTAAACAGTGTGTTGGGGCTGTGACCTCAGGCCCCGCTGCCCCAGGCTACACGCCCGTGCAGCGGGGCAGGTGCTGCCCTGGGGCCCCCGGCGCCGGGACGGTGGGCGGAGGGCGCTCTGGGTGGAGGAGACCCAGGGCTCGCAGCCGGCGGCACCGGTGGGAGGGCGAGAGTGAAAGTGGGGTCGGCCTCTGGCTCCGATCTGGGGGCCGGCCCCCCGCGGGCCCCGACTCCCCCCTCGCCCCGTCTCTACACGAGCTTTCGCTTTGGAACAGCGTGAGGTTTCCGGGCGTTCGCCCCGCACCTCTGGGTCCGCCTCTGGGTCCGCCTCTGGCCGAGCGGGGTGGCGGCGGGCGGCCAGCGGCTGCGCTCCAGGCCGGCGTCGCGTTCCGCCTGCTTCTCCCCATCGTCTGTGTCCTGTTCCACCTCCCACAGTCTCCCCGCCTTTTGGATCCCACCCCACTGCCACCGTCCCGTTCTCGGACCGAGGCAATGTCTCCCTGGGGCCAGGCTGTGCGCCCCTCCCCTGTTCCCTGCTGAGGTCAGAGGGCCACAGACCCGCCTGCCGCCTCAGTCCTGCAGCCGCGCCCACGGGCGGCGCTGGGCAGAGCCGATCCCGGCCTGGGAGTGGGGGCGCAGCCGCCCGCCCACCTTTCAAACGTGGCTGAGCAAGGGTGGGGGACAGGAGACCACGCAGACAGGACGCTGTGGGCCGTGGCGTCCGGTGGAGGGCACCTGGGTGCGGTCTGGAAGCTGACCTTACAGTGCCCTTGGGGACACAGGAAGGGGGACCAGCAGGGGCAGAGGTCGAGGCCGGAGAGCACCCGTGGGCTGTGCCGCCCGGGACCCCCGGCGTCGGGGACTGGGGACAGGGCCGGCAGGAGCCCCGGGCCTCTGATGGGCGGGGTGGAAATGAAGAAGCTGCTGGGGTTTTCCTCTGGGCTTTCCGGGGCTTCCCAGCCCACGCAGGGGAGGGGGCGGGGGAGGGGGCAGTGTTGGCGGGGAGGGACCCCCGAGGCACTGGTCTCTGAGGTGGGGCCTGGGCGCCAAGCAGGAGGGCGCCCGCTGCGGGGGCGGGGGCGGGCGGGGGCGGGCGGGGGCGGGTGGGGGCGGGGAGGCCCCTGCCGCCCGCTCAGCCCGTAGGCCGCCCTGGCCCCGCGTCTGGCCGGCCCCAGCCCTGGCTGCCAGGTCGCCAGGACGGCCTGCTCTGAAGAACGGCCGCGACCCAGGACCAAGGCCTCCGCTGTCCCCCACCTCCAGCACCTGTGCCTGTGCCATTTCTCTAGTTTATTGTTGCCTATTAAATTCCAGTCAACCTAAAGAAAATATTTGTTTTATTTGTTTCCCCCGCTCAGCGACAAGCGGCCCGTCCAGCTTCCAGCCCCCTCTGCCCCCGCCCCCGCCTCGCAGCTTGGCCTGGCGGCCAGGCCACTGCCCCCTGTGGGCAGGGAGCCCCTCGCCCCCCATGGCCTCCTGCCCCCCCCCCGCCCCTCCTTCCAGGGTTCTTCCTCCCCTCAAACTCGGGGCAGGGCTCAGCCCACAGCCTGGCCGTGGGTCCCTCCTCAGCGTGGGACGGCCTGGGCCCCCAGTCTCCTTGTTGGACGGGCTTCTCGAGCCCCGCGCTCCACAGCTGTGGCTCTCCCCGTCCTGGGTGCTGGCCCAGCCCGGTCTCGGGACCAGCTCCTCCAATCGCCCTGAGCCCAAGGCCACCGGCGTTACCCGCCTCAGGTGCCCAGGGCCACCTCCCCCACCGCGTCCCCTGCACAGGCCGCCGGGAGCTGAGTCCCCGAAGGAGCCACCCAGCCCCAGGTCCCCGCACCCCAGCTCTGAGCCCAGCCTCCGACCCCCGGGCTCTGCCTGACCCTTGGCCTGTGCTCCAGCCACTGCGAGCCCGTCCCTCGCCGAGGTCCCGGGCCCCCTGGGGACGCACTCCCAGGCTCCTCAGAGCTGCCTTCCCCCAGAAGGGGGACCACCCTGGGACCCCAGGGCCCAGCCACCGCAGGGAGGCGGGCGGAGCCCTCGCCCTGGCTGCCCCGGGCTCCCCTCGCCCCCAGCCGCAGCCAGCCCTCCGTCCAGCTTTATCGTGCGCGTCCCCAACGAGAACACCAGCCCCTGAGGGCAGGGGCACTGTCGGGCTCCCGCCCCGTGCACACAGCAGGTGCTCAGCAGACCCCACCCCCGGACGCCTTCTGCGCCGCTGCGCGGTGTCCGCCCGGAGCCGGGCGCTCCCTGGGATGCAGCGCACTCCTCACGGCAGGTGCTGCCGAGACCCTCCTGTGGGAGAGGCTGAGTCACCCTGCTCTGCCCTGAGAAATCCCTGGAGGCCACCACTTCGGGCCGTGTCCTCGCCCAGGGCCCCCTCCCGCACCAGGATGAGCCCGCTGCCCAAGGCATTTCCTCGCGGAGTCCACACAAGCCCAGCAGCCCCGGGGCCGGGATCGGGGGGAGGCAGCGCGGCTCCGGGCGCCGCCCTCGTCCCCTCCGGGAGGTGGGTTGCAGGTACAGCAGCAACCGTCTCCCAGGGCAGCGCTGCGGGGGGGTGCCCTCAGGGGTCCCCATGCCCCCAGCCCCCCGCCCCCCCATCACCCCCCCGGGGCCCCTGCACTCTCATCTGTCACTCATGTTTCTGTGCTCAGGGCACCTGTGGAGGACCCAGGGCCCCTCGAGATGAGAGCGAGGGAGGGGCAGGCTCACCTGGGAGCAGGAGAGGCCACATTGTGTGACCCGGGGGATGGCCAGGCTCTGGTAGGCGCTCCAGGTCAGCGACAGGAGAGCCACGGCCCGCCCGGCCAGCATGGTCGCTGCGGCGCGGCTCTGTGGGCGTGGGTGTCGGCTGAGCTCACGGGGCCGTGGGCGCAGCTTCTGCCCCAGCCGCAGCCTCTGGCACCAGTGGCAGACCGGAGCGCACGCCCCTGCTCGGTGGCTCCTGGTGGAACGGAGCCCAAGTGGGCCGGCCGACGCCGCAGCCCCGCAACTTCCCGCCTGTCCCAGCTCGTGCTGACGGCCTACAGACTCTGGCCAGATGCCTGTGGGCCTTCTTGGCTGCCAGAGGCTCCTGAACCTTGAGTCACCGACACCCCGGGGGGCTGGGTCCTGCACAGGCTGGAGGCTGGAGCGGGGCTGCCCGCGGGGCCAAGGGGTCAGGGGCCCTCCCCACACCCGACACCCCACGGCCCCCGGGTGCACCCCGCCTCTCAGGGGGGAGGGAGGGGGGATGGTGGCCCCCGACCCTGGCCACGCAGCCCTGTGGCGTGAGCCACACGGGGCAGCTGCTCCCCAGGGTGCGTCCTCCGAGCCCAGCCCCACGGGGCTGCTCTCTCCTGGGGGGCACCTGGGATGGTGCCCGGGTCTTGAGCGACCCCGCCCGTTGCCTCTCTGGATCCAAAAAGCGGCCTTGGCTGAGCCCTCTGATCGCTGTCCCTCGCCCCAGAGGGACGCGCCCCGGGGCCTGCGACGCCCCCCTGACTTCGGCTTGGGAACCCCTCGGGGCTCCTTTTCTGGTGCAAACCCTGCCGCCCCGAGAGGTTTCCGGACAGGGCCTCAGGCACCTCTGGGAAGGAGAGGCCCCAGACGTGCTCTGGGGCCCCCGGCCTCTGCCTGCCCTGGTGGGCGCTGTCCCACGAGCAGGGCACAGGCGAAGGGGTGCCCAGTCGGGGAGGCCCCTGGCGTGCTGGGCCCCGGGGAGCAGGGGTCTGCCTGGAACCCAGGGGGCGCCCACAGGTGCTGGGGAGCAGACCCAGGCCAGCAGCCAGCAGGCAGGTCCCTGGGGCAGCCCCCGAGCGCTCCGTGGGGCGGACGCGTCCCCCACAAGAGATGGGGCCTGCGGCGGGACCAGGACCACGGTCGCACCCTGCTGCCGGAGCCACCACCCCGCCGCCTTCCCTCCGCCCCGGGCCAGCGCCCCTCCCCGCCCCGCCCCCGCCTGGCCTGTGGGCCCCCTGCAGTGTTTGCCGGCAGCTGCGCAGCGTGGTTGGGGCGTGGCAGACCCCACTCGGGCTGGCGCGGTCGCTGCCACGCCAGCGGACCCCGGGGGCACTGTCTCCTCGGCGCGAGGACACCCACGTGGCCCGCTCCGTGGCTGCCCTAGGACGGGCCCATCCTGCCCGCTGACACGCCCGCTCCTGGAACGTGGCATCGCAGCGCCAAGGGGTCCAGCCACATGGCTTCATGGGGGGACAGGCCCACGGGGGAGGAGCGTGGAGGGGGAGGGCCCCTCACCGCAGGGGCCCTGTCCTGTCTCTGAGGCCCGGGGGCTCCAGGCCTTCCCAATGCCCACAGAGAGCTGCCCCTGCCCACTCCTCGGAGTGCCCTCCCTCCCGTGTCGGCGCGGGGGGCGGGTACGCCGCAGCCTGAGCCCGGGGAGCCGCAGGGCCCGCGCGGCCGCTGGCGGCCGAGGGCACGGGAGTCCAGCCGCGGTGGCCTCTGAGGGCCCGCCCCCGCTCAGTGCCGGGTTGGAAGGCGACGCAGGGCCGCAAAGAGCCTGGACCAGCAGAGCAAGGCTTCTGTCGAATAAAAGAAGGAATAGCCCCGGCGGGTGCAGCTCAGCGGACGGAGCGCCGGCCTGCGAACCGAAAGTGCCCGTTGGATTCCCAGTCAGGGCACAGGCCTGGGTCGCGGGCCCAGTTCCTGGGTGGGGGGATGTGAGAGGCAGTCACCTGATGTTTCTCTCCCTCTCTTTTTCCCTCCCTCCCGTGTCTCTTAAAGTAAAACCTGTGGGTGCGGGGCACAGGTTGTGGGGTGCAGGCGCTGGGATTGGGTAGGGACTCCATAAGAAACAGCACAGTTACAGTTGCGTGATTTCGCTAAAATAGCTCTGTATACAAGGTTCCTCATCTACGTGCAGGTTTCCTAAGAAGCGAGCCATGCGCCGGAGGGCCTGGGCGCCTCCGTCGGGCCCCGGTCCTCGCGTCGCGGGGTCCACAGGGAGCAGGACCGCGGCCCCGGCAGGACGGTGGTGTGGCAGGGGCGGGGCGGGGCGGGGCGGGCGGCAGCGAAACAGCACACTAGACTCGGCGCGGGCGGGTCCCTCTGCAGCCCTTTTGGGGGAGAGAGAGGCCCTCAGACTACGCCCACCTGCCCAGGCCAGGCGCGCAGGCCGCCCCCCACCCCCTCCCAGGACCTGGCTGGACCCCAGCCCCGCTGGCTCCCAAGCCCGCCTGCTCCCACGCAGGCCGCAGCCCTCGGAGAGCCCGGGCCTCCACTCAGGGGCTCTCCGGGGCAAAGGCAGTGGGTCTGGGGGGGCCCCCCTTGCCCTGCTCCTCCGTCCTCCTGTCCCCGCCTGCTCCCCACCCTGAGACTGTGGAGGGCCCCCACCAGGCAGGGCGGGCGGGCCTGGGCGCGGCGGCAGGGAAGGAGCAGGGCCCAGCCGCTCGGAGCCCGCCGTCCCGCCGCCACGGTGAGCTGCCCCCACAGCCGGCCTGGGGGCCCGCCCCTCGGGAGCAGGGCCCAGCAGCGTCCACCCAGCACCCGCGGCCGTCCCTCCGCCTGGGTTGGGGAGGCCGGGGCGCTTTCTCGAGCTCTTGCTCCGGCCCTGAACCCAGCCTGGCCCTCCCCAGGACCGGACATGCCCAGGAAGGCCCCGCTCCTTCCGCCCAACGTGGCCGAGCCCAGAGCCCCTGCGCAGAGGCCCCCAGCGTGGGCTGAGGGCGCAGCAGCTGCCCATTCCCCGGCCAGCGCGCAGGACGGGGACCCAGGGCTCCGGAGGAACACCTGTGCGCCAGGGCCAGAGGCTCCGCCGGGGCTGACGGAGCTCTTCCCACCGGCCGCCGGGGCCGCCGTGCGCCCCGTGGAGGGCTCAGCTCCGCGCCGGTCTGTCCAGGGCAGTGCGGGGCGAGGTGCTGCAGCGGGTGGTGGCGCGCAGGGCGGCCCCGCAGAGGCGGTGAGGGGCCAGGGTGGGCAGGCCAGCCCCTGTGAGGCCCCCTCCCCCACCCGAGGGCGGAGGGAAGCTGCCGCTTCGCCAGGGTGCTTGCCCGGCCCCGCAGACACCAGGGCCGGCGTGGCCAGCAGGCAGCCGGAACCCGGGCCCTCCAAGGGGCTGGGGCCTCGGCCAGAGCCCACAGGCCCCCTGCTCCTCCTGGGCCTGGCCCTGGCCCCTGCCCAGCTCCAGGCCGTCCCCAGGTCTCTGGCCAGCCCTGCTGAGGGTGGGGTGGGCCTGTGCCGAGCCCCCTGCCCCAGGTCGCTGAGGCCCCCGTGGGAGGAGGGGAGGGTGGGAAGACAGGGCTCCCTGGGCACCGTGGAGCCTCAGTGGCGCCCGGACCTGGCTGGCAGGGGCCCCCTCTGCCCACGGCAGGGCTGAGTCACTCCTTGCCGGGGCTCCGCGGCTGTGGAGCCGCGGCTGCCTATGCAAAGCAGCCGGCAGCTTCCTGGAGCCTGGGGCCTAGGGCGGACGCTGAGCCCCGGCCGGGAAACAGCCTCCCCAGCCCGGCCCCAGGGCCCGGAGGCACAGGACAGGGGCGAGGCAGAGGCTGGGCGGGCGCCCGGGCCGGGTGCCGAGCTTGGGGACCAGCGTGCCCCGCGGCCCGGGGACGCGCTGTCAGGCAGTCCTCTGCTCACCTACGCACCCCCGTGACACAGGGCCCCCCGCAGGGCTGGCAGGGTGGAGCCTGGCCAGCTCCACTCCAAGGAGAGCGGGACCGGGCGCCCGCCGTGCCCCGGTGCCCGAGTGGAGCAGCTCCGGCCAGGCGGAGGGCGCCCGCGGGTGTGCGTGAGGGAGGCGCCGGAGCCCCGGGCCGGTCGGGGCTGTGCTGGGTCACGAGCTGAAAGGGGACAGAGGGGCTCACGGAGGGGAGGGCGGCACTGCGCACAGCACCCCAGAACCGGGCGCACTTTGATCCTGCCGATCCTTCTGGGGAAACCGCCAAACCTGGGGCACGAAGTATGAAAAGAATCTTCCTAAAAGCAACACAGCGCTGGCAAGGGAGGGAGGGACACCCCCCTCGGCAGCAGGCAGGGGCGCCCCGGGCACTTCCTTCTGAGGCTGCCAACCCGGGAGGCCGGCTCAGGGCTCCCCGGCCTCAGGCAGCGTGTGGGGGCAGAAGACTGTGAAGTGGGGAGAGACCCCCACCCTTCCGCAAAGCCGCGCCCCGAAGGGCCACACCTGTCCTGCCCGGGGGCCGTGGGAGGGACCCAGGGTGCTGAGCAATGCCGGGAAACCCCAGGGAACACGGCCTCACGTAGCCCCGGGTTTGCACAACAGATTCTTATCCCTGGGCTGGGGGTGGGGTGGGGAATGGCGTGTCCCTTGTGGATATAAGTGACACCGAGCACCCTCCTCCAGGCCTGCCGGGACCGCGACCTGAATTCTGGGAAGAATGCAAACAATCCACACAGTTAGCTGTTTACAGAAGATGAGCCGTGTGCGAGAGCGCAAGGGAACGCGCGGGCAGACCCAGCACCACGCGCGGCACAGGCTCGGCTTCCGCGCCTGCCAGGCACGGGCAGCGTCCGGGGGCGGCTGGCCGTCATCTAACCTCGGCACCAGCCGTGAGACGTCACAGGCCGGGAAGGAAAGGGCCGGGGTCACCCAACAGCTTTATTAAAGGGATCTTCTAAAATAATGAAACTATCGTAACTAAGATTAAAATTTCAGCAGGTGGGATCAGTGTCCAGGAGCCTGACACAGAGGTAACAGGCCGGAGGCGGCCCAGGACGCGGCAGATGGGGGCGGGGCGGGGCAGGGGGGGGCACGGGGGGGGGGGGGGAGCAGAGGGGGTGGAGGGTGCGAGGAGGAAGCTGTATGTAAAGAGGTAGTGACAGAAAATTTCTCATCGCTGATTAATGGCTTAGCGTGCTGATTAAAGAACTCCGCAGAACCCCAGTTAGAACAAATAAAAACGAGCCACACGCCCAGACCTGCAGGCAAGCCAGCTGGGCAGCTCACGGGCGGGCGGAGGGCGGCTCCGAGGCCCCAGAGCAGCGGACGCCTCCAGGGCGCAGCGGCCTCAACCCAGGCTCCTCCCCGGGAGTCTGTCCCTCCCAGAAACGAGTGTGAAAGGACAGTTGTCAACCGAAAGCTAATCTGAGCTGGGCCCGCCAGGCCCTCCCACGGGGACGTCCTCAAGAACGCGTCCTCAGCGGGATCCCCGTGGGTCCCCGCGGGGAGTGTGAGATGCACCGAGGGTGGAGGGCACGGCTGCCGGACCGTGATGGATACAGACAGACGGACACCAGGGGCAGCCTAGAAACCGCACAGCATGCACGTGCCGTGGCCACGGTGCAGCTCAGCGAGGACAACACAGCGTCCTCGGTGCACCGGGCAGCGGCTGCTGAAGACCACACAGGGAAGCACCGGCCCGAGTCCCACACCAGGCGCTGAAGCAACTCCCAGCGCAGGCCACGTGCAGACGCGCGACGTCCCACGGGGTACAGCCAACGCAGCCGGTTCAGAAGAAAACTTTGAGAAGGAAACAGAAGCGGCTATTTTTTATGACTGAGATAGGCAAAGATTTCCCAGAGAGAAAACAAAGTGTGCATCACAAAAAGAACAATTGATAGAGAAACACATAAAAATTACTAATTCTTAATGCTATTAAGAGAATGGAACGCAGCCCCGTCTGGTGAGGCTCAGTGGACTGAGTGCCAGCCTGTGAACCAAACGGCCGCCAGTTCGATTCCCAGTCGAGGCACAAGTCTGGGTTGAGGGCCAGGTCCCCAGTAGGGGGTGCACAGGAGGCAGCCACACATGGACGTTTCTCTCCCTCTCTTTCTCCCTTCCTCTCTCTCTAAAAATAAATAAATAAAGTCTTTTAAAGAGAGAGAATGAAAGGCAAATCATCAAATAGTAAGTCACTTTAAATACATATACCCACCCCAGATATGGAATAGGCCAACAGAAACATTTGTCCAAATATAAAAATGGTGCTTTGCAGGACTGAGTGCAGAAAGCATCCAGCCACGCACTATGAAAAACAGAGACATTTACTGAAGATGCAGGATACAAGCAACACTGTACACAGGACGCCGCCGCCTCAGTCCCTTCCAAGCAGGCACCCTGGGGCCTCACACAGTCCTCTCAGTCGCCATCCGCTGTCCCGTCGTGTTTTCCTGAGTCTCATCAGTGGTCTGAAATCTCTTCCCTTTCACCTGGATTTTAGTTTTGGGGAAAGCCAGGCGTTGCAGGGCACCCAATCTGGGCTATAGGGAAGCTGAGTCACCTGGGTGATTTGATGTTTTGCCCAAAAACTCTGCACGAGACACGATGCATGAGCAGGCGTGTTGTGGTGATGAAGCTGCCAGTCCCCGGTGCCCACAGCTGTGGCCTTCCGAGTTGTCGAAATAGTTTCCGTGGAGGAAGGTTCAAGCTTAACGCAAAACCTGACGCAGATGTGCTGCTCGACTCGCTCAGTCATTCGGAATGCAACAACCACACAGTACATCTCGCTCACCTGTGTCTGCTGCCCCCGCTGACTCGCATAGTGAGGTCGTCATTGTTCACGCATGTGCATTCCAGTCCACCCTCCTTGGCTGCCTGGTTACATGGATGTCTCACAAACCGCACTTGTTATACTAACAATGGCTGGGCTTTTTCTGGACAGACCTCGTATGCTCAAATGGACCATAAACACAGAAAGATACTGAACTTCATGACTCATCAGGGAAATGCACAGGGAAGCAAATCCACTACTCACCGACCGGCATGGCTCAAACAAAAGTCAGCGGCTGTCTCCCGCCGGCAGCCGGCACGCCCGCGCCCCGCAGTGGGAGGTCGCTTTGGGGAACGGCTGGGAGTGACCTCCAGAGCTGAGCACGGGACCCAGCGACCCTGTGGTCCCAGAAAGGTGTGCACGTGATCGCCGCATCCCAGAACGTGCAGAGCAGCACTGGCTGTCACCGTCTGAACTAGAAACGATGCGAATGTTTATCGATAGTTACTGTGAACAAACGTGGTTGAGAGTTCATTTTAACTACACACAAGAAAGCAAATGGAGCCACGTGTCAGACCCAACCGCTAACCAAGCCGGGGTCCTTCGGGGACGCGAGGTTGATTCAACATTCAAAACGTGACTGATATTATCCACACTTTAACAGCACAAAGGAGCAAAAGGCGACGAGAACGTCATAGATGAGACAAAGATCTTGAGAAAATTCCCTGCACATTCACCATATGAAGCCTCGGAGAAGGTTACAGAAAACTTCACAGGCTGGAGCGTCTACACGTTCACAGGTGTATTTGTGTCCCATCTACAGCTTCTCCAAGAGCCACACGAATGTCCTCGTAAATGAGGGAACGCTGCGAACATCTGCTTTACGATCAGGAATTCAGCAACGGCCCCGCGCCGTACCGGGGACTCCGGCAGGGGCCACTAGACCCAACAAAGGCAGCGCAGGCAGCCGGCCTCTGCTCGCGGCGAAGCGAGACAGAGCCTGCAGGAGGGCGGCCTGACCCCTGCGGGGCCTTGTAAGAGGGCGATTGGACTCGGAGAGAACGCGCGTGAACGCAGAGAGTGGAGTGGCGTGACGTGTCCACGGGCCAAGCGGCGGCAGCGAGCGCTGCCGGGCGCCAGACGCCAGAAGGGACAGGCAGGGCTCCGCTGCAGCCTCTGAGACCGCGCGGCCCGGCCACACCGTGCGGCCCGGCCCCCGGCACGCGGAGGGGCTCCATCTCTGCTGCCTAAGCCGCCACGTCTGCGGTGCTTGTCCCGGTGGCTAAGGCGTCCAGTTACACTGACACGGTGGGCGCCCGGCTGTGGCATTTCGCTCCTAGGAGGACGTCGGCACAGAGCTGCACAGCGTGTGTGAAAAAGGAGACACTTTTTCAAACGAGCGAAAAATCTGGAATTACCCTGATTTCCAGAGGTGATCTTGGAAGGGGCAGGCTGCCAGGCCTTGGTGACCGAGTGGCCGTGAGGCGAGCAGGGGCAGCTCTGGGTGGGGCCGGGCCATGGCTCGCCCCTCAAGCGCTGGCCGCTGCCGGCCCGCGCGGCCCCGGGGGCTCGGGGCCTGGCGGCGGACAGGCCGCCCGCAGACACGCAGGCGGCGGGAGGGCCGCTGCGGCCAGGGCCGGTGTGGAGGGCGAGGCCGTGCCACCCCGCGGGGCGCTGCCCGTGCATCTGGGCAGCCGAGTGTGGCGGGCAGAGCGACCCGGGCGCGGGCCCGACCTGGCCTGTCAGGCTGCCCACTGACCTGTGCCCCGAGCCCGCGCCCAGCACGGGTCCCAGGCCACGTGCGGTTGGCTCCTTCGGAAACCTGGGCGCAGGGGCCCAGTGAGACGCACACCTCGGCCTCGGTGCCCAACTCGCGCTGCGCCCCATGAGACAGACAGAAGGAGCTGTCACCCACGGGCCCGGCGGAGGAGACCCTGGGGCTTGGCCAGCTCCCCAAACCGACGGGACAGAACCCCCTCTCTCCCAACAACCTGGCCAGGCCCAGGGTGCCCCAGCCCCTGCTTGGAGCTCGGGCCAGCGCCCCATCAGGACAGGCCCCGGCCCCGACCAGAGGTGCCGCCCCGCCCCGGGGCACAGGCCCCCACGGAGCAGGCTGACTCAGAGCGCCCCCTCCCCGGCCGTCTCGCCCGGCAGCACAGAGGGCCGTGGGGCACAGCTGCGACGACTGCATCTGCGGGTGCGTCGGACGGGAAGGTCGGTTTTGGGGGCCTGTTGTCTACGTGCTGGAACAAGCGGGGAGCTGCGTCTCCCCCCAGCCCCCCGGGAGCGGCCTCGACCGGACAGCGCTGTGCAGGGCTCGGGCAGGGAGCCAGTGAGTACCTTTCCGTCTTTCAGCTTCAAGTGCTGCGGGGCAGCCGTCCGCAGGGGTGCGGGCGCCAGGCCGGGCGTGGCCAAAGGGCCCCGCACTTTCAGCGGCTGGATGTCCAGGAGTGGTGGCGAGAAGCGAGGGCTGGAGGTGGGCGGCATGTGCTTCCGGGCTCTCCGCACGCTGACGCCTTCCACGCAGAGGTCGGCCGCGTGGGCCTGCGGCAGGTCCACGGCAGGCTGTGGGGGGCAGGGGGGTGCGCTTAGGGGCGCCGGGCTGCCCCCCTGCAGCGGCCGGCGCCCCCCTTCTGGCGTCTGCCGGTCGGTCGGGCCGAAGACCCCAAAGAGAAGCCTCGGCCACACTTCCGGATGGCTCGGCCGCCCACGGGGCCCCGCAGGGACCCGCCTGCAGAGGGGGGCCAGCGGCCAGGGCCTGCTGCGTGGCCCTCCGGGGGGGGCCCGGGAAGGAAAAGCGCGGAAGGACCCAGAGCCCACGGGCGCTTCTCCAGGCCGGTGCCGCCCGGCGCGGGGTGCGCACGAGGTCGCAGCGGGTGCAGGCCCCGGGGGCACCCGCCCGGGGCGGACTCCCGGTCCGCCCGCCGCCCGCCCCGCCGGCCTCGCCTGTCTCCACAGCAGCTCGAAGTTGCCGACGTCGCAGTTGCGGTCGCCCTTCCGGTCCACAACCACCTTGATGGTGTCCTCCTGCACCTGCGCGCACAGCTGGGCCGTGACGGGCGTGGACGCGTGCATGGTGGGGCTGGAGTTGATCTCGATCAGCCAGGGCCTGAAGTCGCGCCCCAGGACGAAGTCGGCGCCGTAGAGCTCGAAGCTGTTCTTGCGCGGCTCCACGTGGTCCGCGGCCACCTTCATGGTGTGGGCCACGGCCCGCTTCATGGACGGGTAGATGACGCTGCCCCACACGGACCCGCGGCCCTTCCTCTGCAGGTACTCCTGGAACTTGGTGCTGGTCCACATGTTGTGGCAGGGCAGCAGCGGGCTGCGGTCCTTGTCGTTCTTGAGGTGCTTCTGGATGGAGTTGTTGCAGAGATGGATGGCGCTGCGAGGCAAGGCCACGCTGGTCAGCGCAGCCCCCGCGCCCTGCCCCCGGCCTGGGCCACACCCAGGAGACCCGCTGGCGGCAGCCACGGGGCCGCCACCTGGGGGCCTCCGGCACGGGACGACGTCCTGGAGCCGCAGTCTCCCGGTCGTACAGGGCAGCAGACATGGGCCCGTGGGGAGCCGGTCGAGTGAGTGAGAAGTTCCCGGTGGGCTCGCGCGGACTCAGGCCCGTTCCGGGCAGGACACACACAGCGTGGCTGCCCCCGCGAGCCCAACCTGCAACAGGCCCTCTCGAGCCCATTTCCGCTGAGGTGTCTGGGGGTTTTCCATCGGGTTCCGAGTGCTGACGCCCGCCCGCCCTGGGATCGGGGGAAGTTTTACTTCCGTGAGACACAAAAGGAGAAAGAAAGAAACCACGTAACGTAGGAGGGTCTTGGAAAGTGACCATGCCGGGTTAAGGCCGTGCGGGTGCAGGGCTCACGCGGCCCCGATGGGCCATGCGTGTTCAGAAAGGGTTTCAGGGGCACCCCCGTCGTCCTCGGTGGCGGCTGGGGTCCCGGATGGAGCAGTGGGGCTTAGGGGTGGGGGAAGAGGCGCTTCTGGGACTTTCCGAAGGTGCTGACTCGGCGGGAATGTGGAGTGCTGGCTTGAGGGGCAGCGGCCCTGCGCCCCGCCCTGGGGGAGGGGGCTCGCGGAGCCGCCCGCACCTCGGGGACCCGTCTCGCGGGGTGGTGGCAACGGCCGGCATCACCCAGGCGCCCTGCCCACGCCTGCCCCCAGCACCGAGCTGACGCCCACTGACCCGTCCAGGTTGTCCAGGGAGAAGCGCTGTGTCGAAAACCGCAGGTAGCTCTCCTTGTAGAACCAGATGGTCAGGGGGTTCCAGTCGGTGACCAGGAACCACTGCCTGATGTCGAACTTGGTGTCGTAGATGAGCAGCGGGGTCTCGATGTACTTCTGCACCACCCACTTGTTGTCCTTGGCGGAGGCGTGGTCTGCGGCCACCAGGTCCAGGATCTCCTCCACGCGGTCCATGCACACGATGTCTGCGAGAGGCCGCTGCTCAGCCCCGGGACCCCGGGGAGGACGTGGGGGTCGGGGACAGAGATGGGGCTGCGCTGGGTGTGGCCGACCAGGGCGCAGGACCCGCCTGGGAAACCAGCCGGCGGGGGCGGTGGGGGCGGGGCCGCCGGCCCGAGGGCGACGCCGGGCGCGGGGGCGGGGCCTGAGCTGCGCGGGGTTTGCCCACGCCGGGCCCTCCTCCCTCTGCAGGGGGCTACGGCTTCTCACGCTGACCCCCCGAAGCTAGGCCACATGACTCGGCGTGACCAGTGACATCGGGGCACAGGGGACACGCGTCTCTCGGGGCTGCAGCGTTTCATGCCACCCCAGGCCCCGCGACCCTCTCCCTCCCTGGCAGCCCTGACGCTGGAAGGAGGCGGCGTCACCAAATGGCAGACGGGCTTTGATGGGCAGAGACCCCCACGCCATCCTCCCCAACCTGCGGGGACAACAAGCATGAGAAGAGATGGGCTTGGTCAGAGGGGTCCACGTGTTGGGAGCCCCTGGGGTTCGGGAACTGTTCGGCGCTCGGCAGCCTGGCCCGTCCTGACTGAGGGGAGGGGGAAGGGCCCCTCGGCGGAGGCCCAGAGGCACAGGCGCAAAAGACTAGGTGACTTCCCTCCCGAAAGCACAAGACGGGTTTCTCCAGTTACCGTGAGTCGAGACCCGGCCACCCTGGGACACGGGAGGCGCCCTGAGCTGCGCGTGGGGGCTCAGAGGCCGGGGCGCAGCAGCGGGCGAGGGCAGAGCGCGGCGCGCTGGGCCTTAGACGGGGGTCTGCGGGCGTCGCGGGGACGGGCGGCCCGCCGAGGAAGCCGGGCGGGCCTGGCGGGCGGGGGAAGGCGCCCCCTGCGGGCGGCAGGTGCCCTCCGGCGCCTGCGCTCAGGACAGAGCCCCGGGCGCGCAGCCCCGGCTGGGAGCGGGCCCCCCAGCGCAGAGCAGAGCGGGCAGAAGCCCAGGGGAGAGAACGATTCAGGACAGATGATGTTGAGGACTGAAGGCAGGACCATCCAATGAGCAGACTTTTAAAAATCCCGTAAAAGTGAACCACTTGTGAATGTAAAACAGTGACAACTAAAAATAGCTCTGGGTGGGACACAGAACACCCAAAAGAAAAGAAAGGTGCATTTGGAGTCTCAGGAAGATGAGAACATGATGTAACGAATAAGGGGGTGCCGCTAAGGCCACATTCAGAGGAAACTTCATAGCCCTGATTGCACAAGACAGACCGAAAGTAAATAAGCTTAGCATTTAAGTGAGAGCCAAGGAGGGAAAACATCCCTCACAGGAACGCTGACAAAAATGCAACCAGAAGTCGGTTCACTGGAAGCACAAATAAGATTAGAAAACCCCCTTGAAATCTTGCTTTTTTTCCCCCAAAGAAACACCGTGCGTTCTCCTCAGGAATGAAAAAGAGAACAGGCAGGGCTGCGGCCTGAGAAGAGGAAGCAGAGGTGTGTGCGCTCGGCCCCACAGACGCTCCCCAGCTGTCCAGAGCCGCTGGGGGCTCCTGGGGCTCCTGGTGGGCGTGTAATGGGCCCAAGGAGTGGGGACCCCCTGCTGCCAGAGACAGAGGTCCTCCACCCCGTTCATAAGCCTGTCGCCAAGATCATCAATAGAACACAGAAAACAGCAGCCCCGTTGGACTGAGGAATGTGGTGGAAACATCCTAATCAACCAGTGGAGCTCGGAACAAACGCCGGGAAGATCAGTCCAGTCGGGACGCCTGTCCCCAGGCCCGGGGCTGCGGGGCTCCCGGGCGTCCCGGGACGCCACGGACTCTGGCGCCCAGCCCCCTCCGCACCCACAGCAGGCTGTCCCCGCCGTCCAGCCCAGGCCGCGGCAGGCACCGCGGGACTCACCTCGGCCCCGGGACTTGGCCGCGGGCTTGACGATCCAGATGTTCCGAAGCCCGTCGATCTCTGTCTGGGGGCTCACGGACGAGATCTTATTCAGCAGAGCCTGGCACTGCGAAAAGTGGTTTCTGGAATTGGAGATGAAAGTGTCGCCGCTAAAAAGCAAGACACAGGAAGCACGTGAGGTTCTAAGGGTGGCTCTTGGCTCCCGATGGCGGGTCTGGCTGGCTGTCCCCCAACCTTGGGGCCCCGGGGGCCCCAGGAACTTGGCCTGGTGGCCACTCTGGGCCAGGCCTTATGGACACTGGGCACCCCAAGCGTGCGAGGAGGCCAGTGGACTTGTGCGACATGGTGCCACTTCGGCTTTGCCCAGAAAGCAGACACGCCTTGGCCTCCACACGGGAAGGCGCCCCCAGGGCGTGCACACCCTCGCCTGGAAGGAGAGCTCAGCCCGGGCAGTGGCGGTCAAACAGGGGCACACTGCCCGCACGGTCAGGCGTCACGGCGATACCGCCATCGCCCCTGCCTTGGAGGAAGAGGATGAGGAGGGGGCGAAGTGGGGGCGGAGCCCGGACCACCCCACAGTCCCCAAAGAACGGGCGCGTCCCCTGGGACTTGGGGTGAGGGGCGATGTGGCCACCAGTAGCCACAGTGACCGACTTGGTGCGACCCCTACCGAAACCCCAATGACGCCATTGAAACAGCGAAACCGTTCCTGGAGGTCACGTGGACGCTTGAGGGACCCCCTAAACGACCTCGAAAAGGAAGAACGCGGTTGGAGGACTTGCACTTCCCGGTTCCAAACATACTGCGAGACCAGTCGAAGCGGCGTGGTGCTGAGGCAAAGAAAGACGCGCCGGCCGGCAGAGTCAGGGTGCGGAGTCCGAAAGTAAGCCCTCCCATAGACGGTCGAACGGTGTTTGACAAGGCCAGGACCGTGCGGAAGGACACGCTCCCCAAAACCCGCGTGCGGGCCCCTTACCTCACGCCACATCCCAAAAGTAACTCGAAATGGATCAAAGACCGACACAGAAGGCCTAAAACTATCAAACTTACACTCCTATGAATTTTAGACATATACATGTATATACACACGCTTCCACGTGTGTAAAACTCTCAGAAGAAAGCACAGGGCAAAAGCTTCCGCTGCTGGGTTTCACGATGCTTCCTAGGACACGGCAGCGAAGCACAGGCAACAAAGGAAAAAGTAGGGAAGTTGCACTTCACCAGCAGTTCGTAGGTTTGCGTATCAGAAGCCAGTACCAACAGAGTAAAAAGGCAAACCGCAAAATGAGACGAAGCATTCGCAAATAATCTATCTGATAGGGGACTGATGCCCAGGCTATACGGAGAAACCCTAACACCGCACAACAAACAACAACCCAACTCGAAAACGGGCAAAGGCCTCGGGTGGACGTTTCTCCAAAGCAGACAGGAAGGCGGCCAACAAGCCCATGAAAAGAAGCTCAGCGTCACGGATCCCCCAGGGAAACGCGAGCCCAAGCCACGCGAGGCCTCACCTCTCGCCGGCGCGACGGCCCCGCCAGGACCCGGGGAGAAACGAGCACTGGCCAGGCTGCGGCGAGGGCGGGAGCCCCGCGCTGGCCGGGGCACGCAGGACGCAGCAGGGAGTCCCCGCTGAAATCAAGGGTAGGACGGCCGCCGCGTCAGCCACCCCGCTCTGCGCGTGCGCCCAAAGGAGCGGACAGCACCGTCTCAGGGGTGTCTGCGCACGCACGTCCACAGCAGCCTCGTTCGCGGCGGCTGCGGTGTGGAAGCAACCCCGGCGTCCGTCGCTGGGGGATAAACCAACGAACTGTGCTCTATCCACACGGTGGAGCGGCTTCAGCCTTAAAAGGGAAGGAAATCCCGGCGCGTCTCAGCCTGCGGAGTGAGCGCAGCGAGGCGGCCACGGGAAGACAGAGGGCGTAGGGTCCCGCCTGCGTGATGCACTCGGAGTCGCCGAAACCACAGAGACAGAACGGAGACGGCGGTGCCGGGGCGGGGGTGTGCGGGTGGGGGTGGGGGGCATGGAGTCACGGTTTAACGGGGGCGTTAGGAGATGTCTTGAGGGAGGAAAAGAGCCGTGAGGATGGGTGGTCGCACAACATTACCCAGGCAGTTAACATCCCCTAAACTGTGCATTTAAAAATCGGTAAGAGAATAAGTTTTATGTTGCGTATTTTACCACAGTAAAAAACTGAAAAATGCAGCCGCGGCCAGTGCAGCGCAGTGGACTGAGCGCCGGCCTGTGAACCAAAGGGCCACAGGTTCGATTCCCAGTCGGGGCGCAGGCCTGGGCTGCTGCCAGGTCCCCAGCAGGGGGCGCGTGAGAGGCCGCCGCGCGCAGATGTTTCTCTCCCTCTCCTTCTCCCTCCCTTCCCCTCTCTCTAAAACTAAGTCAATAAAATCTTTTTAAAAAAACTGAAAAAATATAAGTGTAGGTAAAACAAACGACAAGCACATCAGACACGAGGAGGGTGGAACGGAGTCGCCTGTGGTAACGCTGTTTGGGACGTGGTGATAGTTCGGTTAAAGATGTGTGAAAATATCGAGATGCACCTACACATGTCTTGGTAAACCCTAAAAGACAAAAACAAAAGTGTGTCACCGAAAATCCACTGTAGGAGACAAAATGAAGTGACTGGAAATGCGCGACTGGGGGCGTCTCCTTACTCCAGCCGCCAGTGGCCGGCGGCCGGCAGCCACCACGCCGGATGTAGTAAGTGGAAAAAATCAGAAAAATCTCAAACGTCCTGTTTTTCAAAACAAGAGAAAGCTGTGGGAGCGAAGAGGACGAGGCGAACGGCGCCCCCCGGCGCGGGGCGCTTTCCTGGGTGAGCGGGTTAGTCGCCAGGCCTGGGTGGAGGGGGGGAGTCGGGCGTCAGCACAAGGACTCCATCGAGAACGCAGACGCCACGAGGCCACGCACGCGGGCACCAGGGTCTCGGCGCACGGCCGGTTCCCGAGCACAGGCGACGGGCTCTCCCGGGTGCCCGGCAGCCGCACTCGTGGGGTTCGCCCTGGAGACACCTGGGCCCGCGTGGGCGGAAACGCCCTCCCCAGCCCGGCTCCCCGCCCGCTGGCCACAGTGGGGGCCCGCCCGGCGGAGGGCGCGCGGACCTATCACAGGGGACGGCGCAAGCGGCACGGCAACCCCATGGCTCTTTTCCACGCAGGGCCCGGTGTAGGACACAAACGAAAGAGACAGAGAAGAGGCAAAGCCGGACTTTGAGCAAAGAGCAAAGGCCCACAACACAAGAGCAATGATCCCGGTGCCACGGTGAGAACCGGGAGGACTTAAGAACAGCCTGAGGGAACAGAAGACAAAACTGGCCGCCCCGAAGACCGGTCCGTCCAAGTACCCAGACTCAGCCTCTGCGGGAAAACGGAGAGCACAGTGGGAGCGGAGGGACACACGAAGCACCACCCGATGGCAGGGGGCCGTCACTGGGGCAAGGAAGGGGGCGCATTGGCCCGGCGGGGGCTTGGCGCACGCGTCCCGCAGCAGCCCTGCCGCCCAGCGGACAGGACCCTCAGAGACCCGCCCGAACGCGGGCAGCCAGCCTCCCTCTGGCCGAGGACACACGTGTGAGCAAGCTCTTCCCGAGAGAAGAGGCCAGGCGACCACGAAGCACCTGAAACGCCAGCGGTCACGCGAGAAACGCCAACTCGCCACCCGGGGACAGGAAGCGAGAACAAGTCCCGCCAGGCACTAGGGGGGTCCCAGCAAGCACCCGCCCCTCGCCGTTTGGGCGCACATCTGTGGGGCCGCCCCGGCAACGGTCCCGAGCTGGGGACACGTGTCGGAAGGAGCAAGCCCTCTGCGGCACGCAGACAGGACAGCCCGGCGCGGCCCCGGGAAGAGCGAGCACACGGGAGACCCCGCCCGCCGGACAATGGCCCTGCGCGCCCTCGTGCCCGCTCCTCTGTTTCCGTCTCCCTGCAGCAGGAAAGAGGAAGCTATTCTTTATCCAAAAGGAAGGAAGGAAGGAGGAAGGATCAGAAACGGCGCTGGGTGGTGTGTGGGCTGCAGACAGACCGTCGAAAACCGTGGCTCCGACCTTCCGGACCCGCCCCCTGGCCAACAGCGGCTCACGCTGCAGGGGTGCCCGGGCCACCTCCGCCGGCCACGGGGAAGGGGGCGCTGGACGCCAGCCCTGGGGAGGACTCGGCCCTCGGGACAGGGAGGAAAGCCAGGCTCGGCCTCAGGGCCTGCGGCAGCGAGGGGCGAGGCCCGGCCTGTCGCAGGGCCACCGCGGGGCTCAGATGCGGTGAAAGACAGGAGGGCCGTGCAAGGTGCCCCATTGGCGACGACACCCTCTCGTCAGCCAGCAGGGCCTGCGGGACACGCCAGGGCCCCGACACCCAGACGGACACCCGCAGGCGCAGATGGGAGCCTGCACACCGCCCCTGCCGCCCCCTGCCCCGCCCGCGCTCACTGGACGAGGGAGTAGTACTGCTGGGTCAGCTCCCGCCACTCCTCCTCCGTCAGTCCCCTGTCCTCGGAGACGTCAATGTCCTCGTGCTCCAGCTGCCCCAGGTAGGCCCGGCACGCCCTGCAGGCCCGGCCCACGAGCTGCCCGGGCAGGCCCGGTGGCCCCGCGTCCTCCTCAGCGCCTGGAACCCGAGCACAGGCGCCAGAGGTGAGGCCGCTGGGCCTCGGGGTGACCCTTCCGCGGGCAGCCCCTGGACGCCTCAGCTGTCTGGGCAGGCGCCCTCCCCCGTGGGGTCCTCGGCGGGCGCCCAGCACCCCACACCCTCCAGCTAGACCAGCCCCTCAGGGCGGGGACGAGACGGCACGTCTCACGAACTGTCCCCCAAGTGTACACGTCTCTGAGGACACGCCTGGCCTTCGGTGAACGCCCCGTGAGCAGGCGATGGGTAAGCGTGGTCCGGTCCACGGCCACGCCACGCCGAGCGCGCCCGACCCTGCCTGATCGCGGAAGCTAAGCAGGGCCGGGCCAGCAAGCGCTCGGGTGGGGGGCCGTGGTCCAGCCAGGCCACGGGACCGAATCAGTGCCACAGAGAAATGAGCTCTCAGGCCACGGAAAGACGGGGAGGAGCCCGGGGGGCCTGTTTCCAAGGGAAAGAAGCCGACCTGGACAGCGCGCGCACCGTGGTCCCCACCCCGTGCGCAAAGCCGCAGGGCAGGGCAGAGCTGCGGCCGCCGGGACTGGGCAGGGAGGAGGGGGCGTCTGCGCAGGGGCCTTCGGGCAGCGAAACTGTGACACTGGGAAGGGACACGCGTCGCTTCACACTTGTCCGGACCCAGAGGGCGCGCACCGCCGAGCGACCGAGGGCAGGCTATGGGCCTGGGGGGCAATGCGTGTCCCCGGAAGCGCACGGTCGTGACCAACGTTGCCGGCGCTGATGGGGGTGGGGGGGGCGTGTGGGAGGCTCTGCACCTTCACCTCACTTCCGCTGTGACCCTAAAACTGCTTCCTTAGCATGAACACCCACCATCAGAACCTTCTTTGGCTTTTCAGGCCCCAAACCACCGAGAACGAGCCTCCCGGGCCCCGTGCCCGTCCCCGGGGCGGGGGGGCAGCCGGGCGCCGGGGCGCGGCTGTGCCTGGCTCACCTTTCTGGCTGCCGGGGTCGCCGTCGCCGGCCTCCTCCCCCGTCCTGCTCTGGGCCTTGCCCGGGACCCAGTGCTGCTGGCTGACCACCCACTTGAGGATGCTGGAGGCCGCCGTGCGCCGGAAGTCATCTGAAAGGGCACCGAGGCCTCGCCCCTCTGCCCGCGTGGGCACCGGGGGGCCCAGCCAGCCCCAGCCCTCCACAGCCCGGGGCCCCACGCCCATGGCGGGCCTGGCCCTGGCCCCTGCCCCCCGTCCCACGCCTCTGCCGGGGATGGGGCGTCAAACACACCCGGCAACAGGCCCAGAGAACAGGCAGAAGACAGCACCCTCCTGCCCCAGACCAGGGTGCGGGGGCTCCCACCGCCGCCCCTCCCCCGCGCCGGGGGGCTCCTCCTGGGTGGCAGCCCTCTCACGCCACCCGGACCCCCTCCCTGTGCCTCCCTGCGCCTGTGGCCCCCACAGCTCCCAGTGCAGACGGCCGGGGCCTGGAGCGCCCACCCAACACAGAAGGCGCCTCTGGGGGCCGCACACCTCTGGGTGCGGGGGCACCCAGCCCGCACCCCGAGGCCTGTCCCCCCCGCCCCCGCACCCAGACGCCGCCCTGTGCCCTCCTCAGCGTCTGCAGATCCCAGCAGCTTTTCCCTTAACCTGCCCCTTCCTCACCTCGGCGGGGACTGCCCCACGGACCCGACCCCCCCCCCCGCCCCTCCCCCCACCCCGCCCGCCCAGCAGCCGCTGCCCGCTGAAGCATCCAGAACCTGCGCTCCCCTAGCTGCCCCGCCCACAGCCCCAGGCCCCTCCCCAGCCTCCTCCCTCCGCCCCAGCCCAGGCCCCTGAGCCCGCACACCCGCCCCACCCCCTGCCGAGGACCCCAGACGGGCCACCGAGCCAGCTGGCTCCGCCCTGCTCCCCGCGCGGCCCCGCCCCTCACGTGCCGCCACGCCCACGGGCCCTGCTGGTTATTTGCTCTCCGGAGCCCCGTGTGGGGTGAAGCCACAGAGCAGGGGGCAGGGCAGAGGCCGCATCCCCACGGCCCCCAGGCTGGGCGCTGAGCAAACGCGGCCCTCTCTCCCCTGCGGCCCCTCGGTCCCAGACCAGAGCCCGTGGTCCCCAGCCGGCCCGAGGGGCTCAGACGCGGTCGCGGCACCATCCCACCCAGCCTGGCCGGGCCCTCCAAGCCGCAGCCACTCAGCTCCGTGGCCTCCGGCAGCCTCCCCCTCCCCTGCCCACGCCGCCCACGGACGTTTCTAGACAACCCTCAGCACGTGCACGGAGCGGAGCCCCAGGGCCTTGCGGGGGGACCAGACCTCTACCCTCACCACAGCCCCGGCCCCCGGCTCCCGTCCGAAGGGCCCTGCGGCCTGTCAGCAGGGCGGTGGCCCAGAGGCCCTGCGGGGGGCCGGCGACGTACCCAGGAATTCTTGCTTTTCGCTGTCAGAGCAAAGGCCGTAGCAGCGTGGGAAGAAGGTGTCGGGGTCGTCCTGGACATACCAGGGCAGGCTCCTCAGGTTCAGGCACAGCCCGATCTCCAGAGAGAGCGGAGCAGAGAGTCAGGCGCCCTGCCCGCCTGGGGCGCCTGGGGCCGGCCTCTCCCCGCCCTCCAGCCCTGCCCACCCCCTGGGAACAGCTGTTCCCAGCGGCCCAGGTGCCGGCCGCGGCCGTGGGCTCCGCCTCTGGTCCACGGCAGGCATGGCAGGTCCAAGGCCGGGGCAGGGGCCTGCGAGGGCCCCCAGGGCGGCGGGCACTGTGTTCCCCTCCCAGGGGCCTACACGGTGCCCCGACTCAGGCGCAGGAGGGGCGGGGGCAGCGGGAGGGGCTGCCGTGCAGCCGCGCACCCATCGCTTCGGCCCCGTGGGTGCGACCGGTGGCCTCCGAGGCCTGGCGGGAAGCCGCGGAGCGGTTCACAGCCATCCAGGCGGGGGCCTCACAGGGAACCCCGGGACGCCCTCCGGCATGGTCACACTGCAAAGGGCATCATGGCCCGAGGCCTTGGAGGACGCGGGGGGCCATACCCCCCACCGGGGGCCGTGGGGGAAGCGGTGGGCCTCGTCCCCGGCCCCCTCCTGTGTCACCCTGGTCTGCCAAAGGGACGGTCCCCTAGTCGCCAGGAAGCCCTCTGTTAAACTTCTGCCCAGTGGGTACACGCAGGCCCCAGCCCCGAACCTGAGCCCGCGGGGAAACGGGGCAGCCCCCTCCGGGAGGCGCCATGGGGCTGGGAGGGGCCGGGGCGGGAGGCCACAGGCGTGGCGGGCACTGGGTCGCCACCCCCCGCAGAGCCCCTCAGCTCTAAGCCCCCTGTGGGGGCAGGTGAAGGCGGCCACGCCTGCTCGGGGCCGGAGACCCCCGGACCAGAGCCAGGGTCCGGCCCCGCCTTACGCGGGGCCTGGGTGTCACCGTAGCCGCGCGGTCGCCCAGGGACACGGGGAGGGGCACACAGGGCGCTGGGGGGCCGGCGGGAGGGGCGGGTGCCCGCGGCTCCGGGCGTGGCGCTGGCGGGGCCGCGGGGAAGCCCCGAGGCAGCCCCCCACCTTGGTGGTGAAGGAAGCCGTCCTCCCGTAGTGGTTCAGCGCCTGGCTGCCTGCCAGGCTGTGGTAGTCGACGGCGTCTCTCTTGATCGTCCAGAGGAAGTAGGGCATCTCGTTCTTCACCAACCTGGACTGGCAGGAGAACCTTTATCAGGACCCGCGTCCACGGCCACGGCCCCGGCCACTCAGGATGTGACCGAGGGCGGAGCAGATCGGACTTGAAGTGACAACGTGCGGCTTCTAACCAGGCAGCCTGTCCCTTCGGGGCCGGGCCGCTCGTCCGCGGGGGCGGGCGTGGGGGCGGGGGGTCAGTCAGGCTCCGGGCTGCAGGGGCGCCGGGGGACGGGGCTGCGCGTGTGGCCTGACCGGGGCCCCCCCCAGCGCCCACAGGGGCGGGCGACAAGGGCTGACACCAGAGAGTGCGCTGGGCGCCCACGCGTGGTGTGGACAAACAGCGGCACGTGTCCGGTCAAAAATTCTCACCAAACAGGTGTAAGAAATGAAAACTCTCTCCAAGGCCCTGTCCCCAGAGACGCCCCCTGACCTCGGTGAAGACCCTTGGGGTCCAGCTTCTCCGCAGGCCTCGCCCCCCGCGTGGGGCGCCCGGGAGCCAGCGCCCTGTCCGGCCTCATCCCGACCCCGGTGAGTGCCGGCCGGTGCGGGGCTGTGACGCTTCGCCAGGGCGGGGGCGGGGAGCCCGCGGAGACGGAGCCGAGGGCCGGGCCGGGGATGGAGCTGCAGCCCCGGGCCCCCGCCTGCGCGGCACCGGACGCCGCTCCGTGTCACCCCGGGCCCCTTTGACCAAACCCAATCGAATACGGCGCGGTGGGCTTGTTCCAGCCTTCGCCCGTTTCCCCGTGCATCACGCCGTCCGGGAGTCACAGCTTTTAAGCCACGGGCGCTGCAACGCCCGCCCCAACTGCGGCCTGTCTTCCTGCGCCTTTCACAGCGTCTCCGGGGGACAAGCCCTCTCAGTGCCAGCGGAGTCCATTGTGTTGCTTTTTCTCCCCGGGGCCTGTCCCTGCCCTGAACTCACAGAGCCACGCGGCGTCATTCACGGCCCTGAGTCCTGCCTGAGGACACCTCGCGTCTCCGCACCGGCCCCGGGTCGTCCCTGCAGGCTCAGCGGCCCCGTCACCGGGCTGGGCCGCTCCGGCTCCGCTGTGCCCAGTGTCGGTGCGCAGCCGGCAGGACACCGTGTTCGCGTCGTGGCCCCACGAGGGAGAGGCGCGTCCTCCCGCCTGCCCTTCCCGAGGCTGGGGCGGCTCTGGCCCTCCCCACGGCTTGTCCAGAGTCACCGACACGGCGTGTCGGCTTGCACGTGGGCGCCCGGGGCTCACACGTGCACCCACATACACATGAACGCACAGGCACACGCGTGCCCGCCCTGCAGCCTGCCCAGCCCAGCTCTGCCGTGGCTGCTCAAGTGGCCGGGCATGGCCTGGCTTGGCGCCTTCCCCCAGGACACAGAGGGCAGCGCCAGGTCCCGGCTCGGCCCCGGGGCCCCGAGGAGCGCAGGGGACCTACCATCACGTCGTGGATGTCGTCTGTTTCCTCGACGGCCACTTCCTGGTTTTCTTTGCCTTCAGCACATGGGCCTTCTGCAAACACACAGGGGCGTCCGCGTGTCAGAGCCTCTCCTGCGGGTGCTCCGGGGGTCCCGGGGTGGAGCCGGCTGCGGCCACGCTCGGGCAGGGCCCGGAGCCAGGGTCGGGGCCCGGGACGGGGCGGCAGGGGGCCGGGGCGGGTCTCGGGGGCCGAGTGGGGGCGGGGGCCGGAGGGGAGGCCGTTGTCAGCCAGGCACCGTGGGGCCACTGAGCAGTGACCGGTGCCAGGGCCTGAATGCACTCGCCCGGGCCACCGGCGCCGGCGGTGGGGGTGGGGCGAGCGCAGGCTGGGCAGCGGGTGCCCCGCCCCTGAGGGGGGCACAAGTCACAGGACACGCGGGGCTGGCACACGGCCGGGTCCCCGAGCAGACACACGAGCGACCCACACGGAGGGACAGAGGCTTCGATATCTACCGGTGGCCCCTTGGCCCTCGCCGCTGGCAGGGACCGTGGGCGGCAAGTGCAGCCTCTTCTCCACCCAGCCCCTCCTCCGCAGGGCGGCCCGCATCACGGGGTAGTGTCCGTAGATGGAGAAGATCTTCTTTTCCTCGAGTGAGAGAGCGCGTTTGCAGTTAACGCGCTGGGAAGCGCACACACGCCGTCCCGCGCGAGGGGCCCGCAGAGCCCCGCCAGGCGCCCGCTGCACGGAGCGCATCCCGGAGCTGCGGAGGGTGCGGACCAGGTGCAGCGGGACCACCCCCCGGGGCGCCGGCGTCCTCGGGGGCCCCATGTGCCGTTGCCCCCCCCAACACACACACAGGAGGCACGGACGCCCAGGACCGCGGCGCCTGAGACCGGGCCGGGCGGGATCCGGCTATGGGTCGTGAGGACAGGAGGGTGCCGGTCCCGTGGAGCCTCTGGGGCCCGCGCGGCCGAGGACGCAGGCCAGGCCCGCTCACCTGGGCGGGGCCCCAGCGTGGCCCCCGTGCGGCGGAGCCGGGGACCAGGTGCAGGCTCGGCAAGTGGGCTTGGGGCCTCACAAATTTGTGGGACCCAGAAGGAGGGGTCCTGCTCAAAGTCACAGGCGTCCCTAACTCGTTGACTTTGAATTAATCAAAAAGGCAGACCGCCCTGGGGTGGGCCGCGCCCAATCAGGCGAGCCCCTGACAAGAGGGTCCTGGGTCCCCCGAAACTGGAGGCTCACAGCAGCAGCAGGGCCTGCCTCCAGTGGCTGGCTTTGACGAAGGTGCCACAAATCCTAAGGCCACGAGGAAACGAATGCTGCCAATAGGCGAGGGGCGGGGGCGGGGGCTCCTCCGCAGTCAGGCCTCTGGGTGAGCCGCCAGCCCGGCTGTGCTTGGGTTTGGCCCTGGGAGGCCCCGCTCCGGGGCCCGGCCTGGGCTGCCGGCCACACTCTCAGGACAAGCGGGGCTTGCGCAGCTGAGCTCAAGGCGGCCTGGTACTCAGCGCTGGTCGCTGCGGGGGCTCACCCGTCACGCCTGCCCCTCAGACCTCGGGCCTGCGGCCAGAAGCCGCGAGTTCGTGCTCTGACCCCCAGGAAAGACCGGGCCGGTCAGCGGAAGCCTCTCCCTCCTCGGACAACCGGTCCGAGGCCCGTCCCAGCCGACTGACAGCAGGGCTGCCGCCGGGAGCGCCGCACAGCCGTCCGAGCGCGTGGCTTTGGACAGATCGACTGGTTTTACCAGGTCAGCCGCACACCACGCCTACGGGAGCCACTGAAGGAATGACAACAGGGTACAAGGCGTCTATCGTTCCGGGGAGGGGCAGTGTCGTTGGCAAAAGCCACCAGTCCACAGGCGCAGGGAACGAGGGGGGAGTGAAACTGACAGGACAAGCCCAGCGAGTGAAGCTGGACACCAGCAGTTTAACTAGATAAACACACTTCCCACCGCGGCGAGAAAGCCAAGCGTGCCAGACTACATTTTTTAAAACCCAACTCTTGGTTATTTACAAGAGAAAACCAAAAACACAGGCCTACAGGCAGGTAGAAAAGGAAAGCAGCTCAATCTGAGACAAAGTAACGTCACTAAAGTAAAAACAATTATTTCATAATTTAAAGAAAAGAGTCGTCAATTCAGCAGGAAGTTACCTTTGTATGCACCTATTAGGGCAGAAAGTTCTCTACGGTGAAAATGGCCAGAAATAAAGAGCGAAAAATCCACATTACAACAGGGTATTAATGTGCTTCTCTCAGTAAATGACAGAACAGACAAAAACTTCAGCATGACCACAGACGAGAACATCACGCAGAGCGGGCTCTGCCCCGGTGGCTGGGGAGACGGCCAGGCGCGTCCCCTCTCACACGGGCTGACAAAGCGCCGGGTGTCCAGCGCGTCTGAACACAGCTCAGCGGGAGGACGTTAGACAGACTGCGCACTCAGCGCAGAAACCAGCAACCCAGTAACGAGAAAAGGTAGAGACTCTCCGAACTCTACTTGTAACTTTTAAGCAACCCACGATCCGTGAGCCAACGGTCACACGGTCGATACAATAGACGCTTCCGGCCGACTCTCCACCGAAGTCCCACCCGCGAGAGCGCCTGCAGCGCAGCCGGCAGCCCGAGGAGGGACGTCTGCCGTCTGAAGCCTTGTGTTTTCAGGTCTCAGGAACACGGAGTCACGGAGCTGCTGAGGGCGGGGACGGAACGGCTGGCACGCCACAGTCACCGGGACTGGGGCGACGCCCAAGGGGCCGTTTCCGAGCATGACAGGCGCATCCTCCATCAGGACCGAGGTGGCAGCGGCCCCACGACACCTGTCACCTGCCTCGCGACCCTGCCCCAGGCGCCCTGCGAGCTGTGCGGCTCGGCGACCCCACCAGTTGTGCTTCGAGGGGAAGGGCCGAGCACAGTCGCGCCAGTCGCCTGGGGCTCCTGGGCTGCCCCTCACCCCCAACACGGCCACAGACGCACGACCCAGTCGGGGCGTGCGGTCCTTTCCCCAGAAAAGGGGGCTCCGTCCTCACCGCGTCGGCTCGCAGGGCTGGGGGGGGGCCCGCACCAGGGGCCCCCTGCGCGGCCGGGAGTGCGTGCCCAGAAGGGCGCCCTCGGCCCGAGCGCACACGCGGATCACGGGGCCGACCCTCGCGGCGTATGTGTGGGCACGCGCCCCACGCTGACGGGGCCCCTATTTCCAAAGTCTGGGTGAAACGGAAGGTAACTCTGGCGCAAGCGTCCGGGGCAGGGAGGGGGCGGGCAGGGGAGGGGGTGGGCAGGGCAGGGACCAAGGCGGGCGGTGGGGGGGGGGCGGCGCCTCAGAGCCCGGGACTCACTCCCCAAATTCCAAAATCGATTTCCACTTTTGAAAAGGGCCCTCCCCACCAAGCCCCCACTGCTTTTACCTTGATCGCCTTCTCCGTCAGCTGTTTGGCTATTTTGTATCTGTCTAATCTGGGTGAAGGGCACAAGTTTTGGGAAATTCCTCGCTTTAATTCTGCAAAAGAGAAAACAGACATCGAGGCACATGGGTGCTCTTAACACGGAGACGCCAGGTGGCCCGCCCCTCCCACCTCTTGCACCCCGCCCGCCACACACGCCCGCCACCCGACCTGTCCTCCATTCAGGGACGCCCCGGGGCCCCCCAGCCCTGCGTCTGCCTCCTCGCCCTCCGGCCCCAGCCTCTCCCCGCACCCCCCCCCGCTCAATCTTGGGGCGCCCTCTCTCTGCACGGGACCCCCCACTGCTGCACGGCCACACGGGGGCCCCTCCGCCCCAGCCAGGCCAGTGCTCCCCAAGACCAGCCCCTCGACTCTCTCCAGGGGTCTCGGCCAGGGGACTCCCCTTGACACACGGAGCTTCACAGCGGCCACCGTGAAAATTTACACGGAGACCCTCCTCCCTGCCCTCGCCACACCCACCTGTGGGGCCCGCCAGACACGCTCACGCGAAGGCCACGCGAGCGCAGGCCGGTCCCACGCCAGTGCCCGGGGAGGGCCTCCGGCAGCGTCGACACCGACGGTCAGCCCCTCCTCCCTGCGGCCCCTCTCCCTCCCACCTTAACTGTGGGGGGGCCCCAGCCCGGACCCCCGACCCCTGTGCCTGCTGCACAGCCTGGGGCGTCCCGTCCCACAGCGGCGGCTTTAAATGCCCCCCGCGGAGGCCGCTGGAGTGGGTATCACACCCAGACCCCAACCTCCCGCCGCCTCCTGGACCCACGGCCCCGGGCTGTCCACGGTGAACTTCAGGTGGGACAGGCCAGCTCACATGCCGCCTTCCTGCCCCTCCTGGGCCCCCGCCACCCCTGGACCCCAGAACCCCAGGTCCCCACGGCCAACTGGCTCCAGCTCGACCCCCAGAGCACCGCCCACGAAGCAAGTGACCCTGCGCCGACCCGCCCGCCACTACGCGCTGCTGTGGGCCTGCGTTTGAGAGCCGAGCTCGCGCTCAGGGGGGAAGGCGGCGCAGGCTGCCCCCGCTGGGGCCGGCACCCGAGGGCAGGGGCCGAAAGGTAGAAACTGGCAACCTGGGCGTGATCAACGGGGGGCTGTCCTGCTCTGCTAAGGAGGCAAAAACCCCACAGACCGGGAAGAGGGCCGGCCGCCTCGCTGTGACAGCCGACACGGAGCGCACACCCGGCCGCTCCGTCGTACGACGTCTGGGCCGGAAACACCCGGCTGTGGGCAGACAGACCCGGGGGGGCCAGAGAAACCAGGGCGCGACCATCCAGCGGCAGAGCCCTGACACGGGCACAGCCAGGCCCGCGGAGCCCAGAGCCGCGCAGGCCGCGTTTCCAGGGCCAGAGAGGCAGGCGGCCAAAGCCGGGTGGGGGCGCCAGGACCTGAGCACGCACTTCACCGCCCACAGCCCGTGCTGTTCGCTCCGGCGCCCGGGGAGCGCCGGTCGGAATTGAGCCTGGAGAAGACGACGCCCCCTGATCGCCGCGCCGCCAGCCTAGGGGCTGGTACCGGGACCAGGTCCGGAACAGAAACCCACCCCTTCACCGCCCGGGGCCGAGGAGGTGGCCGAGGAGGACGGGCGGCACAGGCCTCGGCGGGGCGGCGACGGAGGTGCCAAGCGTCAGCCTCCGTGCGCCCGGAAGCTGCGATCACAAAGACATGTTGAGCTGGGTGTGCACTGGTCACAAGGTGATAAAGGCTAAAAACGCAGAGCAAAGCAGCCGCCTCACGTCATGAAAAAGAACACAGTAAATTTAAACCCTCCGAATTACAAGAAAATCAAGAAAAGGGAAACATGATTGAAATATTTTTTAAAAATTCAATAAAGAAAATCAACCAAGTCAAACACTTAAGACTCATAAAATCAATGTACAACTGGTAAATTGATGAATACAAAAGAAGAAAGAGCCTGAAAAAGGACAGGAAACCCCTTCCTTCGATGTTTACACACTAAGAGGATATTATGGACTTTATGGCAAAAAACTGGAAATTCAGAAAAAGCAGACCGTTGTTAGGTATCCAGGACAATGGAGACCAGCTCTGAGCGGCCAAAACCGGGTCAGCTATTCAGACAGAACTCAGCTCAGCCCAATTTTTCAGACCAACAACGGGCTTCCGGGCGGGCCACCCAAGATGTGCCACTTTGACGTGCTGGTCGTTCACGAGCGGTAGTTACGGAAGAAAAAGCCGGAGCCAGAAGGACACTCCGACCCCCGGGGAGGAGGAGACAGCAACCCAAGACTGAGAACCGAAGTAAAACTTTGTAACAAAAAGGCAACTAGAAATTTTCCTGAATGCTCAAAAATTCAGCAGCACACTTTTAAAATAAAAAATGAACCCACGCACATTTTTTAAATGATTTGCATTAAATGACAATGAAAATATGACGTATCAAAGCATTGTGATGCAGCTGAAATAGTGATTAGAGGGAAGTTTATAGATTTTCAATGCATATATTAGAAAAGAAAACAAATTGAAAGTTCTAAGCGGCCATCTCCAGAGGCTAGAGAGAGAACACAAACAAAAAGAAGACAGAAAACACTAAAGAGAATATAGGAATCCAATTAAATAAGAAACAAAAGTCCTGTAGAGAAAATAAGCAAAACCAGAATTCGGATCTCTGAAACATTTTTCAAATGGATGGACCTCTGAACAGGCTGCTCGGGAAAGGTAGGGCCCAAGGGCCGCCACCGGCAGCAGTGGAGCCGGGAGGCCGCGGCCGCCGCCCACGCGCTGAACTGTAACAGGGCGTCCGGAGCGTCCGCGCGCCGGCCCCCCCACAGGGCGTCAGAGCTGGGCATTCTCCTTGAAAGACACGCCGGATCAAAGCTGACCTGAGGGAGATGGGAAACTGGACAGGCCTGTTTCTATTAAAGAAACTCATGATTTCCTGCGATGAAAACTCCAGATCTCGAGGGCATCACAGGTCAATCTTTCCACACGTTTAAGGAAAAAAAATCACCGTATACAAACCCTTCCACGGGACAGGGAAGATGGATTCTTCTCAAATCTTTTTATGAAGCCATCAATTTTATACCTGACCCTGACAAGAACAGTACAGGAAAGGATACTACAGGCCAATGTCACTCATAAAAATAGACACAAAAATCTCAAACAAAAAAATGTGTAAATCACACCCAGTGACAAAACAATACAGCCTGACCATGTGGGGTTCAGCCTTGACTACAAAGCTGGTTAAATATTTGACAACAGATGCAGAAGAAAAGTGTGTGATAAGCCCTGTGTGGCAAGGCACAGTTGGCTCGGTGTCGTCCTGCAAAGCGAAGGTCGCTGGTTCGCTTCCAGGTCAGGGCGTGTGGCCTGGGTTGCAGGCCTGATTCCGGATGGAGCTCATGCGAGAGGCAACCAACGGATGTTTCTCTTTCTCTCTTTCTCCCTCCCTTCCCCCTCTCTAAAATGAAATAAACTTTAAAAGTGAAGTGTGTGATAAAATGTAATAGCTATTCATTAAAAACTGTCAGTAAGCCAGGAATAAAAGGAAACCTTTAATGTTCCCAGCAGCAGCATACGTCATGGTGAAGAAATGGGCACTTAAACCCCTGAGTTTGGAAACAGCAACAAAAGAAGTTGTCCACTGTCCCACCTGTATTCGACATTACAATGAAAGAGGTATCCAATGCAATAATACAAGAAAAAGAAATAGAATGTAAAAGATGTGTAGATGACTGTGCTAGTAACAAGCCTAAATAACTCTGCACGCTATTATAATTAGAGTGTTTATGAAAGTCACCAAATGCCAAGTCAGTGAACTGAAATCAGTTGCATTCCTCTACACCAGAAGCAAGTAGAAAATGAAACTTTACAATGTCTCCTGCAGCAGCATTGCAAAGCCTCAGATACCTCGGAGTAAGCCTCACAAAGCAGGACTCGCAGGCCTGCACGCTAAACCACACGCCGTGGCTGACAAGAACCGGTGGGATGTTCGTGGGCTGGAAGACTCAACATTGTCAAGATGTTAATTTTGTCCAAACTGAAGTACAGACTCATCGCGATCACAAGACCCCAGCCGGGCCTGTGTCGGTGCGCGCGTGTAAATTAACAGCCTGAGCGAACATTGACACAGCGATGGGAGAGTCCGGCGAGGCCTGGACAGGCCTGGAAGAGCAAAGTCGGGCGCACACATGAAACATTCGGTCAGCGACCCAGCGGACGCCCGGCCCGGTTCCTACGGGCCAGCCCTGCGCAAGGGCAGTGCCCTCGCCCTGCGGGCACGGAGCTCGGGGCGGGGCCGCGACGAGCCGGCCTGCGGGCAATACTGACTGTTGTCTTCTCTCCAGTCTCCCTCCGAGGAGGCGGACAGCAGCCTCTTCCTTTCCCTGGAATCCATCCTCGCCTCGGGCAGCTCGCCCTTCCTCGCGCGGACTCCGGCGCCTGCACAGACAGGGTGTCAGCGATGGGCCCACGCCTGGAGCAGGGGCCGGGGCGGGGCCTGGGCGGGGCCTGGGCGGGGTCCGGGGCAGTTCTAGGGCTACGCAGGCCGCCGTTCCGAGGGTGGCCTGGAAACCGGGGCGGGGGTGGAAGGGGCTGGAATCCCAGGGGGAGGGCGGCCCAGGGGCTCTGAGTGCGGTGGGGCGGGGCGTGGAGGCGCGTCGGGGACGCGCGGGCACAGGCCTTGTTGGGGGGGCCGCTCTCACCCAGGATTGGCCCCAAGGATCGCGCCGGGCTCCCGCCTCCCGCGGCACCACCCGGCGTCCTGCGGTTGCCCCGGGAGACGGGCGGGGGCTGCTCGGCGCATTGCGCCGGCTGGGGGCGCCGGCGGCGGGGCCGGGGGCGCGCGGAGCGGCGGCCGGCGCGGGGCGTGGGGCTGCGCGGCCGCGGGGGCGGCGTGGGGTGTGGGGCGCGGCTCCGGCTGCGGCGGAGGCGCTGGGCACGCGCGGTGCCGCAGGGCGGGGAGCCGCGGCGGGGCGCGAGGCTGGGGTCCGGGCTTCCGTCCGCAGCGCGGCGGGGGCTGGCCTGCGGGCGGGGGCTGGGCCGCCGGGACCCGCGCGCCATGGTGTCCTCGGGGAGGAGGGTCCGCGAGTTGCCGCACCGCCCCTGCCCCGGGTCACGCGGTCCCGCCCTTGGCCGCTGTTGGGGTCACACAAGCCCGCCCTGGCAGTCAGAGCCCCACCAAGTCATAAAGACCCGAGGGTCACAACCGGCCCCCGCCCCCCAGGGACCAGCCCAGGCCGCCTGAACAGGCTCCGCCCCGCGACGCTCACTCCCTTGTCCCCCAGCGGGAGGTGTCCGGGCCCCCAGAGCCCGGCTTGGGGGGCGCACACCTCCCAAACCCCCACCCTCCCCACGCCGGCCGTGGCCCTGAGGGCCGGGGGCTGCGCGCAGCGGTCGCCTCGCTGGCTGGGGCGATGGGGGGCCTGGGCCGCTCTCCGTCCCGCAGAGGAACCCGGAGCGGCCTCGTGGTCCCCAGGTCACCCGGGGGCCCGCGCCGCCGCCCGGGTTCCGTGTCACCAGGGTCCTTGCCACCGAGTCGCCCCTTCTTGGTCTTCACCTCTGTGCTCCCGCATCTTTGTAGAGGGAGGAGCGAGTGCGGACCCCACCCACCCCGTCGGGGAACCCCAAATTGACCCCGTGCTCGTGGTCAATTTCTGAAACGTAGACATCACCTTTATTTGGTTTTCAATCATCCTTATTTGGTGTTTAACTCCCCCAAATAACCCCAAAGTGAGGTTCTTCTCCCACTTTGAACAGGTTGTGGAGACCTCAGTGTGGGGTGCACGCGTCCCCCGGTGGAGCCCCCCTTCACGCCCGCCCTCGCCCCCAAACCGGCCCACAGCAGCCGCTCGCCTCCCTACACTTCACCTCTCCACTTTCTCAGAACCTGGGCAAGGAGGCGCCTGGGGCACGTTTACCTTTATTGCTCAGGCAACGTTAACTATATTGAAGAAAATGTAAATTAACAGAGAATCATAAATCTTTAAACCTCCATCTGCCTGGATTTTTCAAGCTCTCTCTGAAATAAAGTGCGAGCGGCGTGAAGCCCACAGGCACCCAGTCTCGGCTCCGAGCCCCGGACTCTCCGACCCCGGGAGACAGCAGCGGGGCCGCCCTGTGGCTCCCGCACCCCCTCGGGAGCGCCCCACCTGGCCCCCCCAGCCGCTGCCCCCACCTGCACGCCCACCGCCGGCCCGGCGCCCGCCCTCCGGCCCCTTGCCTGCCCTCGCCTCGGGGAGCCTGGCAGGGAAGCCAGAGGGCAGCTGGGCGCTTCCTGGGCCGGCCTGCTCCACCCTCCAGGTGTCCGCCTGCGCCCCTGCTGGGGGACTGAGGACTGTGGCGGCCAGTCCCTCGTGCTCAGAGGGAGGAAGCGGGGCCCCTGAACGCCGCCCCCCAGGCCCACACCCGGCCAGCGCCGGCCGGCCGGCCCCTCCTCCCCGGGCTCCTGTCCTTTGACCCACTGGCCCAGGCTCTCCACCAGCCCGAATGTGCCTGAACTAAGGAGGCGGGTCCCCGAACCCCGCCTGCACCGAGGAGCGAAATCGCCCAGACGTGTGGCCTCGCGGTGCCGGCGCCAGGCTGGGACGGCTCTCGGCGCAGGCAGCACTCGCATGCCGGGAGGGGCTCCCCGCTCGCTCGGTGCCCGCGCCCGCCGGGAGGAGCTGGCAGCTCCTGCCCTGACCCCAGGTGTGTTCGGGGACAGAGAGGGCCGACAGACCGCTTCTTGGTCACGACTTTAATCAAAGCAAATGTTACTCTCACACCCAAACTGTCCCTGCAGTCGGCGAGCGGGTGGTGGTGGATGGAGGAGACCCCCAGCCCAGCCCCCCGGAACCCCAGGTGAGTGAGGATCGAGGCGAACTACTTGTTAGCAGGGGATGAGGGCTCCGTGCGGTCCGTCTTGCAGGCGATGCCAGTGGCCCGGCCTGGGGAGACCCCAGGCCACCGAGGCCAAGAGGCAGAGACGCAGCCCAGTCAGCTCACAAAGCCGTTGAGGCGGCCCCGCTCCGAGGGTCACGGAGCTGGCACCGTGGACAGGCTGAGCTCCGTGAGGCTGCTGACAAAGGGCTGGGGGTGGGAAGCGGCCGGTGACAAGTACAGACAGCTGCCCGACACAGGGCCGAGTGCCCGAGCAGGCGGGGTCCTCCGCAACGGCTCGGCTAACAGCGAGAGGCCGGCGGCGGGCCTGGGGGACAGCGGTGGGGAGGCGTGGCCGGCTGCCCTGTGTGCAGGCTCTGGGGGCAGCAGTGTCTTGGGGTCTGGACACAGGACAGGCTCAGACCTGCCCTTGTCCAGGAGACAGTGCCGGGCGGGGACCCGGCCCGGGCCCAGCGCAGAGCAGAAAGGCCGCGACAGCTGAGCCGGCGCGCGCGGTCTGCACACAGCAGGCGCTCCGCAGAGATAGGCAGGGCCCCGGGGCAGGACGGGAGGAGCAGGCGCCGGCAGCAGGTCACAGCAACAGGAGGCCGAGGCCGGAGCCGGAGCCCAGCCCCCAGACAAGCCCTGCTTCGCCCGGCACGGAGCCGACTGACCCGCAAGCACAAGACAGTCGGCACTTGCCCGTCCAGAAATTAAAGTCCACCGCGCAGCCGCCGCCCTCACAGCAGGAAAGGGTTAGGAAGCAGTAGCTCGGGACACTAGGCCTGGGCGGGGTCCCGCGCCGGGCCCCCGTCACTGGGCCATTTGCACCACCACGGCTCTCCAGGCCTTCTCCTTGTCAAACTCCTTCAGGGGGCTTCTGGCCACCTGCGGCGGGGACAGGCAGAGGTTACGCCGCCGGCCCGCGTGCGCGGCGAGGCGGCCGCGCTGACGTGACGGCCCGGCCTGGGGACCGGAGGGAGACCCCTGGGCCTGATAACCAGGGAACCGCAGGCCCTTCCTGGGCTCCCCGACGGCACCGGCAGGGCCCGCCGCGGGGAGGGCAGGCGTGCAAGGCAGCGGTCACCGGGACCCTCAGCAATGGGGCAGTTCCCGGGCCCAGCTTCCAGGTCCTTCCCCGCCCCCGCCCCCCACCCCGCTGCACCAGAGCCCGGCTCTTCGCGCGTACAGCCCGGGACAGAGCCGTCCCCACGGGAGACTGACCCCAGCCAGCCAACCACGAGGGGACAGTGGGTCCGCAGAGGGTGACGGGGGGGGGGGGGACAGCGCCGGGGCGGCGGCCAAGGTCAGGCCGCAGAGGGCGGGGCCCTGGCAGGGACACAGCGCGGGGCCTGCCTAGCACAGGATGTGAGCCCACGAGGGGCCCGAGGGCGGCCGGGGGGCGGGGCGGGGTGTCTGATGGCCCCGGCGGCCCTGCCGGACCCCCCACGGGGCGGCGCGCGCCTGAGGGCGGACCCCCAGCCTCTCGGGCGTGGGGACGACACGCAGGACCTGGGCGGGGCTCCGGCCGCGCGAGCCCAGCACGGGGTCAGGAGCAGGACTGAAAGCGTTCGGTCCCGGCTCTTTTCTCAGGATGGGTTTGCGTGTGCCTGGCTGCGGTTAAGAAAATACCGCACATTTCACTTCTCCAAGATGTGTCCGGGGGCCTCGAAGGGGGTCAGCGAGGGAGGCTGTCACGTGGCACGGCCCTGGGAGGGCCCAGGACGGGGCCCCCGGCCCGGAGGCCTCTCACCTGGGCGGCAGGGCGCTCCCGCGGGCCGGCCGCCTTGAAGCTGGCGCACTGGACGATGGTGCCCGTGTGCAGCCCGGCCTGCAGCAGCAGCTCCAGCAGCAGCAGCAGCAGGAGCACGTCGTGGGACTGCGGGGGCGGGGGGCACGGGCGTGAGCCGCGGGGCTGGGGGCGCGCTGCCTCTCGGGCCCCCGCGCCGTGCGCCCCCGCCCCGTGGCCCGGGGGCCGGCACAGGGGGCGGCGCCAGGCCGGGGCACTTGGGCGACAGGCGCCCGGGCTGTGGTCTCCAGAGACCCGAGCCGAGCGACCCTCTGCCCGAGGGGCGTCGCGAGGACCGGCTCTGCTCTGACCTCCGCGGCTCCGGGTTTAACACCCCCCCGCCCTGCGGCCCCCAGGCGGCCAGCCCTTGGACGTTACAGGCAGCTCGGGCTTGAGGCTCCCGTGCCCCTAACAACCGCACGGCCAGCAGGGAGCCAAGAACAGCACCGCGGCCACCTGGTGTGCCCGGTGGAGTGGTTCACATGGTGTCATGGCCCGGAGTGGCCCGTCCCCTCAGTGGGGACTGGCTGGTGACCTGGGTCACATGGGCGGTTGTTCGTATAGAAAATAATACAATAATTAATGAACGGTAACACAGGAGAGGACTGTTTCTCGTTCTGTGTACTCCCGACTGTAAACAACGGTCGCCCCACCGGGGACCCCCCAGCCCCTGACCCCGGCCTCCCTGCGCAGCTCCGCCCCGGGGCAGGACCGGGCAGCCTGGGCGGCAGGAGAGGCGGCGGGGCGTCACGCCAGTGGCCGGGGCGGAGGCTGGCGTGTCCCCTGTTTCCCTCCCGACGCGAGAGTGGCCGGAGCCCGGACCCGCCATCAGCACCAGCCCGCAGGCCGAGGTGCTGGGCCATACGTCCACCTGGTGCCCGGCGGACAGACACCCCGTCCCTCCCTTCCTGCAGGGGACGCGTGCCTCCCCGGGGGTCACGGGTGTGCTGGTCTCCCAGACGACCGACCCAGGCTCCAAAACCCAGCGCACAGCGGGGGCGGGGGGACGTCCTGTGGCTTACGCCCAGTGGCGTTCGACCCGGGGTGGGGCTCAGCCCCAAAGCGCGTTCTTGGGGTGACTCACAGAAAGCGAGTGTGAACTGGGCGGCCAGGGTGACAGGGTCCCCACGCGTTGCAGGGGCCCAGCGGGCGCCCCCGCCCCCCCGCCGGCCACCCACACGGGACCCAGGCGGAGCTGCCCCATGCCCCGCGGGGTCAGACGGGGCGCGGAGCGTGGTTCCGGACGCGGTCCCGGCCGCGAGCGAGGACACGCACCTTGAAGGCGGGAGGGTAGCCTTCGAACACCTCCAGGACTCGCCTCACGCTGACGGTCAGGTAGCCGGCGGCCGTGAAGAGCAGCGGCGCCGAGAGGCTGCAGATGGCCGTCAGCACCTCCACCTGCGGGCGGCAGCCGCGGCGCCTGGTCCCGCGCGAGCCCCCACGCCCCGCGCTGAGGGGCCCCTCAGCGCAGGCACAGCGGCCCACGCTGCTGCGAACCCGGGCCCAAGGCCCGCGCCCCATCCCCACGCCGCACGGAGGCCGTCCGTCCGAGGGGCCCCGTGCCTCCTGCCGGCGCAGCCGCGCCCCACACAGGCGCAGGGCGGGGCGCTTGGGCCGACGGGCAACTGGCACGTCGGACAGCTGACCCCTGGCAGACGCAGGGCCGGGCGAGAGGCTGGGACCCTCCCCCCGAGCACTTGGCGCCCCAGACAGCCCCGCCCAGGGGCCCCGCCCCACGGCCCCGCTCCCACAGGGCCGAGGTGGCCCCGACACCGCTCAGTGGGCCCTGGGGACTCTGGGGACAGGGCGTCACCTACCAGACACCTGCTGGGACACTCTGCTGTCACGTGACTGGCAATGGCACTTGGAAAACACTGAGAGGAAAGACAAAACGAGGACTTCAGAGGTGGCAGGCCAAGAAGTCCGACTGCCAGGGGCGCCCTCCCGCGCGGCAGGAGCCGCCTCGTCGCCAGGAGGGGGCAGCTCAGCCCCACGTCTGGGCGGCCCTCCCCAGAGCATCCCCTGCTGGTGTCCCCCGCGTCTGCTCGCGGGTGGATGCCGCCCGCAACTCGCGCGCGTGGCTGAGGGCACGTCCCCGGAGCCGGCCAGCACAGGTCGCACGGGACGTCCACGCGGCTCCGCGGCGCGGTCGTGGGCTCGGCAGGGCCGCGCGCAGCAGCTCTGGGTCAGGGGCCACTGGCGGCCGCGCTCTGCTCTGCGGGGAGACTTCGTCCCTCTCTCTCCGTCCTGGATGCTCATCTCTGTAGCTTGCGCCACCCGCGTGCGGCCCATCTCCATGTTGGGTTACCTGCTTCTTCGCCATCAGACCCAGGAGCGCAGGAGACGCCGCGCCCCCCCAGCATGGGGCGGCGCCCCCGCGGCCCCGTGGCCAGACCGCGCTGACCACGCGTGGGTATCTCCCGTGTGCCGGCTGTGGAGCTGAGCGTTCACTGTATTTCATGTAAAGTGATCATGTGCAGTAAATACGTTTTAGGAAATATGTATTGTTATAGAACCATGCATGTTGTAGATCATAAAATTATATAAAATAGCAGGTATTTTTCAGGGGAAAAAATAACCTAAAAACTATAAAATAACAGGAGCCGTTACAATAAAGGCAGCTGCCACACTGACCCCCAGGGTCGTGGATGCCCCGGTGCCTCGGACGGAGGCCGGTGCCCACGCTCCCACCCTCCTCTGCCCCCGCGGCCTTCCTGCCTGCGCCGCCCGAACGGAGCTCAGCGGGCAGCCACGCCAGGCCGGGTGGGAGCGGCCGGCCCGCCACGCAGGCGGACAAGGGCCGCGCCGGCTGTACTCACGGCCACTAAGATCCAAAAGAACGTCACTGAGAGGTGCGGGCTGGAGACGGCGTCGTCCACGTTCAGAGCGATGACCCCGCCGAGGACGGCGGAGACACCGGCAATCACCTCGATGACCTGCGGGGCGGAGCGTGGAGGTGGCATCACCAGGGGACCGGGACAGGCTGCCGAGTGTCCCTGACAGGCAGGCGGCCAGGGAGGGGCCACGGGAACACGTGCCCCGCCCAGGCAGCCGCGCCCCCGCCCGCTCCCAGAGGGGGCGGGGTGGTGTCACCCGCTGGGCGCCGTCCCCACCCCCAAGTGAAACAAAATTACGGAGGGAAGGAAAGTTTCCTTACTGAGTAGGACTTCAGGACCCGCGTAGGAAACGTCACTTCGTACAGAGTGTTGGTGTTGTCAGGGATAGAGCCCTAAAAGGAGACGACCCGGTGACCTCCGGGGCGCAGCGGGGCCGCTGCCCCCGCGGCGATGTCCCCAGACGTGAGCAGCCGGAGGTCGCGGGGGCTGCCAGGCTTGAGCACAGAAGCACAAACAAGCGTCCTCCTTGCGCGAGAGGAAGCTCCCCCTCAGCCGACAGGCCGCTCCCGCCCCCCGCCGGCGGCGCGCGTTCCTGGGGGGCTGCCCTGCCAGGAGGGAGCCTGGCCCCGCAGCCCAGCCCGGCCGCCCGCCCACGGCGCCCCTACCTTGGGTCTGCCTGGCGTCTCGCTGGACCTCGCGGAGACGATCACCGTGGCCGCCATGAGCAGCTCCAGCAGCAGCAGCAGGATCAGGTTGAAGTTTATCTGCCGGAGGAGAGCGCGGCTCTGTGGGGCCTGCCTCACACAGAGGCAGGGAGGGAAACACAGGCGGACCCCCCGCCAGGCCTCGACCTTGCTCCCGATGAGTCGCAGGGGTCTCCGCCTTGCGCGCCCCCACTGCGCCCCCCACCCCGCGTCGGTCCCCACACCACTCCTGGCAGAGGGCTGGGCTGGGCCCCTCGGGAGGGGGCCGGCCTCCGTTCGCACCGCAGCCTGTGCGCGCGGGCGGCGGCTCCAGGGCCCAAACCCGAGGACACCAAGGGATTGGGGGCAGCCGTCCCTGTCCTGACTGTGTGGGCAGGTACGCGAATCTACGTCTCTGTGGGTGTTAATAGACTAATATCCTAAAAATGTCAATTTAATATCTATTAATATTCGTAGAGTTCTATACACTGAAAAATGTCCATTGAACAGTGTGCAAACCGGCCAGTCCGGAGCCCGCCCCGCCGTCCCTCTGCGGGGCTCCCACGGGGGCCACCCCACCCGCCCTTGCCACCCGGGGCCAGGTCCCCCCCCCACCAGGGGCAGCCGCTGTGCCCGGAGCCCCGCCGCCGCGCTCACACAGCCCGCCCTCAGCCTGCGGCCCTGCCCCGCCCCTCCCCGGGAAGCCACAGCGAAGGCCCTGTGCCCGCCGTCCCTGCTCCCTCTGCCTCCTGACCCACCCTGCCCCCCGTGTGGCGCCGTCTTGGCCGCCGCCTCCTGCTCTGGGGCCTCACCACCCCTGAACGACACTCACGCCCACGTCTCAAACCAAGTGAAATTCCTAAGTTTGAGCTACAGAACTCTACGTGCAACATGAAACATGGACTCTTCACTTTTTTTAGGGTGTCTTTGTGGAGCACCAGAAAGCCGAGTGGCCTATTAGGCCACTAAAGAGCCTTGGAAAATTCCAGAGAATCAAGGCAGCTCAGAGTGTGCGTTCTGACGGTAACACGGTGATATTAGAGATTGGGGACAAATGGGTGGCTTTTCAAAGTAACCCCACATGCCTGCTTATCGAGGTCCTTGCAAGAAGCAGGTGGGCCCAGGAGCCGGGGCCGAGGAGAGCGTGGTGAGAGGCCGACCACGAAGCCCAGGGAGGGGAAGGGAGAGCTCGCTGGACGGGGCAGCGTGACTGCCCTTCCGAAACTCGGGAGGGAAACCCAGGCCGGTGTCCCTCGGGAACCGTGACCCGGGCCCCTGAACGCAGCCACGCTGGGGCCCTGGTGGTGTGTCCTGGGAAGGAGAAGTCTACCCCGTTCAAGGAGCCGAGTGAGGAAAGAGCGCCTGAACACAAAAGCTATCGAAGTTCAACACACGTTCCTATTTTTAAAACGAAAATCTCACAGCGACGTTTTCAGCCTGTGGAAGCTGCGCGTTGACAGCGCAGTGGAGACTCTGCCATACGGGGCGTTTAGCATCAGGCGGGTGCAGCGACGCGCCCCATCGCCGCCGGTGCCGGGGCTGGAAGTCCCGCTGTCTTTGGAACGAGAGGCCCAAGGCCCGAAGGGGAACACGTGCCCTGTCCTTACTGTCAGACGATACGCTCGCCTCGGTAGAAACACCAACAGGACCCACAGAAAAGCTACGGGAATAAGAGAGTTCTGCAGTTTCCAGACACCAGATCCACTTATAAAAATCCACTTTCAAAACTGGCCATTTGAATACTGTCTTACTTAATTCACTGTAGAAAAGTCGATTTCCTGTTTTTGACAACAGGCTCTATCACGTCTACTGCTGGGAGGGGGTGAGGGATACGCAGGAACCCTACACAAGTTGTGCCCATTCTCTTGAATCTTACAACGCTTTAAAAAAAAATTTGATCAATAGCACCTCTCTCTACTGGCAATAATCAATTTAAAAATACAATAAAAAAAATAATACACCCTTTATAGTAGCAATTCCAGATTACTTAACACAGAACACAGAACACGTTACAAACCCTCATGGCGGACGCAGAGGGTGACCTGAGTAAGTGGCCCCTGTGCTCAGATGGGGTGACATAAGAAAGCCGCCAATTCTTACAAACTTATCCTGCACTTAAAATGACCATAGTGGAGTCCCAGATGCAACTTGTTAAGGAACTCAATAGGTTTATTCTGCAATGCATTTGAAATAAGAGAAGTTGACTTTGAGGAAGAGCGAAGTGCTGGGACCTTCTTCCGGGGCCAGAAGACAGACTACAAAGCCGTCGCAGGAGCGGGGCCGCCGGGAACAGACCAACAACCCCCGGCGGCAGGGCCGTCTGTGCGCTGGAGGGTTGATGCGCTTTGTAAAAGAGGGTGCAGACACCTTGAGTACAGGTGAGCCAAGGATGTACGCGTCAACCTAGGGTCGCTGGCGCCAACTCAGTGCCAACAAGGATCATGAAACTCGGGTGCAGCGAGGAAGGAAAGTTTATTTAGGACTGAACAGCTCAACTGGGCCGCAGCCCCGCCGCGACAAGGCGAGGCCGGGCACCAGCCGAACTCATCCGCCTTCAGCCGGAGGAGCGCGCGTTTGTGGACACAAGTCCCCGCCCCTGCCTTCTGATTGGTCAGGCTAGAGCTGCTCCAATTGGTCAGAGCTGCCCAGCCCCGATTGGACGGGGGAAAGCCTCCGTGCTATTGGTTGAGACACCGTCGGGGACTCCTTTATCCCCGCGGCTCCGCCGGCGCGTCCAGAGCTGGCGGCTCCGGGGCGGCAGGTCGTGGGAGGGGTCCCTGGGCAGTGCCGGCTGCGAGGCTCCGCCTCTTCAGCCCAGGGGGCCCCGGGAAGCCCTCCCAGTAGGTGCCCTTTTTTTTAGGGCTCACAGATGCGACCAGGCACCTACCGGGAAGGAAGCCAAGGGAGGGAAGAGCAGGTGGAAAGGGCTCCGATGTCCTGGTGGCCTTGGCCGTGGTGGACGGTGCCAAGGGCAGGAGAGCTGGTGAGGGTGTGGCCGCAGCCGCAGGCTCCACGACCCCACCTCTCAGCTGTCCACGTTGGCACGTTTGTGGGGGCAGAGGGTCCGAGGGGAACCGGCCAGATCACCCCTGTGCACGCTGGGTGACGCGGTGCCCGCTGCGGACTCGGGGCGCTTCTAGCGGGGTGGGGGCGCCGCAGACCTTCGGAGGGGCACACGCTCTGGTGCGGTTAGAAAAGCAGAGAGGGGAGCAGGCGGCGCTACCGCCAAGCACCGCTTGGGGAAAGAAAAAGCAAAGGAAACCCAGAAGGACACCCGGCGGTCAGATGGTGGCCCCTGGGACGCTCAGGGGACTCAGGTCACAGGCCCGAGCAGGCAGGACGGGCGAGTGAACCACGTGCCTGGCGGTCGTCTCCCACGTCGCCGTTCTCGTTTCCCTGTGCGCGCGCACACGCGTGTGTCCTCAGACAAGTCCGTTTTGGAAGCCAGGTGGTTTCCCAAACAGTGGTCCTGAGGCTCTTGCTCGTGCGAGGTTCGGGGTTCACAGCCGTGCGTCCTCTGCAGGACAGGCAGCGCCTCGGCGCGGTGGGGCTCAGCCTCCCACGGCGGCAGGCACCGGAAGGGCGGGGCGTGTGCAGGGACGGGCTCTGGCGAGGCTGGTCCCCGTCACTGTTCAGGAGGCTGTGCGGCGGGTGCCAGGCGCCCTCTCAAGCCATTCGCCGTCCTGGGACTCGGGGCGGAGGGATAGTCTATGGGCACGGGGCTACCGCTTTGGTTTGGGGCGTCTGCTCCGAGGGACGCTCGCCGGGACCCGGCACTTCGTGGTCACACGTGCAAGCCCTTCCCCAGGGTGCGCGCCGTGGGGGCGCGCACACGCGTCACCCTGCGTGGGCTTCTTCAGGACGTGCTGCGGAGTCCAGACTCCCCCAGCCTGAGCCAGGCCCCCGCATCGCTCTCGGGAGGTGAGCGCCCTGGGGCTTCCGCCCGTCCGATGTTGGAAGTGGCCTCTCCCTGCGGTTTTAATTCGCCTCCTCTGATCCCTACCCAGGCTGAGCATCGCCCGGCGGCCTGCGTGGCATCCTCCTGGGGACGGGCTGCAGCCACCTGCCGGTGGCCTTGTCTCACGCTGAGCGGGGTCCCGGGATGGGCCTTGGCCCCGGGACGAGTCCAGTCTGTGTCTGCCTGGGCTCCCGCGGTTGGTTTAGGTCTGCGCCTTCGACCCGGGGAGCGGGGGCCCCTGTACCCGGGACCCACACGGGCGACTCCCGTCTCATGGGGACGGTTGTGTGACAGCTCCAGGCTGCAGGGGCCCGTCCCCCGGCCCGTTCTTCAACGCCCCCCCCTTCCCTGCCCACCCCACCCCACCCCGTCGCCACCTCAGCCGGCCGCGTGCAGCAGGCGCTTTTACTCGGGACCCGCTTCCAGGCGGTGAGGGTTTCCGGCACGAAGCAGCGTTAGGGTTCTGGACAAGTCAGTCCTCGGTGTTTCCTCCAGGACAGTCCCACACGGCCTTTGTCACGTTTATCGCCAGGAACTCGGTGTTTATTTCCCTAGCGTGCGCCCGCACTTAAGCTGCACCTTCACGCTCTCCTGTCGCTAGCTCAGGCGACCGTCTTACACCGGCGTCCGCAGCCGGCGACCCTGCTGCCAGCCCTCGGCGAACCCCGGGCCGCGGAAGCGGCAAACCGTCCCTCACGCAGACAGCAGCGCCGGCTGTGCCTCTCGGACCGCGGGCGTCTGTGCACCTGTTGCGCCGGACTGGCCCGCCCTCCCCGGCCCCGCCCCCCGCCCCTCCGCGTCTCCCGGGTCCGATGAAGGTGGCTCAGCGTCGCACCTGGAGCCGGGGGCGTTCGGGAGGGGCCTCCGGTCAGGGCCTCGGTTTATGCGGCCGCCTCTCTGGGCCCCAGAAGGGAATGACTGGCCCTTCCCTTTTCTCAGAGGCTCCCCCCGCCCCCCGCAGCAGCCCCGCGGACTTGATGACGCACGTCGCTAGGTTCTTGTCAATGTTCAACGACGGTTACGGAACCGGCATTAAAATATTATCCATAAACCCATCCACTGGAATCAATGGAACAGCCAAGTCAAGGCAAGGCTTTCCTTCAGGTGGGTAAATAAAATCCTCCAACTTTGTCAAACTCAAGAGCCAGGACGCACGTTGACGCGTTTCCCACCCACAGATGGCGCCCAGTGACACCGACCACACCCCTTCCCGCCCCCGCCGCCCCCCCCCCCAGCAGAGACTCCAGGGGAAGAGGCACCCAGCAGCAAACGGGCGAGCGTTTGGGCCCACGTGGCCCCGGGACTCACGTCTATCGCTGACGGGTTCAGGACAAGTTTGCATCCAAACCAGATCAGACACGTGGTGGTCACAGCGAACGTGGAAACAAACAGCATCTGAAAACTCGGGATCTGAAAGCGGAGACAGGAGACGTGTCTTCTCCTTTGCATAATTAAAGACGCAAAGGCAACGTTAAACCTAATTCCAGGCCCCTGATTAAAAATCCCAAAGACGGTGGCACGTTAGAATTCGCTGGGGTGGGTGCCCTGCCAGCTCCTGGGGACAGAGGGAGGGAGGGCGCAGGAAGCCCTCCAGTGGGGACACTGGGCACCGAGGGCGGTACACACATGCACACACGCACAGAAAGCACACAGACGTGCACACGCAGGAGTGCCCACACAAAGCACACGCGCACAGCATGTGTGCACACAGCTGCGCCCCTGGCCGGCCAGCCCCTCAGGGCCTGGCATCTCCCCCACAGCCCGCGGGCAGAGGTCGGACCGGAGGCTGGACTCACCACGTTGACGTTTCTCCTGGAAACAGCGAAGCTTACAACAGCCGCGGGAATGCACTGGAAAGAAAGCAGGCTCAGTGAGCGGCAGCCAGCGTCCACGCGTCCTGGAGGCTGAACCTTCCAGCGGCCCAGGCATGTCGGCAGAACCGGCGTTGCCGGCCCACTAGGCACGGGTTTGCTTGAAAGGTCCCCGGGCCTGTCAGAGTAATTTATTCTGGAAAAAGACTCAGTGTTTCTGATGCAATGAAAAAGGCGTTCGCTGATGAGCAGCACCCTAGGTGGACACGCGCGGAAGCGGGGCTGCAGCTTCCCGCAGCCCGAGGCCAAGGCCGGCCTCCACGTGAGACGTCACGCCGCGGGCGGGAAGCAGGACTGGCCGGGAGTCCGGAGCCCCAGCGCGTTCTTGTCGGGGGCCCCACGTTGGCCCCCACAGAAGCAAAAGACAAGGGAGGGGGCAAAGGAGGTGGGGGGTGGACAGAGGGCGGTGAGCAGGGACCCTCGGGGCCACCCCAGGGTTGCTCTTGTGGGTGACGGACCCTGTGGACCCCAAAGTGGGAGCAGCACAAGCTGAGGGGTCAGAGCCTGCAGGACACACAGCAGTGGGTGGATTGGGGGCGGGGCGGGGCCCCCGAGGGCTGAGGGGGAGCCCTTGGGACCCCATGACCTGTCTCTCCAGCCTGTCACCTGAGAGTGAAGAGCACTCTCGAGAATTTTGCTGGGACACTCAGCCTAGGTGGGCTTTGCCCTGGAGCCACCTGGGTCAGAGGTCAGGTCACTGTGGCCCCAACAAGGGCCGCTCCAGTGGTGAGGACTGGGTGTCACCCAGAGGGTTCTAGAGAAAACGGCAAGGGCAGGGTGAGGTGTCCCAAGGCGTTTCGCTCTAAGGCAGCAGCGCCTGGCAACATGGGGCGGGGGCACGGGGTGAGAGGAGCTTGGGTCTGTGTTTTCAGACGTTCGGGGACGGTGGCGGGGCTGGGGTGCGACAGCAGGCATGTCCTGGGACGACCAGGGGCCCCCCAAGCAGGTCACAAGCTGTGGGAGGGCCGGGGTGCAGCCCATGCCCAGGAGGGCTCGGAGCTTCTGACGCCAGAGGTCAGCGCGCCGTTTCCCGCCCAGAGTCGGCCAAGAGGCTCAGGCTCGCTCCGCCAGCGGCATCGAAGGCCGTCAGCCCCACCGAAGCCGCGGCCCGGTGAGGAGGTGCTGACCGAGCGGCAAGGGGCAGCGACGCTCACTCTCAGAGCTCCAGCCCAGGCGCACACCCGCACGCTTCATGCCGGAGGCGGAGCCGGCGACGCTGCTTACCGAGCCTGCAGCGCAACGCAAGTAATCCATCTCGGAAGGAAACACGTTTCCCAGGTACAGCGAAAACCCCGAGGTCACAAGCAGGCAGCCCTGCAACACAGCGACCCAGTTCAGGCGATGCGCAGCGATGCGATGTGCGGCGATGCGTCGCGTGTGGGAACGCGGCCAGACGCAGCGTCTGTGGGCGCCGGGATCCTGCCGGCCTGACCGCTGCACAGAACGCGGCCCACCCTCCCTCCAGCGTCAGCCTATGGGCTTCACCATTTATTTGAAGAAGAAAATGGGGGGCCTGTCAAAATTGAAGGCAAGAAGCAGCGCCTCTCCCCCGAAAACACCCTCGCCCTAACCCGTGGGATTTCTGGGCCTTAGGATCCGCGCCCCCAGGCCCAGGCCCAGAGCCCCGCCCGGCTCAGGGCCGGGAGACAGAAACTCCCTGCGGAGCACGAGGTCGCAGGGTCGGTGGGGGTCCGTGTTAAAGGCCCCCAGACCCGGGGTCCGGGCCGAGGCCCTGCTGCCCCACCATGATGGCTGTGCTGGCAGTGGTGGGCAGCAAGGCCCAGCCTGCCCCTGCGTTCTTAGCCAGGGCGGCAGGGAGCCCTGGGGTCCCCCGGTGACCGTGCCCATTCAGGCCAAACTACTTGGCTCGTCCCGTGCCTCTCCAAGTGGCAAGTCTCCTCCCGGGTTCGGTCCCCTCGAGGCCTGACCCCCAGCTTCCTGCTGGCCCTGCTCCTTGTCCCCCGGCCCTGCTCTGACTCCACGGCCTGGCCCCCGGCCCTGGGACGCCGCCCCTCCGCCGTGCTGCCCGGGGCTCCTCCCCACCTGCGCCGCCGTGGAGGTCGCCTGGGCGCCGTGCACGACCCTGCGGACGGTCCGTGGGCCCCAGGCCGTCCCAGCCGCAGCAGGACACAGAGCAGCCAGAGCCCAGGGGCCTGGGGCTGGCGCCACACAGCCCGGTGAACGGAGGGCAGAGATCCCGACGACACAGCCCCAGAGGGCTCTCCAGAGCAGAGGGAGGGAGAGGCTCCGTCCCACTGGGCCCAGGAGCGACCCTGCGCGGGGACATGTCCTGGGGACGGCGGCTCCGTGGCCCTGGCTCCTACTCACCCCCATCAACACGGAGAAGACCCACGTCTTCTGACTGAAGCAGGGGGGCAGCCTCGGGGACAGCGGCCGGTCGCCGGGCTTGGCGTCCGCGTAGCTCCCCGCGTCGGGCCGCCCCCGCTCCAGGGTGGCCATCCGGTCATAGCCGGGCTCCTCCCTGCACGACTCCTCCCGCGTCATGGCGCGGGGCGGACGCGGCGCTGGTGCCCCGCGGTGGCTGTGCTGGGGCTCTGGGTCGCCTCGGCCGCTTCGGACCCCCCTGAAAACACGCCAGTTAAACTAAGTTGTTTTCAATAAAAGAAGTATTGTTCGGACCGGGGGGCTGCGAAGTGGAAGAAGCAAGCAAGCACTTAACTCTCTAAGTGACTAAAGCCCCTCTCTCAGCACAACCAACCTGTGTTCAGGGTGGGCGCTGGGCTTTGGGGGCCCCCGACCGGCCCTCAGTCCTTGCAGCTCCCACCTCCCGGGGCCCGCTGAGCCCTCCGAGCCCTTAAATCGCTCAAGGTGGTAACAGACCGGTGTCGGGTCCCGTCCGCCCGTCCGTCCGCTGGTGTGAACGCCTGGCTGCTCCTGGGGCGGCGCCGGTCTCGGGGTGAGGGGCTCGCTGCTGCTGGGGCTTCCAGCAACAACTATTCACAGAGGAACAAAAGCCCGGCAAAGCGGCACTTAAGCCAGGAGCAGGAATGCGTCGTCCTGAATGTCAATGAGACGAGGCGGCGACCCTGGGAAGTTCGCGGCGGTTGTGTAACCGCTGGCGCCGGGCCTGGCCGGGCCCTGTCTCAGCTCCGCTGGGACACAGAGGGACCCTCGGTCCCACTCCGGGCGGACAGAGAGGCTGCGGGCACGGGGGCGGCGTCTCAGAAGAAACGTGCCCGCGTGGACTCCCCCGGCACGGATCCCGCAGGCGGAGGCCGGTGCCGCTCTGGAGACATAACTTTTTATTCAAAGGCCTTATTATACCTCCTTTCCAGTGGCCTTTTTACACACACACACCCACCCCGTGGTCCTATGAGGAAGCCCCCTGCACGCAGAGCACACACACGCACACGCACGCCTGTGCTCAGCCCGCCTGGGCGGCCCTGGACCTGCCAGGGTCTCTGGCCCGTGGGGTCCCGCCGGCAGCCCCGGGCCCTGGTGCCCTTTACTTCTGCTCACGAAGCAGGGAAAAAGGCCAGGGCGTACTCCACCCGGACACGCTGGCACCCCCCAGCCACAGCGACAGACTCTTTGTGTGCACGGCTCGAGCGCACGCATCCTGAAAACCGGCTCCTCAGACCCGGACCCGTGTGAAGTCTACGCAAGGACATCAGTCTCCAGTCACGGGCTGTTTGGTTGTCTTGGTTTTTCAACTCAGCGGGAAGGACTCATGGTCACGCACCGTAACCTGTGAGGTACAGAAGGGCGTCTAAAGGGATCGAATCCCAAATGTCTTAGTCGACTCCCTCGTGCAGCGATAATCAGAACTGGGCCGGCAGGGCTGAGCCCTTCCGCGTTTCTCCATTTTCTCAGTTTCACGGGCTCCACCACACACTTTGCGGCGACCCCGCCCGCTCTTCCCAGCACCGCCCCCCCGCCCCCCGCCCCCCGCGCGCCCCACGGAGTTTTCGCAGTATCATTGGCGATGCTTATTCCCTGTGCTGCACTTCCATCCCTGGGACTGTTCTGTAACCACCGATCTCGGCTTCTCCGTCCCTCTGCCTTTTTCACCGGCCCCGCGCCCCCGGCCCCGGCTGCTCTGGCAACCACCCGTCTGCTCTCTGCGTCTGAGTCGGCTTCTGTGTTGTTTGTTCGTTTATTTTGTTCTTTGGACCCCACAAATAAGTGAGATCACACAGTATTTCTCTCTCTCTGACTTACTGCGCTCAGCCCAGTACCCTCTGGGTCCGTCTCTGCATTTCTTTTGTTGGAAGGAAAACGTTCCGCAGGTTTTCCAAAGTCGTTTCCTACTAAGACAAACGAGCCGCCTTGAATGAGGGGCCGGGGCGCGGACTCCTCAAGCCTCCGGCGACGTGGTCACTCGAGCAGCGCTTCCTGGATTCTGGCAAAGCCAGTTTCTGGAACAAGTCCTGCTCTTTCATGTCTTCAACGCTTGTTCCTGCGACGGCGGACCCCCTGCTCCTGCCGCTGAGCTCTTCCTCGGGCTTCCACGTTTTTGCCTCCATTCAGCAAATATTGGGTTGGCCAAAAAGGCAGTTTAGTTTTCTCTGTAAAATAAAAAAACACAGTTTTCATTTTCACCAATACGTTTATTGATTTGGGTATGTCGGCTATCCCCCACTGCTGGCATCTAGCCGGTAAAGCCCAGAGAGTGCGCACTTGCGTGAAGCCCCGCCCACCACACAGAGCCCCGCCCACTATCCCGCGCCACGCACGACGCCACTCCCATACGGTGTCGCCTGTCGCAGCTGGCACACTAACGGTTGCCAACGGCCAACCACGGACGGCTAACGGTCGCAGCGCGCACGGAGACTCCATTGGCCAATATCAGCGGGACAGGGGCGCAGGTGTGGGCACGGTGCTCTCCATTGGGCCGAGCCCCACGGGGCGAAGTTGCCGGCACAGAGGCGGCAACCCCATTGGCCGAGGTCAAAGGGGCGCTGGCGTAGGCGGCGAGCACGGCGACCCAATTGGCCAAGCTCCACGAACAAGGCGCAGGCGCGGGCGCGGTCACCCTATTGGCTGCGCGCCGCAGGAGCGACGTGGACACGTGCAGGAGCCTCGGGCTGCTGGGCGCGTCGTGGACAAGGCAGCGGCCGGCCATGCTGCGCCTCGCGGCCAAGCTGGTGGCCTTCTTCTGGAGGAGGGCGGACGGCCCGGTGGATGAGGTCCGACCGCCGGGGCTCGAGCTCCGGGAAGGTGCGCATAGGCCAGGCCGGGCCGGGCCAACGTGCGGTGGGGCCGGGGCGGGCGCACGTGGGGGAGGAAAGCGGCCCAGCGGCGCTCTCCGCAGCGTCCCCGTCCTGGTGAGAGCTGCGTTCAGGGCCCTGTTCTCTGACCCCGCCAAGAGGAGCGCACTTCGGCCTCTGAGCGGTCGCTTTCTCCATCCGGCTGTGTGCTCAGTGCGGGCTTGAAGAGGCGGCCTGATCTCAGGCTCCGCAGCGGCCTGTGCCCCCCAGGTGTCGCCTGTGAGGGCTCAGCACGTCGGCTGCAGCAGGGTTGTCGGCCGCCGGCGGAGAGGGTCTCCGGGCCACCGGGGCATGCCCTGCGCCCAGTCCGGGCTCGCTCCCAAACGCAGACTCGCCTGGGTTGCCTCCGTTGGTGATACAGAACCTCCGACGCGGCCGCCGCCGCCGATGTGGTGGATGACAAGAGAAAACAGCAGTAGAAACAGCTCCCCAGACGTGACAGCACGAACAGCGATTCGCGCTGCACCGTAGCCCGCGCCAGCCTCTCGGGTTTCTGCACTGCTCCCGGTGCTGTCCCCCGGGGCCCCTGTGCCGGTGGAGCGCAGGCAGAGCGGGCCAGGGGCGCAGCCTAGGCCCACGTTGCCGGGGGAGCTGGAGTCCGCGCGGGGCCGCCACCGCGCACACCAGACTCGCGGAGCCCTCCCTGGAGTGTCCCCCGCCCCGTGGTGCCCGCCCCCACCTGCCTCCTTGGAGGTGCGCTCACCCGGGAGGTCACTGTAGCCTCCGTTTACCCGCCCAGGCGACACCGAGTTGAAAACCGTGCAGGGCGTGGTGACGAGGTACTGCAGCGATTATGGCATGATCGACGATCTGATCTACTTCTCCAGCGAGGTGGTGATTGGCAAGGCGCTTCTGAACGTTGGGCAGGAAGTTATTGCCGTCGTGGAAGAAAACAAAGTGTCCAACGGACTGAAAGCAATCAGGGTGAGGCCCGGGTTGGTCTGGGGGGTTTCTGACCCCGGGGTTCCCCACTGCGGGGTGTCCAGGTGGCCGCCGAGACAGCGGTGCATCCCTTCTACCAGTGGCGCGTGTTTTAAAAAGTCAGTGGTGGTCGCTGTAAGTCGTTCGGACACCATGGAGATTTATAATGCGGAAGTTTGCCTGTCGTTCATACCGTGGAGAAAATACTTACCATTTGTATGGCCCTCTAGTCTTTAAAAAAATATTGTTAAAAATTATTACTGACTGGACCCTTTGCTAAGTACAGTTAGCAAAGACAATTAGTGGTCTCCAGTACTTTTTTCACTTAAAAAAATGGTATTTTTGTGCTCCGCGTTGTTGGAAATAGAATTGCTAGTGTAAGGGCATGGGCACATTTAGCGTTTTAATGGTTACCTTCTAATTACCCTTCCACCCCGCTGAGCTAACCGGAGCTTGGGCGCAGAGCGAGGGGCCGCCCGGGGCCCGGCGTGGGCGGGGCCCTGCCCGTCCTCACTTGGGCGTCTTTGCCCCTCTGGTCAGTGAACACTGATCTCATTCATCATTTTAGTTTGCACTTCAGTTTTAAAATAGGTCGATCTTTCACTGTCTTGGTAGGAATTACTTTCATGTCCTTTGTCCATACTTTTTCTTGGGTTTGGCTTTTTAAAATAAAATCTAAATATTTAAATGACAGAGCTGTCATTGCTCTGGCTGGAACGCGCGGCGTAGTGTTGAACACAACGGCAGAGAGAGGCACCCTTGCCTTTTCCCTGATCTGAAGGAACAGCTCCCCGCTGTCACCGCTGACTGTGGCCTGCGTGGCCTTTGTCACGGTGAGGACGCTCCTTTCTGATCGGCGCGTGTGCAGCATTTGCCCATGACAGCGTGTGGGTTCTGTCGCAGGCCTTGCCACGCGGCCTGAGACGGCGGGGCGTTTCCGGGCCCCTCCTTGTGGCCTGTCGCGCTGACTGATCTTTGTGCTGAGCCTGCCTCCTGGGAAAAGCCCCCCTTGGTCGTGGTGCGTAGTCCTGTTAATGTTTTGCCGCATTCAGTTTGCTAGTGTTTTGTTGAGGATTTTTGCATCTCTCTTCACAAGCGGGATTTGTCTTCCATTTGCTGCTCCTGGGGTCCTCCTGTTTCAGTTTAAATAGAGGCTTGTTGTCCGCCAGGTGGAAGCTGTCTCCGATAAATGGGAAGAGGACAGCAAAACCCAGTGCGGAGGGCCGCCAGACTCCAGCCCCCGGGCGCTGATCGGCTGTGTGACTTCGCTGGCGAAGGGCGCAGGCTACATCAACCAGACCACGCACTTCTCCCTGCAGAGTGTCTGTGAAGGTAGGCGCGCGGGGCATCCGCTTCACGGTTCCCGGTGGGCCCTGTGGCCCTGGCGGGTGGGGCGCACTCGCAGCGCCGCCCTGTGACCGAGGGCTGCGGCCGGACCCTCGGACCCTCGGTCGGGCGCCGGCAGGAGGCAGCCCGTCGGTGCTGCCCTTCCGCTGATGTTCCTCTCTCGCCCCGTCTCTGTAAACGCAGTGGGGAAAAAAGCAATGGAAAAATGGCCTCAGGTGAGGATTAAAAAATTAATAAAAGCGGGGTTTGTGGCTTTTCCCGTGTCTGGGTGAGAGCTGCCACGCCCGCGCATCCTGGGAGGCCGAGCCGTCCTTTGTGTCCATTCGGCGAACGCAGTCGCTAATTTCTGGGTGATTGTTCCACTCACAGTTGTGGTCACTGCAGAGGGATATCGAGGGACTGTCGTTTTTAAAGTCCTGCACATGTTTCAGAATGGGACTCGGGGACAGCCTTGTAGCTTTCCAAAACGCGTCTCCGTTTTTAATTGCTTTTGCTCTTGGCTGATCTAAGACTTCGTTTGCATGCCTACGAAGAGCTCTGTCGGCGCCTTTACTGAGCCTATCTCGCCGCTGTGCTCGGAGGGGGTGGGTGGTGCGGCCGTGGGCCCGAGACCCAGCTTTCTCCCTGGGGACGCAGCCTGTGCCCATTCCGAATGGGGCAGGGATGGGCAGAGCCTCCTGGGGAGGGGCTCCCTGAGCTGACGTCCGGCCGCACGCCCCGCCGGCCGCGCGCAGAGGGGAGTGGGAACCCTCCCCACCGCGCCCCGGGCTGCTGGGCGCAGGAGGACATCGCTCCGCCCACCTGGCAGGCAGCCCTGTTACTTTTCCTGGACGTGAAAACTGGGACCAACATCGACTGCTCACCTCAGCGTCCCAAAAATGAAATGGATGGGTGTCTGGCTGGGGTTTTGAAATCTCTGTTCTGTCGGAACTCCCCGAGCCTGTGGCGGCTCTATAACTATGCCAGCGGGCGGCGGGACCCACCACGCTCAGAGACGGCTCCATGGCTGCCGTCACCGTGGTCACAGAGCCTGGTGACCGCCCGGGACGTTCTTGGAGGAGGGAACACAGGTCGCATTGGGGTCTCCGGTGGGCTGTCAGCATCAGGGCCTGGGGCCGTGCGCAGGGCAGGGCCTCGCCTCTGGGGGTGGCGCCGTGCGTGCGGCTCTGTTGGCGCCTGTCTGACTCACGTGTACAGATGGACGGGCTGCCCGCTAAACCGTGGCCTAAGGTAGGGCCAGGGGGGTTGAGCCAGGCTTCTCATTTACTTTGGGGAGAGGCGGGTGCTCTGTTTCCTACGGGATGCCTTGCTCCAGCCAGGGGCTGCTTGGAGCCCTGGCTCGGCCTGCATGGCTTTGCAGACCGAGGCCCTTCAGGGAGGACGGAGGTGGCGCGCAGATCTGTCCTCCACGAGCCTTCGGGTGGCCTTGGTGAGGTCCGGCTCAGTTGGGTGGCGGGGTGAGCACGTGCGGTGTCGCCAGGGAGCCTGTGAAAGCTAAACAGCGTGAAGGTGGCAGGAGGGGTCCCCTCGGTCACGGACAGCGGAGGCGGGCGTTTGAGACCTTGGCCCACAGACGATCCTGTGGGAATTCTTAGCAGCGGCGGGGGCTCACCTGTCTTACAAGTGACTCTCCGGCGAGCCCTCCACCACGGCGGCCACGGTGGGATGGGGCGCCCGCCTGCGGCCCGCTTCCCCGTGCTCCGCGCTGCGCTGTTGGAGGCTGGTCGCTCCTCCGTGGGGCTGCCCTGGGGAGGGATGTTCAGCGGCGTCCCTGGCCTCCGGGTCCCAGCAGCCCTCAGCCCCGCTCGTTGGGGCAGCACAGGGCGACCGCAGGCGCGGCCCCACGGCCCTGCAGAGCAGCGTGGCCCTGGGCGGGAGCCGCTGGCCCAGGCTGGGGGCTGAGGCCTGAGGGGCGGAGGTCGTGCCCCCCCCCGCCGACGCCCCGAGAACGCGCTGGCAGCCCTGCAGCGCCCGTGTGTCCTGCGCACCCAGCGTGGCCCGGAGTCTGTTTCTTTTCTTTTTCTTTTTTAAAAAATATTATTTTACTCATTATGCTATTACAGTTGTTCTGAATTTCTCCCCTTTGCCCCTCCTCCACCCGCAGGCAACCCCCCGCCATTGTTCCTGTCCACGGGTCATGCGTGTAAGTGCTCTGGCTGCTCCGCTTCCTCTCCTGCACTTCCGTCCTCACGGCGGTTCTGTGCCCACCTGTCTGTACTCACCCCCCGTCCCCCGTCCTCCCCCGCCCCCTCCCGCTGGCAGCCGTCCAGACGCTCTCCGTATCCATGGCCCTGTCTGTCCTTGTTTGCTTAGTTTGTTTTATAGATTCATTGTTGATAGATACGCATTTATTGCCACTTTATTGTTCATAATTTTGATCATCTTTTTCTTAAACGAGTCCCTTTAACATTTCATATAATGACTTGGTGATGATGAGCTCCTTTAACTTTCCCTTGTCTGGGAAGCTGTTTATCTGTCCTTCGATTCTAAATGAGAGCTTTGCTGGGTACAGCAGTCGTAGTTGTAGGTCTCCGCTTTTCATGACTGTGAATACTTCTTGCCCATCCCTTCTGACCAGCAAAGTATCTTTTGAGAAATCAGCTGATGGTCTTATGGGAACTCCCTGTAGTTAATGGCTTTTCTCTGGCTGCTTTTAAGATTCTCTATCTTTAACCTTTGGCATTTTCATGATGATGTGTCTCGGAGTGGCCTCTTCGCATCCCTCTTGTTTCGGACTCTCTGTGCTTCCTGGGCTTGCACACCTATTTCCTTCACCAAATTCGGGAAGTGTTCTTTCACTACTTTTTCAAATAGACTTATAATTTCTTGCTCTTTCTCTTCTCCTTCTGGCACCCCTATGGAGCCAGTGTTGGATTCCTCTTAAGTTGTCCCAGAGGCTGCTTACACTACCCTCATTTTTTTTTATTCTTTTTTCTTCTTGTTGTTCTGATTGGTTGTTTTTGCTTCCTTATGTTCCAAATCATTGATTTGATTCTTGGCTTCATCCACTCTACTGTTGTTTCCCTGTAAATTGTTCTTTATTTCAATTAGTGTATTCTTTATTTCTGACTGGATCTTCTTTACGCTGCTGAGGTCCACACTGAGTTCCTTGAGCATCCTTAGAACCAGTGGTTTGAACTCTGCACCTGATAGGTTGCTTATCTCCATTTTGTTTAACTCTTTTTTTCTGGAGTTTTGATCTGTTCTTCCATTTGGGCCATGTTTCTTTGTCTCTTCATTTTGGCAGCCTCCCTGTTTGTTTCTATGTAGTAGGTAGAGCTGCGTTGACTCCCTGTCTTGGTCGTGTGGCCTACTGTAATCGGGTGTCCTGTAGGGTCCAGTGGCACAGCCTCCCCTGTCACTGAAGCTGACCCCTTGAGGTGTGCCCTCCGTGTGGGCTGAGCACACCCTCTTCTTGTAGGTGAGCCTTGGTTGCTGTTGGCAGGTCAATGGGGGGGATTTGCCCAGACCAGTCAGCTGCAAGGACTGGCTGTGACCACTGACCACCAGCCTCTGCCCTCCGTGGAGGATCAGCTGCGCAGGGGCAGGGTGGGGGTGCTCTTGCGTGGTCTGTGCCTGCCCACTGGGTGCGCTGGCCCTGGGGCTTCCCGGGTGGTGCAGGCCACGGTCAGCCCCCGACCTGTGTTTTGCCCAGGCCACCCTGCCTGAGGTATAAAGCCATCTGAGACGGCTGCTGCTTGTGCTGGGCTGGAAGATTCCCAGGTGAGGCCAAGCTGGGAACCTGGGCTGCTGCTGCTGGGGCCGGGCCTAGGGTGCAGGGCCGGGGGCTCACTGAAGCTGCTGCTGCTTGTCTGAGAGGATTTAGGAAGTTGTGATGCAGGAGCCAAGACCAGGCATTCATATGGAAAAGTCAGAGGTAACAGCTTGGGTGGGCCTGTAAGTTGGGTGGGACGGAGTCTCAGGATCTCTAAGGTGTGGCAAACAGTGTGAGCCAGGTTGATGGAGTCTCAGATATGGCACCTACCTGCTTGCTCTACAGTAGCTCTGTGTGGAGAGGGTTCAAAAAAGGGACAGTGGTCTCTGCCCGCCTTTCTGTCCGGGAGGAGGCGTCCCCCAGCTCTCGCCTTGATGCCACCCACTCCTGTCTCCCTGTGCCGTGGGGGCCCTTCAAGCTGCTGTCCCGGTGCTGGAGCTCAGAGGGCGTGGGTCTGAGCCAGTCTGTATGTGGGTTCTTTAAGGGGAACTGGTTGGGACTCTAGAAGTTTCTTCCAGTGACTCCATTGCCTCTGGTTTTTGCCACCACATGTTATGGAGACGTACCTCCCTGGCACTGGGGTCCCGGGCTGGCGAGTCCCCTGCGGGACCAGCCCGTTTTGCATCTACACCCCTCCTACCAGTCGGGATGGATGTGGTTTCTTTAACTCTGTAGTTGTCAGAGTTCCATTCAACTTGATTTCTGATGGTCCTGAGAGATGGTTGTTCTATATTTTGGTTGTAATTTTCATGTGGTTGTGCGGGGAGGGGAGTCATGTTTACCTGTGCCGCCATCTTGACCAGAAGTCACTCCTTATTGTGAGAGGAAGAGGAAGTTTCCGAGACCGTCTGCAAGGCCCGGGAGCCCAGAGCCACCCATAGTCTGGGGCCCTGCCCCGGTCAGGGCGCCTCGTCCGTGACCATCTGCTCACTCCGGGGACCCGTCTTCATGGGTCGCATTGCTGAGGTCCCCGCTGGCCCCTCAGAAAGCCACTGCCCAGCCCCAGGCCTCTCCTGCCTGGGTCACATCCCAGGCCCCCACCCCCCTCCCGTGGCTGAGCTCTTTCCTCTGGAGCTGGGCAGTTGCTCGACTCCCCGCCTGCCCTGTGTGGACCACTCGGCCTTGACCTCTGGCTCATGGTTGGGTTAGCCCCCAGAAAGCACCAGCTGACAGGCAGGAGGGGGATGGAGTTTGGGCCGGCACTGCCCTGTTCCCTGACAGCCGCCCATTCCTCTCCCACAGCCGAGCGGGCGACCAGGCCACGCCAAACTGGTGCCCAACGCAGAAGGGAAGATGGGTGTTGAACTCAACTAAAATTAAGCTAGTGTTGAAAACCTGTATATTGGTTTGCAAATTGATGTTACCACATTCATGAACCTTTAAAGTAATACTAATCAGAAATTGTTTGGAAAGCAAATTCTTTCTAGAAAAGTGAAAAGTAATACCTGGGTGCATTGAAACAATCTAATATTGATTATTCAGTCACGATCCTTGGTTTATGCTCACGCGTTACTGTCTCGGCCTTCCTCACGGCCCGTCGCTGCTCTCCGTCCGGACGGCACACCCCCTCCGGTGCGACCCCAGTTCCCTTCACTTCGCAGGCGGCGCCTGCGTCTCCTGCGTCTCCTGCGGCGCGCGTCCCGTGGCTGATGCGCTCGCCGGTGTAGGCACCTTCCACGGTCTCTCTGTAGGCCTTGGCAGTTTTAACTGGGAAATATTAGGAAGCTCAGGGCAAGCCCCGCTAAATGTAAGAGCCTCACAAGTCGGATTTTCCTGTTGAAATGTGTAAGTATTTCAGCCCTGTTCTCACAGGTACCATTTTTTGTCCCTCTGGGTACAGAGGTGCTCAGATGTTTTCAGAGACTGAAAACTCAGATCAGTCACCTGTGACTTTGTGGCTGTATCCAGTTCAGATGCTGGGGCTGTGTGGGCTGGCAAACTTTGCTCCTCACTTCAGAATATCAGCCCGTACCGGTAGAATACAGGGAGCTGCGTGGGGGACTCTCACGCGTCGGCTAAGACTCTCACGGCCGTGCAGCTGGCGCCGTGCGGGCCTGGCCTCGCAGCCTCTCTCCTGTCGCCAACTTCCTGTCCCCAACTTCCTGTCCCCGGGCTGTATGCTCAGTCACTCCCATGCACAGGAGGCTTCCCGTCCCAGTCCTCGAAAGCTTTGATTAAAGATTTCCAGTGGACTCGTAACAGTGTAACCAGTCGGGCCTGATTCACAGAGCACTTCCTGAGAGGCTCAGACATAAGTGAAACTGGGCAGAGAGGCCTGGGGCTTGTGCCGCCAAGGTCAGCTCCGCCTTGCGGCGGGGACGGCGGGTGCAGGACCTTGTCCGCACGCTGTGGCGCTGTGTCCCGGCAGGACCGACATGCGTGGCGTCACTGGAAAACCAGCCACTCTCCTCTGGTGCTGGGTGCCCACTGAGTCTGGCCCTGGTTCCCAGGGATGTCAGAAATGTCTCCTTCAACAGCATGACCTTCCGGAATCTTTGTTTTGATTCCATTATTCTGATGGGGGAAAAATCATACTTACTTGAATTTGCTTCAGTGTTTTCTCTTTCAAGTCAGTTTATACAACTAGTGCGTTGGCAGCGGTTGCTTCACCACTCCTGTGTGTCCAGGAAGATTTGGAGGTGAAAGTCAGTGACCTCACGGCGAACCCTGATGCAGCAAACAAGTGCGGGCAGAGCCCCCCCAGCGGGTCTCCCTGTGCTCGGGGCGCAGTGCCATCGCCGCCTGGCTGGCCTGGGCGCCGGTCCCTACTGTCCCAGGCAGCCAGCCTTGCCTCCGTGGCCTCAGGAGGGACAGCCGCCATCACAGGTGTTTGGCTCGTGTGTGGTCATCACCAGCTTCTTGGAGAAGTGGACTCAGCCTCCAGTTACATACTTTGTTTTCTGAGCACATTGATGTCAGAAGTATTTACTGCAAAACAGCCAAAAGGCTGTAACTAGCTGCAGCTTTGCACCGGGCACCATAGCCAAGCGGCTCAAGCTGCTCCCCCCGTCGTGTGTCGGGACAGTGGAGCCGTCGCCTGTGGCTGCGTTGCATGTCACCGAACCTCCCGGCTCCCCCACCCAGCCTGCCAGTGGGGCCCGGCAGCACCTGGCACCCAGGCCGGGGCGCAGGCCCCAGCACGGCCGCCCAGGGCGCGGCGTGCTCCCTGCCTGAGCTGCATCGGCACAGCTGCCAGCTCTCGCTTCCCTCCTCCCCCAGCCCGCTGTGTCCCCGAGGCGGGGGCCAGTCCCCGCGGCCTGGGCAGAGCCAGCAGAGACGGAGCTCCTGGGTTCACGGACCTGCCCGCCCCCGTGACTGCACCTCCGGGAAGTGGGAGGTGAGGGCAGAGGTCTGCCCCTGAGCTCATTCTGTTACAGTTGCTACCAATACTTGAGCATTTTTAATGAAAAATATGGAGTGTCTGAAACCCAGTGGGTTCAGATGGTGCCCACCGGCCGCTTGGTTGCCCGGCCGCAGGCCTGTGTGGCAGGGAGTCGGCTGAGAGCAGGAGGCCGTGCAGCCGCCGGGCGGGTCTGGAGGAGCTACAGGTGACAGACTCGTCCCTGCCAGCAGGGCGCCGCATGTCCCAGCTGGAGCAGGGAGGACCGTGCATCGCCCCTTCGGAGGGGCCGGACGCTGTGGTTAGGACAGACCCCGGTAACGTTGCTGTCCTTCCTCGGAGGTTTCGAGCCGTGCAAGGGCGACTGGGTGGAGGCCACGTACTGGATCCGGCCGGGCACGTGGAGCAGCGAGGCCGTGCTGGTGAAGCCGCTGCGGTACAAGCGCATGGACAGGGTAGGCCTGGCCCGCACTCGGCCGCTCTGCTGGGCGCCTCAGGGTCGCCGTGGCCGGGCTCCGTTGGCCAGAGAACCCCTGGCGCGCTGTCTGGGCTCCGTCCTGGTGGGGGCTTCGTGCGGAAGGGCTGGCCTCCTGGTCATGGGCGGTGAGTGCAGGGCGGGGGACCTGGACGTGCAGCCGGGCCCGCGGTGGGGAAGGGGGCGTGTGCCGGGCCGTGGCTCCGGGGTCCCCCCTATGGGTGTCCCCACAAGGGCTGTGGCCTCCAGGGCGTTGCTCCAGTTCCAAGAGCGGGGCCCCTCCCCCCAAGGTTCTCCCATCACCGTCTGCGAGGCCACGGTCACCGGGTGTCTGTTCCGGGGCCTGCGCAGCCAGGCCAGGCGGTGAGGCCGTCTGGGTGCTCTGCCCGCAGGTCTGCATTTCCAGCCTCTGGGGAAGAAACGGGGTGATCGACGACAGTGTCTTTTTCACCTTGGACTCTCTGAGGCTTCCGGAGGGGTACGTGCCACGACGGTACGACGTGGTCAACGCCGTGGTGGTGGAAAGCAGCCAGTCGTGCTACACGTGGAGGGCCCTGTGCATGACCCTGGTGTCTAGACGGTAAGGGGACAGGCCACCCGATCAGCAGGAAGGGGGACGGAGGCCTGCACAGATGGGGGTGAGGGCTACCTGGACGAGCCGAGCGGCCACTGTCCCCATCCACGTCCCAGCGGGGCGGTGGTGGCAGGGCGGCGTCTCCTGCAGGACATTCCTGGTGACCGAGTTAAAGGTTCCGGCCTCTCCTTAGTCTGACCTGGGTGGTTTCCACATTGGGTGCGTGTGTACCTCGTCCTTCTCCACGCTAGCATTTTGTAGATGCCTAAGGGACTGCCTGCCGGTGGCTGTGCACTTCCCACGGTGCCCCAGCGCCTCCGCCTCCAACAGGTGGGCCGGCGAAGCAGCTAGGCCCCCCCCCCCGGCCCCCTGCCCCCCCAACTGCGTACAACGCCCCTCTTCCACCCGCCTTCGCCCTTCAGCGCTCACTTGCGGTGCTCGCCGCACAGGCCCCTAGCAGCTCTGTCTGTCCTCTCGCCGCCTCACAGAATGCGGGCTCATCTCCTGCCGCGTCGTTGAGCCCTGGAACCTGGGGGGTACAGACCGGCTGCCCCCTCCGCCGTGGAAGTGGTTGCATGGCCTGGCCCATCCTGCCCAGCAGCAGCCTCAGGCCTCAGGGTCTCTGTCTCATGGGGACCGTCCTGTTCTTTCCCCGCCCCAGCTTCTCGCCCCTCCTCCCCTGTGACTTCGGACTTAGCTCTCAGAGGCACAGGCCCGCGGGGCCTGCCGCGTGCAGTGGAGGGTCCGCCCGCTGGCTCCTGGCTCTGGCCGGTCCCTCCCACAGCAGCCCCCTCCCTGCTCTGGGCTGCAGAGAGAGTCAGGGCCGGCGGCTAACCCCAGGCCTGGTGCGAGGGGCGGCTGCCTCGTCTGCCCCAAACAGCCAGCCTCACAGGGTGGGGGAGCCCCCCTAGTGCTGAGCCCGGCTGCGAGCTGGCCGCGGAGCGCTGGCCGGGGCGCCCTCGCCGTTCCGCCACAGTGGGGCTGGGGGCTGAGCGGAGGAAGGGGCTGGCTGAGTCCGGGGAATGGGGTGGATGTCCATCCAGCACCATGGAGTCGTCGAGGGCCACCTGTGTGCCCCCCCGTCCCCACCGCAGACGCGGGCCTGGCCCAGAGGGGGCCGCGTGCTCTGCGAGGTGTCACCAGTGTGTCGCTGCGTCCTCTCTGCGGCCGTTAGGATTGTCACTTTCTTCAGGATGACTCCTGTCCTCCTCTCAGACCCTCAGCACTGGAGGGTCAGGCTCCAGTCCGGCTGCCCCTGGGGCGGCCTCTGCCCCTCACTCAGTAGCGTGTCCTGTGCCGGGCGTCTCGGGTCTCGGGGGAGAGGCCAGCGGGCGGGCGGCGGTTCCGCAGGAGGCCACCTGCGAGCGGCCGTGACGCCATCGGGGCCCCTCTCCAGAGACAGCGCCGTCTCCGCCGGGGCCGAGGCTGCGGAAGAGGCCTGTGAGGCCCTTTTACTGCAAGACAAAGGCAACATCGAAGTGACGAGAATGACCAACTTTGGAACCATGAAGGAAGGAGGAAGCAAGAGCCTGGTGCTCTGCATAGAGTGAGTCCACGCGCGGGGCCGTGTCCGTGGGTCCCGGGCTGGGGTCCGGGAGGTGCTGTGGAACCACCCGTGCTCTGCCCGGGTATTTTTTCTTTTATGAAAACGTTCGCCCTAGAACTTCCTTTCGACTTACATTCATGAAGGATTTGCAGTAGCCCTTCACCAGTTACTTGGAAGTCTGAGATTTGTAACAGCTGAGTATTTTAGCATCAGCAATTCTGTCTGTTCAAGGCTAGTTCCCTTTGTGCAGGAATAAAGGAGACGCTCCTCAGAACTTGGTCAGCTGCAAACTGGCCGGCTGGGACAAGGCCAGACAGTTCCGCTTCCACACGCTGCAGGGGCCCCAGTGCTGCCCGCCGGCATCCCCTGGCCCCGACCCTGAGGAGGCCGAGAGCGGCTCAGAGGGGGGCATCGGCCCCTCTGGCGGCTGCCGAGACGACAGAGCCCGTCGGACGTCAGAGGGCAGCGCGGCCCCCGATCGCGTCCTCTCCTCAGGTAGACGGAGGTCAGCCCGGCCTAAGCCCCGGCCAGTCTGGGGGCCTGGGCTCCCGTGATGCCACGAGCTCTTCAGTTCTAGATCTCCCCTGGTGTTTTGGGGCTGGGGACAGGGACAGAGGAAGCTGGCGGCACCCAGAAGTGTGTGAGACACGCCGCTCCCGCATTGGGTTCTGAACCGGGGGGACAGGCTGCCGACTTTCTTTTGTCTTTGTTCGGGTGCCTGGCTGTGCATGTGCATGAGCGCGTGCGTCCACAAGCGCCACCGCCGTCCGAAACTGCTCGCCTCTGGGTCTGACTTCATCTTTCAGGTGACTGTGCCCATAAAGGAGAAAGTGGAGGAAAAGAACAGAGTGTCTCACGGAAGCAGGCGGCCGAGCCCGAACCCAGCGGGCTCATCGCTCCCGGTGGGAAAACCTTGATTGTGGTCGTTTGTGAGGCAAAGTACGTGGCTGGAGGGTTTGCAGTGAGCGTGCGTGGGGGCATCAACACCTTGACCTTTTAGGTCCACATGAGGCCCTTCTGGGTTTGATGTTACAAATGGCACGTATAGCTTTTTTGATGGGATAAACCGGAGGAGAAAACGTTGGTGGAGACACTGGCTTGCATGCATTCAGCCACCTGAGTTGCCGGCCCCCCCAAGCCTGACAGTGGCCCCACCCTTCTCCCGACTTGTGAGTGAAGGACGGGCCAGACGCCCTCAGCCCGTGGGAGCCAGGCCACCTCCTCCGCCTCTGCCTCCTCCCTGGTGTCCAAGTTCCCGCCGCTGCCTGCTGGTCACCTGTCAGCTGGACACTTGGGCTGCAGACCTCCGTCTACATTTGCTAATTAATTGTAAATCTTTTTAAAACGTAGATCTATGAGTCCCTGCCTTGCCTCAGCCCAGCAGCACGTGAGGTGGCCGCTCTGTGTGACCTTTGAGACACTGTAACCATGTGCGACTGGGCACAGCACTAGGGGACACAGGGTGTCCGCCAAGCCCAACGGCAGGAGACTGGGCAGGAAACGGCGAAAATCAGTGTCTCTGGGTGTGTTGGGCCATCTCGATTGAAACGGGAGAACTGAGCACGTTTCTCCTGTCGTTAGGTTTGAGAATTACAGATAAGACTGTCTTGGGTGTTTGATTTTTGTCTTGGAAAAGTATCTCATTGCTCTTTTCCCTGTAAAAACAGTTATTAGAAAGGAAGGGCCCTGTTGCCTGAGAGCCCCGACTTGTCACGCGCACAGCAGGGTCTGCGCTGAGCCGCCTGCCAGGTCTGTGCCCCAGACGGAACCGTCCTTGGTCTTCCAGGACCACCGGCCGCTGCAGGGAGCTCCTCCTGCTCTGCTTCTCCAGCTTCCTGATCGGGCGCTTCCTGGAGGTGAGCGTGGTGAGCGCCGAGGAGTCCCTGATCGCCGTGCGCGAGCCCTTCCTGTGGAAGAGGTCCAGAAGTCCCCAGGTGCCAACGCCCACAAAATCTACCGTTGTTGTGACCACACAGAAAAGGTACCGTGGCAGGAAAGACAGCAGCGTAGCCCGGCGGGCGCTCGCAGTGTGAGAGCAGGTGGCGGGGGGGGCGGGGGGGGGCGGCAGGAGGCGCGGGGCAGGGGCTCCTTCGGCCCCGCGCTTGGGGGCTGGTGTGTTCGCATGAAGCCACGTCAGGAGGGGTCTGAGGCGCAGCCAGCGTTGTGTGTGAGGGGGAAGGCAGGCCTGCGATGGCCCGGCCGCCGCTTCGCCCAGCTGGCCTCAGGAGAACCCCCAGGACGGTGACCCTTGCCCTCACTTCTGCCACCTTTCATGTCCCTGACAGCCCCGCCCAGCCCCCAAGACGGCCGCGCCCCACGCAGGCCCCCAGAGGCGCCGGTCCGTGGGGGTCAGCGGACATGGGTGGCACGACCTTCACGGGCTGTCAGAGCCCTGGAGTGTCACGCGCGTTTGGGGCAGCAGGGCTGGTCAGCTGCTTGAGGCCCATTGGAAGGTGTGGCACCTCTGAAGAATGAAACCAAGAACAACATGGTTGTTCCCTAGCGCCGCAGGGCTAGGGGACGTAGGGACCCCGGCTTTACCTGGGGGTCGTCTCAAGGGTGCTGCAGGCTGGAAACACCTGAAGAGTTTCATGCCAAGAAATCTGGCCCGTGGGGACGTGACAGCGTTGCATGGTTTGTCCTGTGCGGTGTGAACGCTCAACCTCAACTGCGGTCGCCGACGGGTTAGCTCAGGGACCACCCCGAGCCCACGGGGTGGGCTTCCTCCTTCTCCAGAGCGGGGACCCGGAATCGAAAGTCGCGGGCTGCCCAGCAGCACTTCATGATGAGCTGTCGTGGGTTTTTACTGACCGGCTGGCTGAAGGGGAGTCTGTCAGCAGAGAGTGTTAGAAGGCCGTTGGCTCCGGGGTGGGACCGTTGTCGGAGTCCCTGCGCTCGGCAGCCGTGAGGCCTGGGCCCGTCTCCCGACCTCTCCGAGGCTTAGTCACACTTGGAAAGGAACGGGGCCACCGTCCCCTGGTTACAAGGTCTGTGAAATGTGCAGTTGCCGGCACAGGACAACCAGCAGTGGCGGGCGTTTGTCACTATGGACAGTGCTCTGGGGGTGGAACCTAGAACACAGGGCGAGGAGTTACTGTGGCCTGGGGGGAGTCCCCGAGCCTGCGTCTCTGTCTCGGGCTCTGAGAGCCCCTCGCTGTGGTTCGTGGTCCACCAGGCGGCCCCCTGGGGGTCACTGGCTTAACCAGAGGCGGGGAATTGACCAGCACAGGTATTTTTTCCGCTGGTCAGTTACTTCCGTTGGAACACTAACAGCTGTCACTGCACAATCCAGAGTGTCTCTGAAACCAGACGTTCCTGTCATCAGGCTGATGGCCCCGTGCCTCTCCTGGTCGGCACCACAGCATCTGCGCCTGCCACCTGCCCCACGCGGCCTGGCAGCCCTGTGCGTCCAGTACTGTGTTCGCGTGTTCGCACTGAGGACCCTCTCCGCTGGGTTGGGGGCCCCCCTGGGCTGTAAGCAGCACAGTCTGTTCACTCAGCCCTTTGAGGCCATGAGGATGGGGACCGTTCGGTCCATGTATCTCAACACGTCGGGAGGTGATCTGTCCCTTCTCTTGTTTACATCCATAATTACTACTTTGGTGTCACTTACTGACTTGCCCCTTGCTTTCCGCGTACACTTCACACGTGGGCTCCTGCAGCCTTGCAGCAAACTCGGGGAAAGGCGCCCCCATTTCTGAGGCAGGAGGTGATGGCCCCGCCAGTGCTGCCAGCCCTGGGTCTCGGGGGCATCCCCACTGAGGAGCTGAGCTGAAGGAACCCACATGTGCGGTGGCCGCTGGGAACAAGGAAGTAGCTGTTGGCTGCGTCCGCTACAATGCGAGTGAGCAGGGCTAGAGTGGGGCGGGGCCAGCACCTGTCCTCATGCAGCGCCAGGTGTGCCTGTAAAGTGAGGACCCCACACTTTTGGACACCGACACACCTGGTGTTTCCTGCTTTCTCTTCTCCCGGCTTCCCTCTCCCATCGTCATGGCGCCACGTCAGACTCGGCCACAGCAGCAGCGATGCCCATCCTGCTGGCACCCTCCCCCAGCCCCGCAGAGCTCGAGGGCAGGCGCGCCTCCCGAGGGCTGACAGGCTGAGAGCAGGGAGGCCGCTGTGGACGGGGCAGCCGTCTGCAGCGTGTTCGCAGCAGCCACGACCTTGTCGGGCCCCACAGGCAGGGCTCAGGTCCCCGGAAGCTTACAAACAGTTGCTTCAGACCCCCTGGTTCCCAGGAGGTTCTGTGCACCAGGCCTGCCCCTGTTGCAGGCGAGGCCACTCTGCCCTGCCGTGAGCACCGAAGAGGGCCTGGGGACACCTGGTGCGGAGGCGGGCGGAGTGAGCGTGGCAGGCGCCCTGCTGTTGTGAGCAAGCCGTCGCGGTCTCGTTTCTTGTGGGGGTTGCTAAACTGTGGTCTTGCTCAGTAGGAAAGGGTGTGAAGTAAAATGTCTTATATCAGATGCCCAGGTGATTAAGAATCATTTCCAACTGAATTTCTCTTTTAAGGAACTCGAGACGCCAACTTCCAAGTTTCCTTCCGCAGTACCCAATACCTGATCGACTGAAGAAGTGTGTGGAGCAAAAAATTGACATACTGACTTTTCAGCCGTTACTTGCAGAGGTAGGAACAGGGCCAGTGAGAAGCACTGACTTCTCACCACACTCGTGTTTTCTGACAAAATCAGGATGAACCGTCTCGGGGTCAGACCTCAGCCTGGTTCCTATTCGCCACAGGCAGCGGAGAGCCCCGTCTGCCATTGTCTGTCTCTGGTGGTCTGGTTTAGGCAATTTAATGTTTTGTGTGATTATTGATATGATGTGGTCGAAATCTACCCTCTTGCTGTTTGTTTTTTGTTTCCTTTTTCCTCTCTTGCCTTTTTTTAATCACGATTGCGGTTACCCCTTTCCTGGCTGATGGGCCGGCCCTCCTGGTGCACACACCACTGCCTCGGGCCCTCTGCCAGAGGGCGGTGGGCCTGGGCCTGGGCCTGGGCCTGGCGCGGGAGCCCCTGAGCGTGCGCTGTGAGGCGGGCTCACTTGAGGAACTGAATCCTTAATGCTCTTTAGTTGTAATTCAGTTCAACAAAAATAGCCACAGGTTTAGAGTGTAAGCCCAGGGCTCATCAGCGGCAGGAAACTAGTGTCCCAGGGGTGCTTTCCAGTTCCCTTTCCATGGCCTTTTACTAACGTTGTTGTGAGTTTACTTCTGTATGTGTTTTGAACTCGTAACATTTTACCATTTTTACTTTACGTACTCAGCTGTCTTTAAAGGCATTTTAGAAGATGGGTCCTCTGCTGACTGCAGAGTCACCTGGACTCTGTGGGTTCTCCTGCGGAAGGACAGGGCCACCACCTGGGTGCTCGCTGGCTTTCGTGTCTGGAAAAGCCTGAGGGTGCTGTATGCACAGTGTCATGTCTCTGATGACACGCCTGCTCTGCTCCTGCCTTTGCTGTTCTGCGCACAGTGGAGACTTTTCCTGCTACTTTTAAGGTGGTCTCTCTATCACTAGTTTTAAGAAATTTAACTTACAGTGTGCCTTGGTGTAGGTTTCTTCACATTTCTTGGGCTTCTTTGAGCTTTGGCTACATGGGCTGATTGTTTCCCTCAAACATGGAGATTTTTTGGCAAGCTTGTCCTCAAATACTTTCTGCCCTCCCCGCCCCATTTCTGGGGTTCTGCTCATTCTTCTCTAGTCTTTTCTCCTCTGTGTTGCACATGGACAGTTTCTATTGCTGTGCCTCTCAGTTCACTAAGTTTTTCTTTTGCAACGTGTCATCCCATCTGCTGTATTTTTTATGTCAGATGTTTTTTTCTCTACAAGTTTAGTTTGGGTCTTTACTTAATATTCTCAGTCTTTTCTCACCTTCTTGAACATAAATGACAGTTGTAACAATGGCTTTAATGTCCTGTCTCCTGAGCGGATCGCAGGCTGTTTCTGGGGCTGGGTTTTCTCATTATGGGCTCAAGTTCTGCCACCTTCTGTGTTGGGACGTTTCATGTGGCTGCCAGGCTTATTTCTGGGACATAGTTGAGTTCCTTGGAAACAGTTGTAAACTTTTACACTTCAGAGCTTTGTCAGGTGGGAACAGAGGAGCACTTGCTAGAGCAGCCGCCCTCCTGACTCTGCCCAGGGCCCCTGATTACACGCCCTGAACTCGGGCTGGCAGGGCCACTGTCCTTAGCCCTGCGGGAGCCCTGGAAATTGTCCCCTGGAATCTAGTGGTTCTCAACAGGCAACGGTGTGCCCCCAGGAGATATTTTTTGGTTGTCACAACTAGGGTGCCAATAGCGTCTGGTGGGTAGAGGCCAGGGATGTGCTGAATACCCTGCGAGGCACAGGACACCCCCTCCCCACCCCCTCCCCCCTGCCCAGAGCAGTACAGCCCAGGTCCAGCAGCGCCGACCGTGCCTGAGGAGCCCTCGTGGCCTGATGAGGTTGCTCACACACGCTGAGCGCTGGCGGGCACCTCTCTCTACCCCGCACTCTCTGCCCCCTTGGCCTGCTGGGCCCCCCAGCTCTACCTCCACGCTACCCAGGCTACATGACTTCTGGGTTCTGTCCCTGTTCCAGGGTCTGCCTGCTATCCAGCTGGCCGTGGGGTACCAACCTGAGGACCACTGTCTGTTTGCAGCCGTCATTTCCCCCAGGCTGTGTGTCAGCAGCTAGGACTCAGCTACACGCCCGAGCTGCTGCTGCCTGGATGCGGGGTGTTTACGGGATCCTCTGCTCCCACTGACTGCTGAATTGTGTTGCAGCGTTTGAACATGTCAAACTACAAGGAGAAGTTTTCGACTTTGCTCTGGCTTGAGGAGATTCATGCAGAAATAGAGCTGAAAGAGTATAACATGAGTGGGGTCACCTTGAAAAGAAACGGGGATTTACTGGTACTGGAGGTGCCGGGATTGTCTGAGAGCCGGCCCTCTCTGTATGCAGGTGAGTGGGGACCAGTGTGGGGGGTGGTTTTCACTGGCAACACTGTGGTTGCCTTTGCTCATTTTCTTGATTTGGGTTAGAATGTCACTTAAAATTTGAGCATCAGTCTCCTGTCACTCTGACGTCATTTTTAAGTGGTTGGTCCCGTGCTGTGCTGCCGTAGTTCACATGTGGTTGTGTGTTTCTCACTAGGTGATAAGCTGGTTTTGAAAACACAGGAGTACAATGGGCATGTCGTCGAATACATTGGCTACGTGGTGAAGGTGAGAGATCACTGGGCAGGAGGGGGACTTCCTGATGGCTGTCGGTCTCCCTGGGTGGTATTTTGGAAAACTTGAGGATAAAATGACTATTTAAGTAACTTTGATGTAAAAAGAGAACGTAACACCTAGCCCGGCTCAGAACATGACTTTTCTTTCCCCAAAAAACACAGCAGGTGAGTTGTTAGGTGTGAGGAAGGCAGCAGGTACACTGGGCAGTTCCCAACTGGAGGCAGGTGCTGAGTGAGGAGACAAGCAGGTCCATCTGAGGGAGCCACACGCATGGAAGGTCGTTTCAGGTCTGCGGGACGCCAGCCCGGGGTCAGGCTGCAGGGTTAGCGTTAGGGTGCATTTCTAGAGTCGGGGGAGTGACATGGCATCTCCTCCCTTTCTGTCCATCCATCTCTGGAATACCATTTCTGAATGGTCTGCTTGCTTCATTAGAGCTGCTTTGTCATTTTTGTATGATCTTAGGTTCACTTATTTTTGTCTTTCCATTATTTTTAACTTCATACTTAGTTTTTGTGTTTCCATAAACGACGGTGTCTGTATGTGATGTCCTTGGGGCCAGAATCTGCTGCAGGCTGGGCTCACCTCAGCCTGGGGACGTGCTCCCCCCATCCCATCTTGGCTGTATCTGCTCTGATCTTGGTCTGGGGAGCCAGGACCTGTGCTGGGCCTGGTCCTCTCTAAGGGCCTTTTGGCTTCTGCTGAGACTGGGGCTCCTGCTGGTTGCTGGTCCCAGCCTGGCAGCCCTGACCCCAGCCTGGAGCCTGGCCAGTGGGCAGTCCTCCCCACGCTCCCCATGCTGCCGCAGAAATGCCTTTCTTCCCTGCCGGTCCAGGCGGCGCTTTTAGCTGGATCTCACTTTGGCTGAGGGCCCCAGAATGTCCAGCCCCCGCCCCCTCCGGGAGGGGCAGCCGGGACACCCAGGCCCGGGGCTGTGGGCATGGGTCGCCATCCTTTGCCTGCTGTTGCACCAAACTGCAGCGCAGATCTGCAGGGTGACCGTGTGAGGACGCAACACAAAGGTCGTCCCCAGGAATCAGGCGCGCAGGACGGAAATCGAACCGTTTGTTTCTCCTTCAGATCCATGAGGAAGATGTGACTCTTAAGCTGAATCCAGAGTTTGAGCAAGCGTATAACTTTGAGCCCATGGACGTGGAGTTCACGTATAACAGGTAACGCTGTTCACGCTCCTCCCACGAGCGTGTCTGGTCGGGAGGGCACGTCTCCTGGAGTGGCCTCGACGTCAGCGTTGCCGGAGGAGACGCTGCTGGGGGAGGCTGACAGAGAGGTTGGGAGCGGGCTCCACGCAGCGCCTCGTGTTCCCTGCAGTGCGCGCTGAGGCCCTGCCACTCTGTGCTCACGGCAGGTGGCCATACAGGTCACCTCGGGCCGGGAGCGGGTGGGCCAGCATCTCTTGCAGCCTCGGGAGCGGCTGCTTGCGGCTGGGGAGCGCTGCGGCCAGCGCCTCAGTGGCCCTGCGTGCGCATCTCAGCGTCCAGCGCCCGCTCATGCGTGCGCTCATCACACTCTCTTCGAGGAAGTGCCTTTGGAGTTGGGGTTCACTTTTCAGTTGCTTGTTTGTTGAGTTTGCAAAGCATGTATTCACAAACTAGTCCTTTATCAGGTGTATTTCTTGCAAATATTTTCTCAGATTTTGACTCGTGTTTTTATTGTTTTTAATAATTCCTTTGAAGAGCAGAAGTTAAGTTCGTCAGTTGTTTCTTGCCTGACTCATGCTTTTGGTGACACGCTTAAGAAATCCGCCCCGCGCAATGTCACAGAGGCTTGCTTCTGCGTTTTCTTGTGAAATTCCGCAGCTTTACGTTTTACATTTAGGGCTGTGATTAATTTTGCGTTAATCTTTACAAACGCTGCTGGGTTGGAGGGAGTTACCTCGGGGGGCGCGGCCACCCCTCATCCTGGCGGCGTCTGTGGAGGACACTGTCTTGCCCCGCGCGCCTTCCTTGCGCCTTTCTGAGTGCCCATCGGCCTTCCGTGAGGGCCCCTCCGGGGTTCGTGGGCGGCCTTGGCTCAGGCAGCAGAAGCCTCCCCTGGGTCCCCGTTTCGCACTTTGCGCTGCTGCTCGAGCCCCGGCCTCGGGGCCTGGGAGCCAGCCCTTGCCTTCGCGGAGGCTGCGGCGCCGCTTCGGTCCCTTTCTGCGGGGCGGGGGGGGGGGGGGGGGGGGGGGGAGTGACGGGGACTGGCGTTTTGGCGCGGGAGCCTCCCGGCCCTGAAGCGCTTGCACCACCGACTTAGGTCCTTTTCCATTTCTTCAGCGATGTTTTCTACGCCTCGTTGTCCGGATTTTGCATATCTCTTCAAATTTGTCCTGACTCTGTAAGAAATTTTTAATGTTCCTATAAACAGTAATTTTAACTTAAATTTCTGGTTGCTTGTAGCAGTTGATTTTTGTGTATTAATCTTGTATTCTGTGAGCTTGCTGAACCCAGGTGTTTCTAGTATCTTTTTATGGATTATGCGGGATTTTCTACACATGCAGTCCTGTGTTCACGTGCAGAGTTCGCTTCCCGCCTTCCCTGGGTACGTTCTGGGTTGTCCGTTTCCTTTCGCCGCGTGCCTGGCCGCGGCCCGGGAGACGGCGGAAACCGAGGTGCTGAGTGGCGTCGGCGCCGGCCCGCGGCGCTGGCGTCGGGTTTGCTGAGGCCTCGCAGCAGCGGGTGCGGGGGCCTGTCCCTGCTTTCCGTCTTCTTCCAGACGGTCGTGCGGTTTTTCTTTTTCAGTCTGTTAAGACAGTTGCGTGACTGGAATGAACTCCGCTTACCATGACGTGATTGCCTTGCACATTTTGTTATCTCTGACTCGCTAAGTAAGATTTCAGATTTTTGCATCCGAGTTGTTGAGGTATGTTGGCGTGTATCTTCTTCAAGCGTCCCTTTCAGACTTGGGCGCCGAGGTAGTAACGCCGGCCTGACAGTAAGTTGGAAAGTGTCACCCCCTCCGTCCTCTCAGGGCAGTTCGTGGGGGCGGGGCGCGGGCGGGGGACGGGCGGGGGGGCGGGGCGTGGGCGGAGGGGGGCGGGGCGCGGGCAGGGGGGGCGGGGCGGGGCGGGGCGCTCCAACCTCTGCGCCTGCGTCGGCGCAGGGCCGGCCGGGCCGCAGTGTCCGGCAGGGGGAGCCCTGGGGCGTTCGTCGCGGGCGCCTGCGAGGTCCATCCGCGCTGTCTAATCTGTTTGCCCGCGAGCATTCTTTGTTTGCTTTTACGGTTCTTTATTTGCTTTTCGTCTCTGTAGGGTCTGAAGGTCCCCTCTCGGTTTGTTTCCTCCCCTCCCCCGTGTCAGCCCGGCTGCAGGTCTGTCGGTCTCAGCGGCCTCGCCAGAGGGCCAGCTTTCGGCTCGCCGGGCTTCGCGCAGCGCGTCTCTGCTGCCCTGGTGTCTGCTCTGCTCCTTAGGGCGTCCTGTCTCCTGCTTGCTTTGGGCTCCGTCTGCTCTTCGGGTGTCTCCGGTGGGCGTGGAGGTCCTTGAGTTGAGGTCCTTCTCCGTCTTTTAGGCGCGGCCCCTCCTCTGTTGCCGGACACTGCGGTGCCCGGGCCTCCGCGGCGCCGAGGGCGGCGTGCGCTGGGGCGGCGGTGTCCGCCCTGCCCGGCGGCCGCTCTGCAGTCGCGCGCTGCGCTCCTCGTGGGGGAGTCCCCGCTCCCGCGCCTCACCTGGCCTCGTGGTTTTCTGCCGAGGCGTCTTCCTCTTATTCAGGTTTTAACGCGGAAACCTCTAGCATTGGGCCGCTCGGTTCTCGCTGTCCTTAGACTGGACCAGGAAAGGAACTATTTGTCAACTTCTGTTTTAAGCTGTTAGACTCATCGTCTTTCTGGCATATCTGGACATGGGTTTTTGTTTTTGCGGGCGGGGGGGCGGGGGGTTCCCATCCTGTTGAGAAGTTGAAGCATTTCAACTGGATAACTTCCTATCTATCCTTTCCTGTGTGCCCAGAATGAAAAACATGATTTTTTTCTTATAGTTGATGAATTGTTCCTTTAATGTTTTTCCGGCTGTTGGAGGTAGGGCTGACCTGCAGCTGGACGGTCACCTGGCTTGCTCAGCGCTGTCCTTGACGTCGTCCCTGCTTTGTCTCTGGAAGAGACCCCTGCACAGACAAGTGAGCGGCTCTCACTGGGAGGGACAAGTCGAGTTTTCTCTTAGCTCCTTCGTTTTAGGTTTTTTGTCTTTTTTAGAGTCAGTTTTCTAAGTCCTAACATGGCTCTTCTCTGGTTGTCCTCATCTTGGAGTTTGTTGTATCCCAGGCAACTCGTGGAAGCTTTTATTGGCGGGACAGTGGGGCTGTCTGGGGCCTCGGCCCGGACGTTCTGGTGCACATCCGGGGGTCGGGCCGCGTGCCCCGCTTCTCCCGGCTTTGCGCGCACCCCGCTGAGGACGGTGTGCTGTGCCGGGTCCGGACAGGCTGCGCCTCCGCTCCGGCCGTCGCTGGTCTGAGGCCAGGTGCCCTCGGCCGGGCCCTCTCTTTCACTTGAGCTTTAGAGCTGTGGTCATCGTGTTTCATTGGAGATGGATTTTTTTTTCATTTTTTATCCTTTCTGTTGTGTTAAAAAATAAGACAACAGGCCCCCTCTGAAGTCGCTGTGCTGAGGCCTCGTCACCAAACTGAGAACTGACTTAATTATAGTGCCTTCCCCTCTGGACAGGGACCTGGGCAGCACCGCGCACGTCACGTCCCCAGAGCTGACCCTAACCAGCCCATCCTCTGCCCAGGATGACGTCCCTGTCGCCCCCCCCCCCGCCCCCGCTGCCCTGGTTGCGGCAGGTTCATGTCCGTCTCTGCTCTGATAAACTTGAGGTTTTTAATGCACCTCGGTTCCTCCTAAGGGCTGTCTCCAGTGCATTTCAAGGGAGTGATTCTTTATAATCACAATTATTTTCTCATTGGTACAGTAGTATAACTGTTTCCCTGACACTTCATGCGCTATGTTTCTGGGGGGTCTTCCTACTTGTTCTTCTTTTTTGTTCACTCTATAGTTAAAACAGAAAATATTTCTGGAAAGGAAGAAGTCCCTGCTGCCCTGAAACATGTGATACTAGACTTTTTCTGTAAAACTAGCAGCGTCGTCATGTGTTGCGCAGAAACAGACCGTGATTCCCCCTTCTGTGCCCCTGGCCCTGGCAGGGGGTCTCTGCCAGTTCCGTGTAACGGCTGCGCGAGCGCGCCGGCTGGGATCCTGCCGCCAGACCTGGCCCATCGCAGCCTTGACGTTTCTGAACCTGCGACGAGTTACTTTGTGTTGTTTGCTCTCCGCAGGACCACAAGCAGACGGTGTCACTTTGCGCTGGAACAAGTCGCCCACTTAGGAGTAAAAGGTATTGCGGTTGTGGGCTCGCCGTCTCACGCTGCCCGCAGTGTTTCCATGAGCTTCGTGTGAAGTTCTGTGTGAAACGGTCTCCTCGGTCACATGTTAGAAGTGAAGGTGTGATCCCCGGCTGGTGCGGCTCAGTGGATTGAGCACCAGCCGAGGGCTTAAGGGTCGCCAGTTTGATTCCCGGTCAGGGCACAGGCCTGGGTGGAGGCCAGGTCCCCAGTGGGGGGTGCATGAGAGACAACCACACATGGATGTCTCTCTCCTTCTCTTTCATGCTCCATTCCCTTCTCTCTAAAAATAAATTAAGAAGTAAAATTTAAAAAAAGTAAAGATTACATATGTGATGTCCAGTGTTGTTCTTTCTGTTGGGAAGTTTCTGTGTTTTCTTACTATTTCAACTATGTAAAAATAGCACATTTAAGTCATTGAAAATAGAGCCATTAAACTCAGCTTTTCCCCTCTTCATAGAATTTTGTACTTACAAGTAGACAAGTAATGGCTTTTTATTCCGAGGCACGTGCGGGGCTGTGACCGAGGCCGTCCCCAGGCCGAGACGGGCAGGGGACAGACGTGGGGGATTTGGGGGTGCTGCAAATGTTTAGGCTGCTTCCATTCACCTTTTAAAAGGTTTTCAGTAGTATCTGCCTTGTTACCTTTTCTTGTTTTAAAGTGTTGTTTCCAGAAGAAATCATTTTACAGTCTCCCCAAGTGACAGGCAGCTGGAACTATGCACAGGACACTGGAAACGAAGGACAGCCCACCCCCCAGGTACGGCTGCGCAACAGCCTTCCCGGGACTCCTAGCGACAGGGTCGGACGGGAGCGCAGGTCACGGGCTCCCAGGGGTCCCAGGCAGAGGAGCACCGACACGCCCGTACGGGGGCAGGCGCGCTCACGGTTTTGTTTTAGAAGTGTGTGTATGGTTCTGTGTACATTCAGACAGGCCATCTGTGCGGTTCTTTATGCTCAGAAAATGTGCGGAGGACACACACCCAGCAAATGGCCAACATTTATCATCTTTGCGAGTGTTGTGAGGCTGTTTTGGTTTTTACGTTTACAATCCAGTCTCCGCACGTGGTGACACAGCGCCTGTCCCTGCCAGATACGGCCCGAGGCCTCCATGTAGTTTTGTGAGTAAAGTGGCGGAGTTCAAACAAAACCACCCTGAGGGCTGTGTTACAGCCCCGGCCGCAGGTGCAGCCGGGACAGCTTCAGGCTGCCCGCCCCGCCACGGAGGCCGCCACGCACATCGCCCACGGGGGCCGGTGGCACCGGTCGGCCGCTGGTGCAACGCGTCGCCCTCCCCAACCTGTCCCGCCGCCTGTTCTCGGGGAGGGTCTGTGTCGCTGCTGCTGCGCAGGTGGAACATGTTCCTGTCACTGTGTCTCTGTGTTTTCAAATGCAGAGCCGTCTGTCCCTGGACAGGCCAGGCCACAGGGAGACTCGGGGCGTTGTACACGTGCCCCGAGGTCGGCTCTCAGGCCCCGGGCTCACCTCCCAGGCAGCACACAGCAAGCAGGGCTGCGGACACGGGGCCCCGGGCCGTGGGACAACGTGTCCCCAGGGAGGGAACAAATGAGGGTGCCCGGCCCCTGGTCCCCGCCCTCAGGGGGGCGCCAAGAGACCACATGGGCGGAGCCGGAGAGGCGAGCGAGGTCACAGGGCAGAGAGCACTTCCGGGGTCAGCAGAGCCCCCACTGCAGCTCTCAGCCGAGGACTCGGCTGTGCCGGCCTGTGGGTCCCTGGGATGCGGAGCGCAGGGGGCGCAGAAGCCGCAGGCCCCTCGGCCCGACCTGAAAGGGTTGCGACGCAGGAGTTGTCGCCTGAGGTCCCGGGGTCCCGCTGCCGACAGGAGGGTCCTGCAGGGCCCCCAGGCTCTCACGGGGGCTGGAGGGGCCGCCCCGTTGCCGGGAGCGGGGTCGGCAGGGGGCGTCTGCGCTGAGCGAGAGAGGAAGCCCTTGTTCTGGCATCTGTGTCGCAGGTTTAGTCCCTTTGTAGTTACTCTTAGAAGGTAATTCAGGAACAAACAATTTCTGGTAACTGCTCGTCAGACACTGTTTTTCCTCGTGGCCTAAAGGGGGCGTAGGGCCCTCGAGCCGCCGCGGGGTGTCCTGTAACTGAAGCCAGCATCGTGCGGGTAGAGGTGTGTTTTCTGCCCAAACCGAGCCCATGCGAACACAGCTTTTTTTATGTCTTCTTTTTTTTTTTTTTTGGCATGATTCTTTCCAGAGCAGGAAAGCTGTCAAGGACCAACCCAAGCCTGCCACCAGGACAGGGCGAGCCGTTGCCCAGGGCACGCCAGGGCCAGCGGCCTTTGCTACAGGGATGAGTCACCTGGGTGCGTATGGTCCTGCCAAAGTGGCTCGGTCAGGGGACGAGTGTGGCTGCGGCGGCCGCATAACCAGGGCGACGCGTGAACATTGTTGCCAGGACGAGAGACTCAAGACGGTAGCCATTCCCGTGGCCGCCGTGAGGTGGGTCTGTAACATCGCAGGTGACGCTGCCGTGAAGGAGTGAGGACGGCAAAGGTCCTGTGTTTGCTCCCAGGCGGCTCGGGCGTGATGAGCGGCACCGCCTCTCTGCATCGCCGCAGGAGCTCCCGCCCACTGGTGGCCGCGTGGCGCCCGTGCCGACGACTGCGCCCCAGCCGTCCACCTGTCCCCCCGCCCGCCTGACCCTGCTCCTCTGCTTCCAATGCAGGAAATGAGATGCAGGCCCCAGAGGCCAGAAAGGAGGAGTTTTTCAATCCTCTGCTCAACGAAAACCAGAAGCTGGCCGTGAGGAGGATCCTGAGTGGCGACTGCCGCCCCCTCCCGTATATCCTCTTCGGACCCCCTGGGACTGGGAAGACCGTGACGATAATAGAGGCCGTGTTACAGGTGACGCAGGCGGGGGCTCCGTGGCGGGGGCTCCGTGGCGGGGGCTCCGTGGCGGTTGCGCTGTAGACGCGGCAGGAGCTTGAAAGCCCAGTTCCTTCGCCGGTAGCCAGCCTGCGCGGTGTTGCCGGCAGGCCTGCCCTGCAGGGTGTGAAGGCTTGTTCCACGGGGTTCGCAGGGTAGCGCACCATCCAGCCCCTTCACGGGGGCTGCGGCTGGGTTCTGCTGGCGTCCGCTGTCCCCCTTTATGTCCAGTTGAGTCCAGGAATGTGGTGTGAGCCGGCGTTTCTGCATCGTTCGGGCCTCAGATTCGTGAGGGTGTGCGAAGCGCCCCCGTGCCCTTCCTGCGGCGGGTGGGCGGCGGGCGCCAGTCCGGGGGGCGCAGAGCGCTCGCCACCTGCTCTCATGGCGCGTGGGCGCCCCTGCTCCGAGCGCGCCCCGCGGCTGACCGTCGCCCTGTCTCCTGTGCCCCGGTGAAGGTGTACCACGCCGTGCTGGACAGTCGGATTTTGGTGTGTGCGCCCTCCAACAGCGCGGCCGACCTCGTGTGTTTGCGGCTGCATGAGAGCCAGCGGCTGCGGCCCGGCACCATGGTCCGCGTGAACGCCACGTGCAGGCTAGAGGAGGTGAGCTGCGGCCGCCGGCCCTGTCCCCGTGCCCCGCTGCTCCGTCGTCCACAGTCCCCGCTGGGGCAGCTCTGCTCCACCCCCCGCGGCCTCTCCCTCGCCTGGCCCCGCAGGTCGTCTCCTCTCTGGTCCTGTTGTGCTGGTTTGGCTGCTTTGCTTATGGGATGAAGTAGTGCTTAATTGGAGAAACTTAATCTAGGAAATGAATAACGTTTGGGGGAACGATCTGCCAGAGCGTATGTTACACTGGTGGCTCCAGAGCCCATAAAACATGGACTATGTTGATATAAGAAAAAAAAAGTTTTTGAAGATTTTATTTAAGAAGGGAAGGGAAGGAGGCAGAGAGGGAGAGCAACATTGATGTGCGAGAGAAACATTGCTCAGCTGCCTCTTGCACACGCCCAGCTGGGGACCAGGCGCGCATGCCAGGCCGGTGCCCTGACTGGGAATCGGATCGGCGACCTTTCAGTTTGCAGGCGGGCGCCTAATCCGTGGAGCCACACCAGCCGGGGCTAAAGATACATATTGTGATTTAAGGAAACAATGTCAAGTCATTATTTAGTCGTAACTAAGAAGTGGAACAGGACAGAATTAACTTAGAATTCCTCCCAGCTTTGTGACTGTGTCCAATCTCAAGACGCTTAGTAACCCGCGAGCGCCCCGCTCCCGCAGACGATCGCCGAGGCCATCGGGCCGTACTGCAAGGACGGGGGGGACATCTGGAGGGCCTCCCGCTTCCGGGTTGTCATCACCACCTGCAGCAGCGCGGGGCTCTTCTATCAAATCGGAGTTCGGTGAGCACCCCCCGCGGGCGGGGCAGCAGCTCGGCGCAGCTCCCCCGGGGGGGCCAGGCTTGTGCTGGGACCCTGGGGGTCCCAGGGCCAGGCTGTGGGGGGGCCGTGGCCGAGGACACCCAGAGCAGAGGCAGGAAGGGCCCGGCCTCGGAGGGGGGACCGGAGGTCCCAGGGAGGCAGCAGCAGGGCCACGGCACGGGGCGGGTGCTGGGGCCGCGGGCAGCTGGGCAGCTGTGCACAGGGACAGTGTCGCCGGACAGAAGGGACTCGGGTGAGTCCGAGCAGGGTGTCTGCCCTCGGGCGTCTCTGGGCCCCAGTGGAAGGAGAAGAGTTGTCTTGGGCCACACACGAGATACATCATGACGCGTAATCACAAAGAAGCCTCATCGTGTTCTCGTTAAACTCACAACGTTGCCTTGGGCCGCATTGACAGCTGCTCTGGGCGGCACGTGCCTGCGGGCCACAGGCTGGACACCCCTGGTTTAGAGCTTAAGTGCTCGTGCGCTAAGAAAATTGCATCATGTTAGCTTTTTCAGCAGAGCCCGGGACACAGTGAAGAACGGGACGCGTCTCGCTGCCCGCATCCTGCGCGGGGCGGCGGCAGCACGCGCTGCTCAGGCCCAGGCCCAGGCCCAGGCCTCGTGTCCGGGTACCCCCGACGGCCAGTGCCGCCCACGGGCTCCCCAGCGGCAGGGGCTGTCCTGGCGGCCGTGGCTCGCAGCCCAGTGTCATGTGCGGCTGCCGGTCTCCTCGGGGGCTCCCGTGGGGCGCAGGGCGGGGGGCGCCCGGCGGGGGGCGCCGGTCAGAGGCGGCAGCAGGAGGAGGCACCGTCCCTGGGTCGGAGTGTCGCTGGGACCAGCTCCGCCTCCCGCACTGGAAACCGAGGCCCAGAGGGGTGGTGGGACAGCCGAGCCACCCGGCTGCTGAGCGGTGAGGCCGGCCTGCGGCCCAGGCTACTGGCGGCGGCGGGTGGGTCGCCCCAGCCTGGGCCCCGGGCGGCTCTGGCCGTGCCGCACCGTTCGCCCCTCGCCTGCTTCCCTCTCAGCCGGAGCAGAGTCCGGGGGAGCCTCCCGGGCGGGCCACCCGACGCCCGCGGACTCTGACAGAAGTGCCCACGTGGGTCTTTGGCTCTAGAGTCGGACACTTCACGCACGTGTTTGTGGACGAAGCCGGGCAGGCCAGCGAGCCGGAGTGCCTCGTGCCCCTTGGGCTGGCGTCGGACGTCAGCGGCCAGGTGAGGCCCGCTGTGCCCGCTGTGCCCGCAGTGACAGGCCGCCGAGGAGGGGCCCAGGCCAGGCCGGGGGGCTGCGTCCTGCCTCCTGGCCGCCTGCCCCCCCCCGCCCCCCCCCCCCCCCCCACGCAGCGGCCGGCTGCCGCCCTGCACAGCGGGTGCCGCTTCTGTGCCTCAGATCGTCCTTGCTGGCGACCCCATGCAGCTCGGTCCGGTCATCAAGTCCCGGCTGGCCATGGCCTACGGGCTGAACGTATCTCTGCTGGAAAGACTGATGGCCCGGCCAGTGTACCTGAGAGACGAAAACGCTTTCGGTGCTTGTGGCGCCTACAACCCCTTGCTGGTGAGCTGAGACGCCACGGGGAGCCGGTGCCCCAAGGGGACAGCAGAGGCGGGGCACACGGGGCGGCCGAGTGCAGGCTGGAATCCCCGCTGACCCAGAACCGCTTGGGAACCTGCGCTTCTCGGAGCCATGGGCCCGTGGGGACCCTGGTGAGGGAAGCCGCGTGGCACTCCCCTCTGGGCCCCTGCTGTGCCCACACGGCTGAGCTGCACGCTGGACAGAAGACGAGGGGCCTGTGATCTTGACCGTGACCGCGAGGGGCAGGCCGTCCCCCCGGAGAGTAGGGGGACGTGGAGCAGCCGGGCCTGTGGCAGAGGACCGCCCGGGGTGGGCTGGGGCCGGCTGTGGACTTGCGCCTCCTGGCCTGGGAGGGGAGCGTCTGCCCCCGCGGGTCCCTGGGCCTCCCCCACCCGCCCCCGAGTGCCACGCGGCCAGGGCCTGGCTTCCTGCGCCTGCGTTTTCTTGATGCTCTGTTCTAACAGTGACCCGAGGTGCCAAGGTCACTTACTACTCAGGTGGCAGATGAAAGGCCAAGAGGGGAGGCCTGGGTTGGGAGTCTCGTCCTCTGTGCCACCCGCAGGGCCCAGGTGCGCGTGCCGACTGTGGCCTGGCCCCCGCCGCCCCATCCCTGCAGGTGACGAAGCTCGTGAAGAACTACCGGTCCCATGCGGCCCTGCTGGCCCTGCCCTCCCGGCTGTTCTACCACAAGGAGCTTGAGGTGTGTGCGGACCCCAAGGTGGTGGCCGCCTTGCTGGGCTGGGAGAAGCTTCCCAGGAAGGGCTTCCCCCTCATCTTCCACGGCGTGAGGGTGAGTCGCGGCCCCGGCACCACGCGGGGCCCTGAGGGAGGCAAACGGGAGGGGCTCTGCTTGGGCCCGTGGCCCCGGCCGGGGGTGGGGGTGCCCTCGGCGCCGCGGGGGGCCGTCGTCGGGGGGGGGGGCTGCCGCGCACCCTCCCACAGGGGCGCCCCGGGGCGCTTTCCAAAGGTGCTGGCGGGCGCAGGCGCCGCGCCCAGCGTCCCACAAGCCTGAAGGCCTGGCGACCCCAGTCAGGGCACGTGCCCCGTGCCCCATGCCGGCCTGAGCCCTGGGCAGGCACGTCGGGAGGCGGCCGACGGTGCCGCTCCCTCCCCCTTCCCCGAGTGCAAGTGAAAGAAACCCTTAAAAAAGTAAAAACCCGTGGCCAAATAGGCCTCCGTTTTAGTAAATGCTCTAAGGATGTACCAGGAAATTTGCATTCTCCGGCGAGGGGGGTGCGCTCCACGTACGTTTCTGAAATGTGTCTGTGGAGTCTGTCCCTCAGCTCTCGCGTGCGAGCCGCCCGGCGGCCCTGCCCTTGGCAGGGGCCCCTCGAGGGCCTGGCGGCCCCGCCCCGTGCGCAGCCGCTGTGCCGCGTTGCACGCGCAGTTTGCGGTTGCTTACCTCCCTCGTGGTGTAAGGCGCTGCGCTGTGTCACGGCTTACTGTCAACTTCAGCTCGTGACGCCCTGGCTAGTGTGGCTCGGGGTAGGAACCTCGCTTCCCGGTCAGGGCACGTGCCTGGCTTGTGGGCTTGGTCCCAGTTGGGGCACAACCAATCGACGTCTCCCCCGCTTCTTCCCCTCCCTTCTCTCTCAAACCGATAAGTGTGTTCTCAGGTGAGGATAAAATTAATTAATTGAGTAAAATAATAATAAAACCTCCTTGGTAAGAGATTAATACTCCTTTTTCGTACTCGCTGGTATCTCTGTCTCCCGTCTTCATTCTTTATCGTTTTACTTCGTGTGCATTTCTTACAAACAGCTAGTTTTTCTTTTTATCCCAACTTTAGAGTCTCTTTTTAAAGAGCTGAGCCACTTGAACCTCCAGGTTCCGACTCTACCTTCATCTACCTTCAGTTACTAGCTCCCTCCCTTCCCCGTGTTTGCAGTTGTGTGGTCGATAGTCACTGTTTTCCTCTTCCATGTGCAAGGTCTGCCCTGGGCTCCCGCTGCATCCGTCTCTCTCAGTCCCCGGAACCTTTTATAGTAAATCCAGGGGACAAACCATAGACGGCGAAAACCGCACCCTGAGCGTCCGCGCCTCCCTGTCGCGTTGTTTGGCAGGTGCTCCCGTGCAGCTGCGGTGAGGTACACACAGCGTAAAACTGGCGGCATTAGCCACCGCGGGCGCATGCCTCGGTGGCGGTGAATACATTCGCTTTGTTTTACAGTCAGTTGTAGAATTTCCGTCGTCCCAAACCGCGACAGTCCTGCCAAACAGTCGCCCTCCCCTCCCCCAGCCCGGGGCGCCTCTGTCTGCCTCTGTCTGTCTCTGTCTCCGAGATGCCGGCGCCTCCAGGGACCCCGTGCGGGTGAGGCTGCACAGTGCTCGTCCTCTGTGCCCTGCGCCTCTGAGCTCACGCAGTCCCGTGTGTCCGCACCCGCAACGCTCTGCTGCGCGGATGGGCCACGTGTGTTTGCCATCATCCATCCCCGACACCGGCTGCTCCTGCCTCCGGTCACTCCGGTGACGCCGCCATGAGCCAGGCACATAGACCTGTCTGGGTCCCCAGGTTCAGTCCTTCTGGGCCACTCCCCAGACGTCAACGCTGGGTCGCATGGCATTTTTGTGTCTAATGTCCTGGGGGACCCACACGCGGTTCCCGCAGCTCTAGCGCCATCCCGCCTGCCGCAGCATGCGCAAGCGGGGCTCCCCTGGCCCTTGCCTGCCAGCACAGGGCTTCTGCGCCCTGACGGGAGGCGCCCTGCCCTGCGCGGGCTGAGCTCTCAGGCGTGGCTTTGCATTTCCTGATGCTCAGGGAGGCCCAGCGAGGGCTGTGTGCTTGCGGGTCTGCATGTCTCTTCTCTGCGGATCGGACGGAGGCCGCACGCTTACACGTGGGGGGGCAGCCTGAGGGAGCGGTGGGGGCTGGCCCGAGGGTCCCCCACCCGCCATACTGCTCCCCCGCCACCGGCTGCTGTGCGCCCCCCTGTGGCCCATGCGTGCTGTGTGCCCCCCTGTGGGCCATGCGTGCTGCCCCCCCCCCACCGTGGCTCCCGGGCTTCTGTTCCTCCCCAGCAGGCGCCCCCTCCCCTCGGTCCCCTCCCGTCCCCGCTCGGCCCTCCCGCCCTCGTCCTCGTGGTGCTCATGAGCGCTGACTGCCCCGTGGTCACACCCGCGTTGCCCCGCCGGGCTCCCAGCCCCCGCCCCGTGCCCTGCCCCGGCCCAGACCAGCAGCTCTGACACACGGGCCTGTGACGACCTGCCCCCGTCTCCCGACTGTCTCAGGGCAGCGAAGCTCGTGAGGGGAGGAGCCCGTCGTGGTTCAACCCGGCCGAGGCCGTCCAGGTCCTGCGCTACAGCTGCCTGCTGGTTCACAGCCTCTCCAGCCGGGTGTCCCCGCAGGACGTCGGCGTGATCACGCCCTACCGCAAGCAGGTGCGGCCCTCGCCCACGCACGCCTCGGTGCTCCCTCGTCCACCGGGGCCCCGCACGGACGGGGTCCCGCCGTGCCCCCTGGCCTCCGTTCCCAGCCACTGCCCCCGCGCCCGCCCCCCGCCCCTGCCGGGCTCCCACGGGCCTGCCTCTCCCTGGGGTCCTGGGGCTCAGCCCCTGGGGGCCTCGGGCCGCTTGTCTGGCTCATGTCCTCCCTGCGGCAGGGCTGCCGGCCGCCTGCTGTCTGCGGACACCTGCCCGAGCCCACTCGCTGCGCTGGGACCGGGGGCGGGGTCTCCTCCGTGGTTGTCAGGGATTTGAGAGTCTTGTCATGTGTTCACTGGCTGTTACTTCGTGTTCTACCAAAGTCCGTGCTCACATCAAGCGCTCGCTCCCGGTTGAGCTCAGGTGTCACCACGCGGTGTGTGCTGAGTCGGCACCTCCCCCGCGCCTGGGCCCGCAGGCCGCAGGCTCGTCACGGCTCGCCGGCATCGCTCTTTGTCCATGGTTCTCTGTGCGTTTCACGTCCACACAGTCGAATACACACGTGACGCAGGTCATTCGTTCACTCTATGGCTTGGGGTTTTTTTTAAGATGATCTTTTTTTTTAATTAAATTTTTTTATAGAGAGGAAAGGAGGGAGAAAGAAACACCAATGTGTGGTTGCCGCTCATGCGCCCCCTGCTGGGGACTCAGCCTGCAGCCCAGGCCCCTGCCCTGACCGGGAACCAGTGACCCTTTGGTTCGCAGGCCAGCGCCTGGTCTCCTGAGCCGCACCCGCCAGGGGTTTTTGTTTTATATCTCATACCTTCCCTGTCCTGACGTTGGGAAGTGTTTTCCCACTTTGTTCTGAAGGTTTGAGCTGCCAAGTTTGGGGGGGGGGGGGTTACAGCCGGGACCTGACCTCCCGTGTCTGCGTGGTGTGGGGCCCCCGCCACGGGCTTGGCTCCTCCCCTCTCCTGGCTGAGGGGACACCTGGGGCTGGGTCGGTCACAGTGAGTCTTCAGACCCACCCCTGGTTCTTATCTTTGTGCTCTTTTTTGTGAACTTTAAGAATTCCACCTTTTATCAAAAGCACATGCTTTTCTCCATGGCAACCATTCAGCAATGCGCCCTACCTGTGCTCCGGTTTGGGTGCTGGTTACCTGGGCCTCTCACACCACGGAGTCTTCCTGGTCCCCGCGCCACTGGTGTGGGACGCGCCCCGCCCCTGGCCGGAGCCGGAGCCGGAGCCCCGCCCGCACCCGCGTCTGAAGTCGGGGCCGGGCCCGGCAGCCGCGTCAGAGGGAGCACGGTTCGGGGTCGAGCGGCCGCCCTGCGCAGGGTCCGTACTCGCTCGCTGTGACGCGCGAGGGAAGGGTCAGGGTTGTGAAAGTTTTTAATTTTTTTATCTGCTTCCAAGGTGGAAAAAATCAAAATTCTTTTGAGAAACGTGGATCTGATGGACATAAAGGTTGGCTCGGTAGAGGAGTTCCAAGGACAGGAGCACTCGGTCATCATCATCTCCACGGTGGGCGGCCCCGCCCCGCGCGGGGCTGCGGTGTCGGGGGGGCTTGTGGCACATGAGGGGAGACGGTGACACAGGCCCCGTGGCGGGGGGTCTCCTCGCCACCCCAAAGGCCAGGGCAGCGCAGGGAAGGGGCCAGGAAGAGGGGGCGCGCCAGCTGGGGGGGCAGGGACGGCCGAAGGCGGCAAGAGGGTGGAGTCCCAGGGCCCCGCCGCACGCAGGCCGCGGTTCCCGCGCACACGGCCGCGCCCAGGTCTCCCTCTCGGGGCTCCCCCTCCACCCTCGAATGATCCTAGTGCACAGTTACATGCAGGTAAATTAGGAAATCCAGTCACAGAAAAGAAGAGAATCACCTAAAGCTCCAAATCTCTCTCAAAACCCTGTGCCAAGAGCTGCGGGCAGCGCCCGGCCCCCTGCTGTGCAGGCTCCCCCCCCACCCACCCAACCCCCACCCACCTTCTTCCTTTTATAAACAAATGGGTCCACTGATGTGTAACATTTTTTTAAGTATTTTAGACAGGGGGGAAGGGAGGAAGAAAGAGAGAGAAACACCCATGTGTGGTTGCCTCTCACGCGCCCCCGACTGGGGACCTGGCCTCAACCCAGGCCTGTGCCCCGATGGGGAATTGAACCGATGAACCTTTGGTTCGCAGGCCGGCGCTCAACCCACTGAGCCACACCAGCCAGGGTTGATGTTTAACATTTCTAAATGCTTTTATGTCAAGAGTTCGTTTCCATGACAAAAAACATCTTGAACTATTGTACCATTTTTCTTGTGTTTTTAGGTGCGATCAAATGAAGATCAATTTGAAGATGATAGGTACTTTTTGGGTTTCCTGTCCAACTCAAAAAGATTTAACGTTGCTGTCACCAGACCCAAAGCCTTGCTGATTGTTCTGGGAAACCCCTACGTTCTGGTCAGAGTGAGTGGGCTGCAGCCTGGTCTGGCGCCGTGGAGGGCGGGGCTGGCAGCCGCGGGGGTGCTGGGGGCCCATCGCCGGCTCCGAGGCCCAGCGCCCCGCGTCCCCACGTCCCCGCAGGACCCCTGCTTCGGCGCCCTGCTGGAGCACAGCATCACCAACGGCGCGTACACGGGCTGCGACCTGCCGCCCGCGCTGCGGTCCCTGCAGAAGTGAGCCCCCCGCCCCGGCCGGGGCGGCCCCGCGGAGCGGCGTCCTGTGAACCAGCGGCTGCGAGTGGAGGCGACCAGTCCGTGTTTCTCTCTCACATCGATGTTTCTTTCTTCCCCTCCCTTCCTCTTTCAAAGCAATGAAAAAACGTCCTCGGATGATGATGGCTAAATAAACAAACAAGCAAGCAAAGGGAGCCTCCCGCCTCCCCGCCCCCCACCCGGCCTCCGTCCTGCTCTGAGCAGAGGTGGGGTTGGCCTGTGTCGCAGCCCCTGCCTGTCCCCTCTGGCCAGGATCTGGCCCTTTGTGAAAACCCTCAGGGGCTGTTTTGGGGAAAGGCTGGAAGTGTTCACACGTCCACACGTGTGTTCCCCTGTGAACGGTACTGGGCTTGGGGACCCGCACCCCCAGTGCCCAGGAAGTTTGTCTTAAATGCCCATCTGGGAGCTGCCACCGGGCCGCGTGTGCCAGAGGCGCGCAAGCCCCAGGCCGGGGGACTCCGGACCACGCCCTCTCCAGCCACCTGAGGGGAGATGGGCCCGGGCCCGGGGGGCTCGGGGCCCGGCTGGCCGCAGCCACAGCGTCTGGGGGACCCGACCTGGTCTCTGCCCACTGTCCCCGGGCGGGACAGGCCCCGCGTGACTTCCCTCCCGCTGTCAGGCTCCTGTCCATGGGGCTGGGCCTTCGGGGGCGCAGGGAGGGCCTGCCTGGCCCTGACAACACGTCCAAGGCTGTGGGTGGGGGCGCCCGGCCATTTGCCCCAGGCTAAGGTGGGGGGGGCGCCAGCTCCTGGTGCTGCGGTGGGCGGTTTGGGCCCAGGTGGCGTCCACGGCCGGCCCTGCCACTGGCACAGGCTTGTGCCTGGGCCTCCAGTGGGGAGCACTGCCGAACGGGCCGGTGTGAGGGTCCTGGGCCAGCCCCGGGGCTTGGCGGGTTCCCAGGAGCTTCTCCAGAGGTGCCCAGTGTGCCGCCTAACCTGGCGTCTCCGTGACCCCTTTCCTGGAAAAGCAGCCCCTCCCTAGAGAGGCAGCCCCCTGCTGCCCCCCAGCCCTGGAGTCAGTCCTGGGTCTGGCCAGTGCCGCCCACCTGCCCGCCCTGGGCTGTGGCCCCAGGCAAGCGCGGGCCTGCGGGGTGGGGGCTGGTTGTCAGCCCGGTCCCCGGGGTCCCACCTGGGCAGCAGTTGCTGTTGGGTCTCCTGTAAGTCCTCGGCCAAGCAGCGGGCTGGTCCGAAAGCCTGCGAGTGAAACGCACGCTTGTCATTTTCCTCAGTAACATGGACTCGGGTACTCGGAGGGTGTGGGCTTTCCCTTGCTGTTGGCTTCCAGTGGGCAGAGGCCAGGGCGCTGCCGAACATCGCCCGCTGCGAGACCGCCCTCAGCAAAGGACTATTTGGCCAAAATGTCACTGGTGCCGCGAATCTTTGCAAACTGCTTCTGACGTGTCCGATCCATCACAGCAGCTCCGCGTGCGGCACAGGTCTCTCACCTTCCAGCTGCATCTTTACATTCTTGAAATGACAAAGCACAGTGTGCTGAAAGGGTTGCCTGTTTTCTTCCATCTTCAATATTAAAATGGCTGCACAAAAATCCACCAATTTTTGGTTTTTTAAGTGCACGCTGATGTGCCAGCTGTCCCACTACGATCTAACAAAATCGTATTGAATGAAGAAGACAACTAAGCGCTGCTAGAGTCACCGTACAGGAAAACTAAGTGAACTTTTCTGCCAACCCAGTAACAGGCAAGTCCCCCAGACAGGACGGGCAGGCGCATCGGGGGAAATGCTGGGTTCGTGGGCAGTGTCGCCGGGCGCTGGGATGTGGCCGGTCTGCGGTCCGTCTCTGCCCTCGTCCTTGATGTGAGAGCTGATGGAACGTGTTCACCTGAAAGAAGACGGGATCAAAGGGTTGGCACAGCCCCGTCACCCATTCAAAGCCCGCATGTCGGGAGCCTCAGGGCAGCACGGCAGCTGCCTCAGGGCTGTGCCCTGAGACAGGGTCTGGGAAACGGCCTCCCAGTCTGCGCCTGCACGGGGCGGGGGGCGGGGGCCACCTGCGCTCAGCCCCTCCCCTGCCGCCCTGGGGAGGGGACGCGGGAGGCAGGGCTGGGCTCCCGGGTGCCCGCAGGACCCGAGCCCTCGCGCAGGGCACCACCGAGGGCCTCCGCTGTGGCCCCCACCCCGTCCCCGCCAGGCCCCTCTGCGTGATGACAGCATTCGAGGTGGCTGCCCCCCAGGGGGCCGGGCCTCAGCCCTGCAGGCCCCGCCCCGGCCGGTGGCCTGCTTCCTCCGCTGGGCAGGGGAACACGTGCCGCGTTGCCTGGAGCTCACACTGAGCGTTCAGCGTGACCCCAGGGCTGCCCCACACCCGCTGGTGCCCAGGTGCCAACGCGGAGGTCATGTCGAGGCCAACGCTGTTCCTCTCGCGGGGCAGCCGCACGAACGCATCGCAGAAAACTGCGTGTGGGAAGCAGCCTGACAAACCGATGCCACGAGACCTGCACGGAGGAGTCAGTTTGGTCCCCTCGCCGGCTGCAGGGGGAGGCGCGGTCACAGGTGGGGACGGCAGCACAGGCCCGGCTTCCCCGCGTCCTCAACAGCCACCAGGGCGGTCGCCTTGTTCCAGCTGCATGTGCTTTTCAGAGACGTGACCAGGTCCTTCCAGAGCGTGTGTGGCAAAGCGAAGGTCACAAATGCCCGGGTCGCGGGTAAAGAGCAAGGCGGGGAGACTCCGCAGGAGGTGACGCTCGCGTTTGGAACCAGCAAAGCTGGGATGGAGCCACAGAGGGCGCCCCTCCCAGAGGTGGCGGGGACCCTTGTTGGCCTGGGAGATGATGTGGCTGTCCTCAGCGCCGGCGTTCCGAGAACCCGGAGCAGCCCCCGGCCCCCCGGAGGCCTGCGGAGCGGGCAGCACCCAGGCTGAGGGGTGCGGCCGCGGGGGCTGGCCACGCTGGGCCTGGTGCCGTGGTCTGAGGCGGTTGCCTCGGCAGAGGATCGAAGGGGGAGGCCACTCGGCCGCGCTCTGGGAGGGACGCTGGCATGCCCACCCCTCTCCTCACAAAGGAAATCCACAGCCACGAACGTTAAAAAACCACCACCACCACCGCTTCTTACGTCATCACCATGAAGGATTTCTATTCAGACCCCACGGCCAAACCAGGCGGAGGAGCGTTGACAGCGATGGACAAGGAAAGGTCCAACAACCAGAGAGAGGGGCCGAGGTCCGGAGCCGGGCACATGCCAACCCGAGGGTGGCAGATACCTGAGCGCGGGTCGCGCGGGCAGCGGGGATTGTGATGGGGATAGAACCCCCTTTTCACGGAGGAAGTGAGGCCCGGCACTTGGGAAAGCAACCAGGGAGCACCCCAGGCACACAGCGGGGTTCCCGGTGGCTTCCCGCGGGGGTGGGGGGCGCGGGGGAGGGGGGGCGCCGGGGCTGTGAGTCGGGGAGAACCGGCGGCGGCCTCGCCGCCTTAGTGACTGTGGACGAGCGAACTGGCGGCGGCAGCGAGGGGCGAGCGCGACCGAGAACCACGCACGAGTCCCCGAAGAACGTAGCGGGACAGGTCTGCGCGCGGCCTCGGCCCCGGCAGCCCCCAGCCGGCCCTCAGCCCCGGCCGACCCCCGCCCGCAGCGCGAGGCCCGGGCTGCCACACGGGCGTGCGGGGCGGGTGACCGAGCGCAGGTAACAGCCGAGCGCTCCACACGCGCCGCCAAGCTGGCGCGCGCCCTTCCTCCCGCCGCGGGAAGGGGCTGCAGGAGCCAACGCGGGGAAAACGCCGAACCACAGCGAGCCTCGCCGGCGGCTGCGCTCTGCCGGGACCTAAGTGCTGTCGCAGTTGTTCTGTGGGCGACAGCGGGGATGGATGGCACGGAGTGTCGGAATGGGGGGCCGCGGCCAGAAGCACCGGGCCCCCGGCGCCCACCCCGGGGGCTGGCTCAGGCGCCGGCGGGAGTGACGGCGGGGGTGACGGCCGGAGGTCAGGACGGGAGAGCGGGCGGCCCCGCGGGCAGGTGATGTGGGGACGCCGGCGTGCGCGGTGGGCACCGGTGGGGGCCGAGAGGAGAGACGCCCCGAGCCGGGGAAGGGGTGCCCAGTTCCGCCTCCGCGTCCGCAGCACCCCACAGTTTGGGGGGGCTCGGCACCCACAGTGGCGGCCAGGCTTTGGGTAGAGAAGAAGCGACACCGCAGGACACAGGACGAGGAGCCCCGTCTTCGCCGGGCTGGGCGGCCCGGGGCCGGGGATGCAGCGCGTGCGGCCCCAGCCCACCCCTCCCCCCACCCCCGCGTGCGCCCCCGCCTCCGAGGGCAGCCCCGGCTCAGCCTCGCCCGACGCCCCCCGTCCGGACCGAGAGAAGAAACCAGTCCTCGTTAATTCATCTCATTGAATTTAAATCCTTTTTGCAAAGTCATCGCCGGCGCCGCATTCTGCGTGGCGGGGGGGGGGGCCGCGGCGAAGGGGGTGCGGGGGGCGGAGCCAGGCCGCGAGTTGCCGCCGGTAAACAGCCCCCTCCCCGCGGCGGGAGCGGGGCCGCGGCCCCAGCCTGGGACACCGCCGCCCCCGCCGGAGGACGCGCCAGGCCGGCCGGGCTGCAGCCCAGCGGGGGCGGCGGGGCCCGGCGGCCCGACCCGTGCCCGCGGGGGCGGCGGCGGAGCGCCCCCCGCCCGGCGTCCGTCCCGCGCCCCCTGCGCCCCTCCCCACGCGCCCCTCCCCCCGGCGCCCCCGTGATTCCCCCGGCGCCCCTCCCCCTGCCCGGCGCCCCCGCGCCCCCCGCGCCCCCCGCGCCCCGCCCCGCGCCCGGCCCCCCATGCACCACCTCCTGGAGCAGCCCGCGGACATGGCGACGGCGCTGCTGGCCGGCGAGAAGCTGCGCGAGCTCATCCTGCCCGGCGCGCAGGACGACAAGGCGGGCGCGCTGGCCGCGCTGCTGCTGCAACTCAAGCTCGAGCTGCCGTTCGACCGCGTGGTCACCATCGGCACCGTCCTCGTCCCCATCCTGCTGGTCACGC